GTTTCACAAATCACTGATTGATAGTTCAAGAGGTATTAGCATGAGAAATGATATCGCGTGTTCTTTGTGTGGGACTTTTTCTCTTTTTGGTGTTTTTCTCTTTATTTATTTTAAAATAGGTAAAGCTGTGTGTTTAAGTGAGTGAACACGTAGGGTAAATGATATTATAAAAATGTCATGCTCGGTCCATGCATGCTGATAAATAATAAAATTAAGCCAAAAGTGTAATAAAAAAATTGGATCATGAAAAATATAAAAAGTGTTTTTGAAGTTACACGCGTGGTTGTAGGATGGGGTGGATTTTATACGCGAGATCCAAGCGTATTCCAATGAAATAAAGCAGATCATGAAATATTTCTCTTCCTCTCAAAAATTAAATGATAGATTTTTACATGGCATTAAGTCCATGTCCAAGCCTTATTAGTAGAAAGACATATTAAAAGGTAAAAACTAAAGATGATCTTTGCACGAACAACGAAATTTTATTATTTTTTTCATTTTAGTTTCAGTTTTTTTCTTAGCCATAGATATTATACGTAATCTGCAAAGATATACTTTTTGGTAATCGAAAATATTAAGCGTTATAAGAGAAAGGGGGTCTGTTGTTTTCCTATTTCTTACTGCAAATGAATCATTTCTTATTGAATGGTCCAACGACTATGCGTGCGGTATCTTTCACCAGTCAGAGTGTTTCATCGGCATTTGCTTTCGTTTTATGGCACGGGCTTTAATGTGGGTGAAGGTAACAAAGCTAAAATCCGGAAGTTACATCTTGGGCTGGCCGGTCAACGCAATTATGAAGAATCAAATGTTGTTCATTATATGTATTTATACATTTAAGTTCAGTCTTTATGAAAATTTTTTAAAGGTTCCTATAAAAAATTAGCACTTCTTCCTGCTACGACATATACATTCATACATCCTTTGGGCCATTTAAAAGTCCCTATCAAAATTTGCATCAGTCGCTAATTAGGCTCTGGCAATTCTATCGACAAATGTATAATTTATTTTGACATGAGCATGTACATCGAATTTAAGCTTTTGTGAAGGTTATCAACGGGCCCGAGGTACCTTTCTCGCAATACGAAGTCAGTAACATTATTAGAACCGCATAGTCACGCTAAAACTTTGTTTTTCACCTGAAACCGAACTTCTTAAATTTCAGGGTAGGGGCGATCAACGCCTACGCACGCAGACGACAGATTTTGAGTTCTATTGTGCGTCATAATGTTTGGACGTAAACAATCAAAATCACGCTTTTCAGTACAGAAAACTCATCGTTTTTTGAATGGGGGTAAATGAAACAAATAAATAGTCGGGTATAGTGATAGCATAATAATTAGAAGCAAAAAGAATTGCTAATCGCCACATTGAGAAATGTAGGCCATTTGAGGGTTTATGGTGTACTTATTAAAATTTTTATTCATTATATTTTATTCAATAATCGGTTTGATTCTCAAGTCAAGAAATTCTATTGTCAGATTTATACATTGGCAACTTGAGGAAAATATGATGCACTAACTAGAAAAAAATCTTATAATTTAGATCTGAATGAAATGTGAAAAGAATTTAAATGTTGCGAAATGCCCATTTTTAAGTCTTCCAGCCTTTTCACTCAGAAAAGGGCTCTGTACTTGTATCCATTGCTATTTAAGAAGCTACTTCAGTTCAAAGGACTGTAATCTTCCCGATTCGGCATTAGATACCAAATTTATTTAACTGAATTTTAAGGTATATAATAAATCCGAATTGTCCCGTAGTATGTGTACCAGGTTAGGGTTAGACCATAATTTTATTCCGATTTTCCTTATTTTAGTTCTAGTAGGCGTTCGGGGACTTCTGAGTTAGTTAAGTGAATATAGGCTTTAGTCCCTTCACAATACTTGATGTAAAATAGGCAAACAAAATTGGTTAACTCCATATTGGTACACACACTTCTGGAGCGCCAAAATTAGAATACCCGAACACTATTTGGCTCGATTTTGAAATCGAAAAGTTGAATTTTAAATCTGCCATTAGGCTACCGGGACGACAAAACTACTCGATTGTCTGCGTGGGTTTTGTATGACGACGCCAACGGTCTTCTGGTGAAGTGGAAGTTTGGGTTAATATGACGAAACATAGGACAGTTGTGCAAACAATCATTCATAGCAGAGGCGGATTATACGCTCATAATTAAAATTTGAAGTGCAATTATGAGTTATAATCGCTTATGTTCATTCACATGATATCAGCGATTTTATGAGTTGGATGAACAAATAATATCTAACCGCGAATATCGGAGGCATATTTTACGCCTGATAAATTACCGGTAACTATTCTATATCGAGCCTAAAAAGGTTACCGGTTTATCGTTACCGATACATGAACTTGATAGTAAAAGATAATTTGAAATATTTATTCAAAACTTTTATACAGCATATACAGCCATACTTCAGTAATATTTTAATGTAATGACATTTATTTTATATGCAATGTGTTGACTAAGTAAAAACCCCATTATGGCTTTAGAGCTGGCTATTATATGTCTTTTAATTTCCGTTAACCGATCGAAATTAACAAATTAGAAAACTGTTACAAAATAATCGTTTTATCCTTAAATTATACAAAATGGAAGAGAATTAGTTCAATTATGTACGGCAATTATCACATTTTCTTACGATTACGTTATTTGTTATGATACAATTAACAATCAGGCGAATATATTGTGATCAAACAATATTAATAGCTTTTTAATTCATAATTTTTTATGACCACTGTGTAGTCATAAATCTAACGTTGTTACATAACAATTAGCAAAGACAATGGGAGGTAAAAGAGCGCGAAATAGCTACAAAACATTCAAGGTATTTGATGACTTGTGGAAAGTTACTGCTTCGTAGCCTGAGGCTTATAATCCAGTAATTATCCTGCCTGAGTTTTTACATTGCATTTAGAAACAAATTGAGCCTGTCTGCGATCATGCGAGACGGTAGACATTCCGTCTTATTTTTAAATTATATTTGCCTTTATATGTACAATATATAAATTTCTGGATCGTCGATAATCTGCTGAGTGCTGAACGAAAATATCGTCTCCCACAATAAATAACAAGTCATATTTTAAAGGAAATTTTGCCCCGAATGTAGCTAGTAAACACTAATTTTAGCTCATTTGCTCAAGAATTGAGGTTTAACATGAAATCAAATTTGAAGATAAAGGAAATTCTAAAAATTGTGAAAGAAATGTCCTCTTCCGCGATAAAAAAAAACACAAGCCATATCATTGTATGGAAATTTTGCTTATAGTTCACATAATCAAGAATTGTTTTTTAAAATTAAATCAACCTTGAAGCGATTTTTACAATAAAAGGAAGGAATCGAAACTAAAAAAATAGATAGTAACACAAGTTTATATAGGTTCAATTAAAAAATATTATAAATGGAAAACGAGTAAGAATCAATTTAATTGAGTGTATCGAAAATGCACTTTCTCGTGATTTTCAAATCTTTATTATTTAACGAAATATGTCGTTATATCGTGCAGTTTAAACACTTTTTGTAATACTAAATATTATTAAGCTTTTCGAGGCGTTTCTCGTCCATGGATTAACGAGGAGCAAGTTTAAAAGTCATAGAACACTAAATTGAAAATATAATTTGAATATTAATTGTTTCTTAAACACATAATGTTTCTATACTAAAGTCAAATTGAATACGAAATACAATTAAATTTCCGTATTTCTCAGTAATTTTGGTAACGATTTTACAGCTGCCAAAATCAATAAGATCTCACAGCCACGAAAGACTTTCAAAAATCGAATATCGTGGATATCGACCACCAAGAAAAATCCAAGTTCAACTTAGCTGGTCTGAACAACAATATATATCTGAACATATGTACATGAAACTCGCAAGGTCTATTTTAGTCACTCAAAAAGTCGATTTCATACTAAAGGATAGAGAGCCGATACGAAAGAAGTGGGAGGCGAAACAGAACTTGGAATTAGAGATGTTTAAAGTTCTGAATAATGCGTAAATTTAAAATTAAACTTATTCGAAGACTGTATTTTTGAAAATTCAAATAACAGATAATAGGTCAATAGTTTTGATTCACAATAACTCAAATATAATTCTGTTTTATTCTGTTTGTCTGACTTTGACTCGATGAATCGTTACAGAAATATAATTGGGTTTTGAATCACGGATTATAGTAAAAGTAAAAGATAAATGAAAATATCTGTGAAAGATTCCAATTTGGTAGTTAGATACCGATTTGGACTATAAAATTCTGGCCATATATTTGATTTTACAGTAGCGCATTCTTAATATTCGAAATTGATTATTCAACAAAATTCCAAAATAATTAGCCAGCAATAATCATTGCAGAATTATAGAATACTTGGTTATACCTACCCCTACTTATATTATGTTATGTAGCTCCATTAAAAAGCATATAAAGTCAACTATGGAGATGGATTCTTTACTAATGTTTTGCCCAACAAGTGCCCGATCGTCCATCCCCATTCAGAATAGGCGGTTCCATTAGAAGCGAATTACTAACTACTATCAATATTAAAATTTGAAAAGCATTTATCAATGTATTTTGAGAGAATAATATTATTATACATAAATCATAAAATATACTTAACGGAGAAGCCCGGCTTCACTTCTAGCCGTAATAACACGACGGGAGATACAGACGCGGCCGCATTTTGGCGCTTTTCGAACTGCAGTTGTCATACATAGCTTTGTCGAATGTTCGTTTGAACAAAAATTACTTACAGTATCATTGGTAAAGTATTATAGGTAAATTCTCTATGTTTTGAAACTTGGAATGGAATTCTACAGATTTTCCCGGAGTATAAAAAAACAAATATGCCGTCTCGAAGACGGAAACTAAGACCCCCTGTCGGGTTACCAATGCAGGCCGGGGTATGTTAAATTGACGATAATATTATTCCTTTTGATTCATAAAATATGTAAAATCCGATTTTTCCTAAATAAAACTAAAACACTTACCAGCTGAAATCGATCTTTGGACTTGAATCATCAAACAGAACAATAAAAATATTTTCCGAAGTTGTTTCGTACATTCCATTCTTTGTGTGTTTTCCTTCGCAATATTCCCGCTAACGATTAATAACACTGATGCGGTATTACTTTATTATAACTGTTAGTTTATCATATCTATTTCGCTATTGGTGCAATAACTCGTGCGCCTTTCCTTGCAGACTGCTTACCGGTAATGAACAGCTAATGCCGTTTCTTCTTTTCGTGAGACGAGAGATTCGCGCTTCAATGATCCCTATTGTTACGTATTTTTATCGGTTCAGCGGAACGAGGAATGCGACTGAATTGTAATTGAATTCAGTGCTCAATAGCGCCATCTGGAGTCGGTGAGTTTGTCTACCCTTTTTAGTGCCGATAAATGTTTTTACTTGCTGATAAGATCTTTCTAGAAGCCAGAGGTGCGGAGTCAAGAAAAGTCACAATTTAATCCGGATTCCATGGAGTTTTGACTTCGATTCCAGTCGAACTCTGAAAAATCAAATTTTAATGAAAAGACTTGTGAGCGCATGTGAGCCTTCTTTAGCATAACAATAAAAATGCTTATTCAAAATTAATACTTTTTTAGTTTAGAAGATAAAAGATTTTGACTAAATATATTGCCGTTAAAACTCTGGTGAATTTAAAATTTTCAATCCGACGAGTCTGAAAATCCGGTTCCAATGAAAACATAGCAACACTGAGTCCACAGCCCTTTCACTGGCCATACGCTATGTCGGCTAAGCAGGCAATTTCAATTTATCGGACGCACAACATCAACTAACGCGAAGCTTTGAGAGAAGTCTTGAGATGCGGTTACCAATTAGTCACTCATTATCAAAAAGCCATGTTTTCTGGTGATAGCTTGGTTAGTATCGATCAATAATTTGATCTCGGCTCTCTGACATGAATCAAAACAACACATAAGTAAACAGACAAACAAAATGCAGAGATACCTGGAAGGCGAGCTTAACTTGAAATAAAGTTTAAGAAAACGTTATAAGTACGCGCCCATTTACCAAAAATGAAAATAGCACACAAGAGTTGAACAGGATTCAAAATCTGACAATACAAAAACAATTTGAAATGAGAAAACACGTAACAATCAAATATAAGAGTAGCTTGATTAGCATGCGATCGACTCGTCTGCTTCGTCACTTGTCAATGCCGTACTGAGTCAACTTCTAGCAAACTGAACCCTGTTTAGTACATGTTTGTTTAACATAATGAAAACGAACCAGGAACCAGCACTTCGCAGAAATCGGTCGCAGGCTGGTCAAGTTAGCATTGGTGACGTAGTATGGATACATGTTGCGGGTGCTCCTGAAGTATGCGCACCAAAATGGCGCACAACCTGAACTCAGGTTGTGTACCAGGTTAGGGTTCAGGTCGTGCGCCATCTTGGTGCGCATACTTCAGGAGGTCTCTGTTGGTGCGACTATAGCATAAGGTTCACCACACAATAACGAAAAATATATCTCAATTAAGAACTATAGCGCGAGAACAGGAAACTATAGTCCCGTGGTAACTCGAACATAGGTGCTTGGAGTTTTTTTTCCTGTTTATTGGGCGTCTCCCTCAAATCCAGGTCGCGCCGACTTTTATTTCTTCTTATTTTCTTTCAAACATTGTTTGACTTTTTAATTGTATCCTCCATTACTGTTAGACTCATCACAGGCAGTGGCATATCTGCGTAAAATTGGGCCCATGGCAAAGTTTTAAAATGCGCAACTTTGATCGCTGACTGGCAATTTTTAACGAATGTTGCTGAATTGAAATATTTGTACGGTATTATCTAAAAAAAATACGAATTTCTATTTCCATCTTTAGATTATTGTATTAGAACAATTTGCGATTAAATCTTTTTGGTATTTTGCGCCCCTATGTGACTGGCGCCCATGGCACGTGCCACGCCCTAGATACGCCACTGATCACGGGCGTCGCCGCTCGATAACCAGTATTGGTTACTTGCGACTCCTTTCACTCCGAATTATCGCTGCTAACTAGCTCAGGCCTGGGAATCTGAGACAACAAACGAGTAAGCGACATATGGCAGCATGGAGATCTACTGGTCGGGGTTCTGCATTATAAATTTGAATTCAGGACTCAGAAACACCCTGCGTGTTCTTGGTTTTGGTTCTTGGTTCTATTCTGCTTGTTGAATGAGGTTATCGTGACTGAAAGGCGAAACAGTAACACGAAATCCTTAAATAATGATTTCAAGATATTGTTAGCGAATGCAAAACTGAAAAGAAAGAGCGTGCCGAAGTCAGTAAAAAAGAAAGTCTAATGAACAACCCGGGATTCACTATGACAAGAGATAACTTAGAAGAAAAGATGTTCCCGAACCGGGAATCGAACAATGGCCGTCTGGGTAGGAACCAAGAATCTTAAGCCCTGGTAGACTATCTGGGATGTTTAACAACGGCGTTGTAATCACTCATTACTGCTTGCATTGGCTTTTTCCCATAACTCAATGGTTCCTCTTCCCTTAATTTAAAGCGCATTTCAGTTTGTATTTCTCGTGAAGATCGATCATCTTCAACTCAGTTGCAGCCTCATCTGAGACTAAAGGAAATTTTAAACAATCCGTCTCAGAATGAAATGAGTCTCATGATGATATAATCTGTGACGTTTTATCTGCACTTCATTTACTTCAACCAAAAGGTAAATTGTGCGTTTCTCGCCGAACTATGATTATGGCAGCCATTGTAGTGCAATAAGCGCGTCTCACAACAAAGAACTTAATTGTGACGTAATAATGGACGATTGCACGTTGAAGTGGAAGAAGGCGTATCTTCGACGTAAAAGAAGAATTAACGATGAATTATAACGTTTGATCGAAAATGATAAATCGTAGTTTTTAACTTTTTTTCTTTAAAATAACCAAGGCGAAAGGGCCGCGGGTTGGCCACTCCTGCCCTAGACCATCCGGTATGTTCAACAACGCCGTTGTAACAACTAATTATTACTAGCCGCCACCGAGAACGTGGTGTTACTGAAGCAAAAGCCATTTCTATTTCAGGAAAACGTTTTTTTTTTGTCAATAATTATACTTCGAACAACAGTACTTGGAATCACCGCGTTTAAAAATGACTGAAACACTATTCCCAGACCGGGAATCGAACCCGGGCCGCCTGATGGGTGAAAGCCAGGAACCCTAACCCATCTGGGAAGTCGATTACATTCCGTCGAGCACGAGACATTTTGGAACAAATCACTCGAGAGTTTTTTTTCTGCTATAACTGGTACAATAGATTTAGGTGTCTGTCGGTGTTTAACTCCTATGATAATTTGAATTGCTCTCAATCGTTCTTAATTAACTAGCTCAGGCCTAGAAATCTGAGACTACAACTGAGTAAGCGACATATAGCGCAGACCTCACGCGAGCACCACGGATAACTACTAATTCAAAGTCGGGAGCACCCTGCGTATTCTTGGTTTTGCTATTCTGCTTGTGGAATGGGGCATTGTGACACTTGGGTGCTTGGATTCGTTATTTTTTTATGGTTCTTTGTTTATCGGGTGTCTCCCGGAAATTCAGGTCGCCTTGAATTTTATTTCTTTATAAAAATTGTTTTACTTTTTCATTGTATTTTCAATTACTTTTAGATTCAATCACGGTGTCCACGCTTGATAACCAGTGTTGGTTTCTCGCGACTTCCTTCATCCCGAATTATCCGTGTTTGCTTCTTTTTACATTCTGCATTCACTAAGTATATTTCATGTGTGGTGGAAAAATAAACTACTGATTACTATGGAACTTTCCATGACCTTTGACCCCCGGAAAATTTTTCCTATACTTAACCATTGCGAAATTTTCGGGGCTATTTTAAGAGTGCTTTTGCGAGTTGGCGCCTGTAAAAAGGGTACCGTATGTGTTTCAAACCATCATTATGATTCATCGCATACAGCAATCTGTTTTTTAAAACTACCCGTAAAGAATTTTAGCCTAGTCTATCACAGCTATTTCTACACTAATTTTATTACTGCATGTAAATTGAAACTCCTAGGAAGACAGTGATCATTGAATTATCTGATTAATATTTAAGTTTCCGAAACACAACAGAAAACTAACGAATACAGTTCAAAAACGCGAAAACGAGGTAATGTTTACGACCACGCTTGAAAATCTGTCTGAGTGAGAAAAGTGTCTGAGCAGATGCGAAAAGGGAGCATTGTTACGTCATTTTTGCATCATGCTGATTGGCCAAACTCACGAAGTAAACAAGGAAGTCGGTGCTCGGGGAAAGGTCATACCGTGAGATCTACTTCAAGCTGATACTATAGCGCGAAGGTATGTCAATGTTTATCTCCTGTAATTTTTTGAGTTTTCTCAATCGCTGTTAACTAGCTCAGGCCTAGAAAGAAACTGAGACAACAAATGGGTAAGCGACATACGGCAGAAGATCCCACGCTATAGCAGCACGTAGAACTACTGGTCGGGGTTCCGCATTATGAATTCGAAGTCAGGAGCACACTGAGTGTTCTTGGTTTTGCTATTCTGCTCGTTGAATGGGCATCGTAAGTTACAGGCGAACAGTAACACGAAACAACAGGCTTAATGAATGATATTGCGATATAGGTAATTACTAAATTTGATCCGGCTGACATTATTGCGTACGAAGTGGAGATATAGATATTGGTCACTGTTTGTTTTCGTTTCTCTATATTTGGTTACGCGATTAAGCATTGCGTAACAATTGGGTCTGTCATGCATGTCCAACACCAAGTCTTCTGCGGTGAAATGATTAGCTACGGAAAAACAGAAAATTATGTAACTTTCTAAGTCAGTAAACAAAATATCCTGAACTCGGAATTTAAAATTTGTGACAAAAGCTATCTTAGGAGAAAAAGATGTTCCAGACCGGGAATCGAACCCAGGGCCGCATGGGTGAAAGCCGGGAATCCTAACCCCTAGGCCTAGACCATTTGGGACGTTGAATAACTATTACATGCACGTCACACCGCGCAACAAATCACTTGAATTTTTTTCTCCTTGGTTACGCTGGTCGTCGGCGAGATTCACCGTACAAAAGAAGCAAGTTCATTGAAGGCTTTGGAAGGACGTCGTAACAGTTATGATTTTCGAAGGTTTAAAAAACACCTCTGTTGCAGTCACGTCATTGTTACCTTATAGCTGTTCACCAACCTAAGAGTTCGTTGTGGTAGTAACCATTAGCATGGCCGTACTTTGCAATTAAATTTCATCTCTTTACACCATTAACCATTTTGTAACAATTGAGTTATAGATGTCCACCACCAGTGCCGGTTTTTCCCGGTGAAAAATGATTAGCGAAAACGAAACGTGAAAGGATCAGACGTCAGAAGAATTGCACAGAAAGTCTGCGGACATACTTCGACAGACCGGTAACCGAACCCGGGTCGCCTGCGCGAGAGCCAGGAACCCTACCCAGCTTCTAATGAGGAGAAAACATTGTAAGCAAGTTACATACCTCATCTAATTACAACCCCAAATAAAAGATTCGAAACTTACACCCATAACCAAACACAGAAATCACGGAATTTAGACTCCATACTCACCATAAGACCTCAACACTAATGTATCATAGTTAGCGTTTGGGCTACCATTTGTTCTGGTTGGAAATGATTAATATTAAATCACAAACTGAGAACTCTATGAAAGAACGACCCGGCATCTAAGGCAGATGAACGACAGCATATCTAGTCAGTGGGCACATGTACTCAACATGCCACTGCAAATGTCGGTGCTGCCGTAAGAACATAGTTCTGAACTTTAAAACTCAAATATAAGGACACGAAAGACGAAACTAAATACAGTACTGCAATATCTAATTTTTCGGTCTACCTGACTACCAGATCGCTGAAATGCGATAACGAAACCACGGCGCGCATTTTTTAATTTTGATGGCGTCAGTAAACACAAAAAACGGATTCAATAGAGTCCACAGACATTTTTAATAAATAAAAGTTATAACATTCTAGCAACAAAAATAATCTTTAAACACTGAAAATTTCAAAGCAATTCGTCCTGTTCTTATGGAAAAAAGTGATTTTTTTCACAATAAGGAGAAGATAAAATGACCATCCAAATCTAAAAAACAACAACATGTAATAAGAAAACGGTTCTTAATTACTTCTTGGCCAATGAAGGCATATAATATCGATAGATTTTTCGCCGAATTTCATACTATTTTTTTAATAAATGATTTATTGAAATTCACTCGGGGGCAATAAATCATTTATTATTTCTATGCATCTATATCGCGACATGTTGAATGCCATGAACGATAATATGTTAACGGCATTCCTGATGCAATAAATGATTAAAATAATATCGAACTAACTTTAGATCCACTGTGATGTCGTCTTACCCCTTATACAATGATCGACCGAGTCAATTATGTATTTCTCCAGTCACCACAAACATTAGGTTAAATTAATTTCCTCGTATTTCCAATAATTTGTTGATCTCAACAACTGGCTATTGTTCATTGAACAAAAAAGAAAAAAAATCATCAAGAATCGCAAGGTGTCCAGCCACCTTCTTGGGCGCAATTTAATCAATCATCATTAATTCGTTAACACAGTGTAAACGTATCACAAGAAACAAACATTACATTTAACAAAAATAAACTCATTTAAACTGTGTGACAGTAGGTTCATGACAGTAGAGTGTAGAAAGTGAACAAAACACCAAAAGACTTCGATCAATATTTTAAGTGGAAAAAGGAAACTTTTTGAAAACAAGAAAATTGCCAAAAAAAAAATACAATTTGTAATTCGAAACCTCGTGAAAATATGTTACATTTATCTTGTTCATAAAACTGAACAATATACGCTATATTTGGTAATATATATGGCCATGTCAAAATTTACTGCCCCTGTCTCGTCATAATAAAACCGAATCCAGAAATGTCGAAAAGTGATGAAATGGCGCGGCGGTGTGGCTCAACGGGCTAAGCGTTATGAATACGCTCGCCACCGCACCTCTAATTACTCTGCGTGGGTTCGCAGGTTCGAATCCCATGTAGGGATGGTTATGTGCGAGAGGATTGCTGGACTCCTCGCCGTCGTTGGGTGGTTCACGTAACCGCTGGTCGGTTACGGCTTCCTCCACCACCAAGTCCATGCTTCCGAAAACAAACAATACAGTAAAAACTAATCCCATACCCGACTTGGAATGGTAACCGGACGAGAGGCCGTGGTTCGCCATATGGATAAGCCGTCTTATCGACTTTCCTCTCCCCCTGGATAAATATGTGAATCCTATCCTATCCTATCCTAATGTTCTCTTTGCTTTTAATGACTGTTTAAACCGAGTCAATGCGGAAAAATTGTCATTTTTAAACAACCCTCGCGAAAACGCAAGAAATTCTATATTGCAATGTTGTAGTCGTTTCAGCTTGTTTATTATATATTAACAAGATGATAAGTGTAATCACTAATTTGTTAATTCATTCGCTATTAAACCAATTAAAATATTCACTTGGAAAAAATGAGTGGGATATAGCGCGTGGGAATTTTTTAGTAGGAATTTTTTTATAGCTCCAATTTTTTGATTTTCGGCTAGCTTCACAGAGTACCGGTACGTTTTACTTCCGCTTTGGACAGTTGGATAGGATAGGATTTACATATTTATCCCGGTGGAGAGGAAAGCCGACAAGACGGCTTATCCATATGGCGAACCACGGACTCTCGTCCGATGGGATTAGTTACGGTAGTTATATGTTTTCGGAAGCAAATTGATTTGGTACCGATACTGTCAGACTGTTGAGATTGATTCCTAGTTTATACACAGTCAGAAGTTAAATGAAATTTATTTTGTGTTTCATTATCGGACAATAAATGTTTATCTCGATGAATGTTCTAATAAAAATGGACCCCATGTTATAGTACTAGCTCGAGTTAGATCTGAAGCTAGGTATACCGGTACGGTACCGGTACGGTAGTGTTGTAAATCTCAAGCTTTGTGCCCTGCAGCCCTGTGCTACCAACAACAAAAAAAGGAAGTCATACCGGTACTCCTAATATTTTGCCAGGGTCATGCACTCTCATTCAAAATTGAGCGAGACTTAAAGTTACGGGCGACCACTGAAAAGCCAAAAGTTGCTGAAATTTAGGTACTGCCGTAATATGTGAACGGAGATGGCGGACACCGGAACGTACGGTAGCATATGTCTGTATGTACCAGGTTAGGATTAGGCAATTATTTCAGTTACAATTACTACGGGAGTCACAAAAATAAAGGAAATTGAAATAAAATTATGGCCTAACCCTAATCTGGTACACATACTACGTTCCGGTGTCTGCCAACTTGATTCACATACTACGGAAAGTGCCAAAATTTATATATTTATGGTGAACTTGGCAGTACATATATACCAGCAAAATGATTGTTACTGCTGTACTGTGTGAGGTCAGCCTTAGATTACTGTTTTGAACTACAAGAGAGCCTATATAAATGATAATTATCACCCTTTTAGTTTCTGCTTTTAACTAAATCTAATAATCTTTTAATCCAAAAAATGCTTCTTTATCAACATTAATAAACATCCAGAAGTGCGTAGTGACTCTGATCTGAAACCTCCTGATCAAGCTTCAAGTACTAATGGGGAATGCATCAACAACATCACACAATGAATCGCCCACATCTGCTGATGCGCAAAACACTGGTTTCGCAGGGAGTGGAGGTGAGTAAAAGATTTCCAATATTTTCCATTTTCTTTTATGTCGTTCATGACAAAAAAAAAATCAGCATACCTTACAGCCAGATTTCTAATATCATATTGAACATGACCATGAAACTCAATCTAATGTCTTGTTAGATTGATTATTTTTATGGATGACCCAAGGCATTGTGAATTTGTTAGCTACACATTATGATATTGGTAGAACTGTGTTGTATTTGCTGCTTGATAAGCAAAGTATCTTACGTTTTAATTGTAGGTCGACCGCTATATCGGCCAACCGATATATCGGGCCGATATATCATATCGGCCGAAAACTGCTGATATATATCGGCCATACTCGGCAAACGCCGGACTGCGTGCTGCAACGGCTCTCGCCCCTGCATAACTGGTTTCCCAATATTTCTCTGCTTTCATTTTGCGTTAAAAAGGTGTCTCCTAATTCCCGGTGTCCTATGATTAGCCATTTCATGCATGGCCATCACTGAAAAGTTATTTTCTGGAGTAACAATGAGGTTTCATAAAGTGACGTTTTTGAGTGCACAATGAGAAAAAGGCAAATTTAGTAGCATCATTAAATGGTGGTTCTATAAATAGAATCGATTTGAAGCTGCTGAGTCAGTAATCACAGAAACATGGTACAGGTAGCTCAGAGCAATAATGTCAGTTCCGAATTTGTGACATCCCCAAATTCAATTTTGAAATTTAGGGGTAACTGTTTTATCTATATTGATAGTTGTTCATCATTTTGCTGAGAATTACAAAAAAAAATACTTATTCATTATTATTGACTAAATAATGTATTGAGAGTCTCTGGAAACAAAGTTATTAAAAATTTCACATGTTACAGCACATATGCTATCACAATATCAAAGGAATTTATCCTTATGATTTATATTAATATCGACATAGCGATATTGGTTATCGGCCACTAGTTTGCCGATATATCGATATCGGCGTCAAAAAGTGATATCGGTCAACTTCTAGCTATTACCGGTAAATCGCTTTCCTAGACTCAAAATATTTCACTTGATTTTTTTTTTTTGGGGGGGGTGTCTTACTGGGAACCTATTTTTTGCCCTGTCTTATTGGCAGGCTATATGGAAAAACCCTATTTTTCAGTGCTAAAAATAAGCATCGTCTTATTTGCTGGGTAGACTTATGAGTCTGAGAATACGGTAGTTTAGCAATGCAAAAAAAATCTCAGCAATAACTGCAGCAACTGAAAATAAACTCAACAAAATTTTGTCTTGTCATCAACAATGTACAAAAGGAAGTGAGAGATATTAAATACTGTTTAATTTTTGGTTGTTTTCGAAACGATAAGGAAATTGCAGACATGAAAATCACACATCAGTATCGAAAAAAATTTGAGCACGAAACGTTCTGAGAAGCCAGGTGATCTAGCGTGCTGCCATACATCATAAAATGAATTGTATTAGCCAAAAATATATTTCTAGTGAAATAATGGGCCTTGAAAACCTCAGATTAATTGGAAAAGTTTTGTCTTGGTTTCATATAAGTTTGACGGGTTCTTTAAGTTCTGAAACTTTGGAATTGATCCTTGGAATTGTATTTGGAATTGCTCCTGTAGTAACTTATATTTATATACAAAATTATTTTTTTTTTACAATTTTTGTGTTTTCTGGATCCTGATATATTATTACCTCAATAAAAATAACTCAAAACAACCAACTAAAAATTATTTTAAAGTCAGGTCCTCCTAAAAATAAATTATTTTAGAAATTCTGCTTTTTGTGAATCCTGATGTTCATATAGATATTCTAATAAAAATGACGCCATTTGTTCTGGACTTCTTGTGTAATAGATTTCTAAAATCTTCCCGCTTGAGCCCAAAGGTTCAAATTATGTTTATCTGCTATTATTTGAGGTGCGAACACTACACTTCGATCTATTCTGCTTAAAATTTAAATGCTTAATTTACATTTAGGAATCCCCACTGCTTCCCAACCCAGAAATAGCAGGAGCTTACCACATTGCTAGGAAAAATAATTTGTGTATATTGTGTTGTCTGCACTGAATGAGATACTTAGTGGGATATGGTCGATTGGATGCTTTGTCCTATTCCAAAATGCGACCAAGTTTGGATCAGATTCGACGTTTTAAATACTTTGGTTGTGAACTGGTTTGCTCTCATCCTAGACTAATGAGTTAATATAAAGGCACAGAAGCTAAAATATATGGGCCCCTAAATATATTTTATTATAGCATTTGACATTATTTTATTTCTTAAGAATCAAAACGACAGAGATATGAATTAAAAAAAATGGTAAGAGAAAGACAACAACTATTAAGAGAAACACAACAATTAGAGATGGGACAGGAACGAGGAAAGAAAGAAATGAAGGAATTGGGACAAAAGTTTAAAGGTAAAAAAAGTTTTTTTTTTGTTATATCTGAACTTTTTTTTTTTTTTCAATTAAATGATGATGCACAACATGTCATTTGAATTCTGTTGAAAGCACTTTATTTATTTCGCTGAAATATATTATTCCCATCAAGTCCATGCATTCGAAACAATTAACCGGTTAACTATTCCCATACCTGGCAAGGACTGGGAACCAGATGAGAGACTGTGGTTTGCTAGATGAACAATTGGAAAAGAGCCTTCCTTTAATGATTAAGTTGCCATATCAGCTTTTCTCTGATATGGCCACTACCATGAAACATTGGCTCAAATGCGGAAGGTCAAAAAATTGTTCTATTGAGTTCAAATTTTAAAGTTTAGTTAAAAATTTTTTATCAACAAATATAACGTTGAGGAGGAGAAAAACTAAAGGAGTAGAAAACTCACTGGGTACGTGTGCAAGGTAGATGGAACCTCCATTTCCGGCTTTGGTCTAATCCTATAGTTGTTGTCGGGTGGTGTCTTTTTCAACTTAATCTGCACTGGTTTGTCACACTGGTCATCCATTATCACACACACACTACTCTGTGGTGTCATCCAAACTGACCTGGGCACTTTGCTTTTAACTATTGTCTCAATGGCGTTCTACTGAAATCCATGTAGTGTCACCAGCAGTTCCTCCCACCAATTTCTCACATCTTGATGAAGTGCCTTGCATTGTTTTTCATCAATTCCAAAACCACCCACTGCTTCTTCAATCCCTTCTACCAGTGCTTTCATTGTTGTCAGCTCTCTTTTATTTCAGTTGATTTAGCCTCCAGTGTAATCATTCGACCACTCAAGCTTTTTTCCTAGATTTCCTTTTAGCTTTAGACATGTACATTTATTTTCTTAGTTTTAGTTTTGTGTAAATGCAGGAGGTGGGGTTCTTAAAATCAGGTATTTGTGATATAAAATAATGTAAAACTTCCATTGTAACATAGTCTGGTGGTATTTTTTATGTTTTTCAGATTGCAGAAGGTGTTCCATGTATTCAATGTAGAATATCTTACAGAAATTTATAACATACCCATATTGAATTGATCAATTTTTTTTTTCCTAAATTTCTCAAGTCGATTTAAAAAAGTGATATTACAAAACCCTCATGTTGATTCGAAGGTACTGTGACTTTAAACCCGCTTCATAGCACTGGTATTAATTAGCACCAATGAAACGATACAGCTTGCGGCTCTGGTTTTCCAGACCTGATTTGGAGCTTCTACAGAGCATCCTTTTCCCCATTTTTCTTTATAAACATCAATATTTAATTTACAGGTAGTAAAGTAGAAGATTCCTCCTCTGAAGATGAGATTTTGTTTTCAGTAGGAAGCCCACATTCTTTAAAAGGTACGTACAGCTTTCATTGCTAGGAGAAATAATTTGTGTATATTATGTTGTCTGCACTGAATGAGATATTAAGTGGCATATGGTCGATTGGATGCTTTGTCTTATTCCAAAATGCGACCAAGTTTGGATCAGATTCAACGTTTTAAATACTTTGGTTGTGAACTGGTTTGCCCTCATCCTAGACTAATGAGTTAATATGAAGGCACAGAAGCTATGATAAAATATATGGGCCCCTAAATATAGTTTATTATAGCATTTGACATGATTTTATTTCTTAAGAATTAAAACGACAGATAGATGGATTAATAATAGTAAGAAAATTACAACAATTAGAGATGAGACAGGAACGAAGAAAGAAAGAAATGAAGAAATTGGGACAAAAGTTTGAAGGTAAAAAAAGTTATTTTTTTTTGTTATAGCTGAATTTTTTATTTTTTCAATTAAATGATGATTCACGATATGTCATTTGAATTCTGTGGAGAGCACTTTAATTTACCAGATTTTAACTGAAATATATCATTAACCTTCAAGTCCATGCATCTGAAACCATTAACCGGTTAACTATTCCCATACCTGGCAAGGACTGGGAACCAGATGAGAGACTGGTTTGCTAGATGAACAATTGGAAAAGAGCCTTAATGATTAAGTTGCCATATCAGCTTTTCTCTGATATGGCCACTACCATGAAACATTGGCTCAAATGCAGAAGGTCAAAAAATTGCTCTATCAAGTTCAAATTTTAAAGTTCAGTTAAAATTTTCAAATAACAAATATAACGTTGAGGAGGAGAAAAACTAAAGGAGTAGAAAACTCACTGGGTACGTGTGCAAGGTAGATGGAGACTCCATTTCCGGGTTTGGTCTAATCCTATAGTTGTTGTCGGGTGGTGTCTTTTTCAACTTAATCTGCACTGGTTTGTCACACTGGTCATCCATTATCACACTACTCTGTGGTGTCATCCAAACTGACCTGGGCACTTTGCTTTTAACTATTGTCTCAATGGCGTTCTACTGAAATCCATGTAGTGTCACCAGCAGTTCCTCCCACCAATTTCTCACATCTTGATGAAGTGCCTTGCATTGTTTTTCATCAATTCCAAAACCACCCACTGCTTCTTCAACCCCTTCTACCAGTGCTTTCATTGTTGTCAGCTCTCTTTTATTTCAGTTGATTTAGCCTCCAGTGTAATCATTCGACCACTCAAGCTTTTTTCCTAGATTTCCTTTTAGCTTTAGACATGTACATTTATTTTCTTAGTTTTGGTTTTGTGTAAATGCAGGAAGTGAGGTTCTTAAAATCAGGTATTTGTGATATAAAACAATGTAAAACTTCCATTGTAACATAGTCTGGTGGTATTTTTTATGTTTTTCACATTGCAGAAGGTGTTCCATGTATTCAATGTAGAATATCTTACAGAAATTTATAACATACCTATATTGAATTGATCAATTTTTTTTTTCCTAAATTTCTCAAGTCGATTTAAAAAAGTGATATTACAAAACCCTCATGTTGATTCGAAGGTACTGTGACTTTAAACCCGCTTCATAGCCCTGGTATTAATTAGCACCAACGAAACGATACAGCTTGCGGCTCTGGTTTTCCAGACCTGATTTGGAGCTTCTACAGGGCATCCTTTTACCCTTTTTCTTTATAAACATCAATATTTAATTTACAGGTACTAAAATAGAAGTGGGAGATTCGTCCTCTGAAGATAAGAGTTTGTCTTCAGGAGAAAGCTCACATTCTTTAAAAGGTATGTACAGCTTCCATTGCTAAGAAAAATAATTTGTGTATATTTTGTTGTCTGCACTGAATGAGATATTAAGTGGGATATGGTCGATTGGATGCTTTGTCTTATTCCAAAATGCGACCAAGTTTGGATCAGATTCAACGTTTTAAATACTTTGGTTGTGAACTGGTTTGCCCTCATCCTAGACTAATGAGTTAATATAAAGGCAAAGAAGCTAAAATATATGGGCCCCTAACTATATTTTATTATAGCATTTGACATGATTTTATTTCTTAAGAATTTAAACGAGCGTTAAGAGATAGACAACAATTAGAGATGGGTCAGGAACGAAGAAAGAAAGAAATGAAGAAATTGGGACAAAAGTTTGAAGGTAAAAAAAGTTTTTTTTTTGTTATATCTGAATTTTTTATTTTTTCAATTCAATGATGATGCACGATATGTCATTTGAATTCTGTGGAGAGCACTTTAATTTATTTCAACTGAAATATATCATTAACCTTCAAGTCCATGCATCTGAAATAATTAACCGGTTAACTATTCGTATATTTGGCAAGGACTGGGAACTAGTCGAGAAACGGCGGTTTGCTAGATGAACAATTGGAAAAGAGCCTTCCTTAATGATTAAGTTGCCATATCAGCTTTTCTCTGCTTTGGAAATATTTTTGATATGGCCGCTACCATGAAACATTGGCTCAAATGCGGAAGTTCAAAAAACCGTTCTACTAGGTTCAAATTTTAAAGTTCAGGTAATAAATATAACGTTGAGGAGTAGAAAACTCACCGGGTACGTGTGCAAGATAGATGGAGACACCATTTCCGGCTTTGGTCTAATCCTATAGTTGTTGTCGGGTTGTGTCTTTTTCAACTTAATCTCCACTGGTTTGTCACACTGGTCATCCATCATCACACTACTCTGTGGTGTCATCAAAACTGACCTGGGCACTTTGCTTTTAACTAATGTCTCAATGGCGTTCTACTGAAATCCATGTAGTGTCACGAGCAGTTCCTCTCACCAATTTCTTACATTTTGATGGCGTGCCTTGCATTGTTTTTCATCAATTCTAAAACCCCCCACTGCTTCTTCAATCCCTTCTACCAGTGCTTTCATTGTTGTCAGCTCTCTTTTATTTCAGTTGATTTAGCCTCCAGTGTAATCATTCGACAACTCAAGCTTTTTTCCTAGATTTCCTTTTAGCTTTAGACATGTACATTCATTTTCTTAGTTTTGGTTTTGTGTAAATGCTACTTTTCGAATGTATTCGAAATAGTGAACTATTCGGTATTGGCCATCCCTGCCAGGGGGTGGGGTTCTTAAAACCAGGTATATGTGATATAAAACAATGTGAAACTTCCATTGTAACATAGTCTGGTGGTATTTTTTATGTTTTTCATTTTTCAGAAAGTGTTCCTTGTATTCTATGTAAAATATCTTAAATAAATTTATTACATACCCATTTTGAATTATTCAATTTTTTTTTTCCTAAATTTCTCTAACTATAGACTAAGTCGATTTAAAAAAAGTCATATTACAAAACCCTCATGTTGATTCGAAGGTACTGTGACTTTAAACCCGCTTCATAGCCCTGGTATTAATTAGCACCAACGAAACGATACAGCTTGCGGCTCTGGTTTTCCAGACCAGATTTGGAGCTTCTACAGGGCATCCTTTTACCCTTTTTCTTTATAAACATCAATATTTAATTTACAGGTATTAAAGTAGAAGTGGGAGATTCGTCCTCTGAAGATAAGAGTTTGTCTTCAGGAGAAAGCTCACATTCTTTAAAAGGTACGTACAGCTTTCATTGCTAGGAGAAATAATTTGTGTATATTTTGTTGTCTGCACTGAATGAGATATTAAGTGGGATATGGTCGATTTGTCTTCAATGCTTTGTCTTATTCCAAAATGCGACCAAGTTTGGATCAGATTCAACGTTTTAAATACTTTGGTTGTGAACTGGTTTGCCCTCATCCTAGACTAATGAGTTAATATAAAGGCACAGAAGCTAAAATATATGGGCCCCTAGTACCACAAAGACGATGATACCTATTTGTACTTGCACAGAACTGTAAATCCAGTAGGGAAAAACGAGTTATTATATTTGCTCATACTTATATAACCTCTCGCTTGTTTTTATTATAGGTTCATTGAACGCCTTTTACAAATCACCAGAATGCCGAGACACCCCCGCTCATAGAGATAACTCGACTCTCTGGATGCCTCTGCCGACAAGGATCAGAAGAACACCAATCGCTGTAAGTGTGTGCTCTGAATCATCTTAAATTTATGAAATTATTTAACAAAATATATATCCTCGCTTATAAGCCATTCCGCATATGAAGTATGTGATGTTGGTTTAAATACATTTGTGTTAGCTTAATAAGGCAGGGGTGGGCAACATACAGCCCGCTGTTCTTCCTTGTCCGGTTCGCGACGAGATTTTGACCGGCCCGCTGACTGTACATCAGTACATTATGATTAGGGGTGGGCAAAATCGAATATTTTTTTCGAATGGTCGAATAACGAATATTTTTTTTAAATACTACGGGGGTCCGTCGGAGGTCGATGCTCCCTTCGAAAATTAGAAGAAACTTTGAAATGTCGGCAACAAAGCGTTTTCTATTTACTGGTTAAATTCATTAAAATGGCTAATTGATTTTGTCGTCGTGATCCTAAAGTTCGTAATCTGTATTCCCCTCGATTATTTTTTTTGAAAGTATCAATTTTTGCGGGTCGGCGGACATCGAAGTTTTATATATTAGGTATATACGTGCGTTGCCGTTGAAAATTTTTTAAAACTGTAAAAGTCGCCAATAACACGTGCGATAGCATTTTGCTATAATTGCCGATGTGACAAGGTATTTAGGCCGTAAACAACTTTATGTTGGTTTTATTTTCTCTAAATCAAAAATTTTCCACAACGTTGTGTGACGTTAACGATGATAATTATTTTATTTTTGTACACACACGGAATTGCGAATTCGGCGATAGTTTAAATAATATACATTCATCGGCGGCGAGTTTCTGAGGACAACACAAATTTTTTGATTGAAAAGCGGCAATATAATATACTGAAAATAAAACTTTAAACAATATGAGTTTTATTGAGGCCTGCGACAGTTTAAAAACGCCTTTTTGGACATTGAAAATCGCAAAATTTTGTGTGCCTCTCGCACACATTATGTTTGGTCGGCGTTTAGAAAACATATCGTCACTAAAATCGAAGCACTGTTAATTGTAGGCGGGATTGGCCATACCATTAAATTGCCGCCGAAAATTTTCTTTTCAACATTATACAAGGTTAGCCATGAAAAGAAAACAAATAACATCATAACGCAAAGAAAATTTGTCGCTTTTGTATGTTAGAGAGTGCCGTTTGTGAATTCTCGCACAATTCGCGATTGATTTGGCGACGCGCGAATCCCGTATTAAAGCAAAGCGGCGCAGGTCACGTGGTAACGGGTATTCGAATTGTAAAATGCCATTCGAATATTTTGATATTCGATATTCGTTATTCGAATATTTTGCCCAGCCCTAATTATGATATTACATTATTACACTTTTAGTACATTATGATAAATTCATTATGTGTTTTTTGGTCTCTATTTTTTGTAAAGTTTAAACTTTTCTTTAAACCCGATTTATAATTTTATTTCTTGCATTAGCAAATAAATATGTGATTAAGATATGAATACTATTCATGTGATAATCCGGCCCACCGAGGACTTCATTTTCCCACATCTGGCTTCGCTTAGGATAGCTATATTCACTCTTGTTACAGCATAAGGAGATATTGCCCTCACAGTTACTCAATGATAGCTTGTATTAATTACGACTTTTAAATTTTAGAATCGATCATGTTTTATTTTCTTTAACCACGAGAACAGCTAAGATAGAGCTACTCTCAATTGAAAATGTATTCCTGATGAGTAAGCATAATTTTTCAAATTTCTTATTTCTCAGGGAGGGAGTTGGGATGACAACAGCGTTGGTCATGGCCTAATAGCTGCAAGAATGAGGAGGGAATGTAGTTATGGTATAATAAGAACTCAGTCAACCACGACAAATCCTCTCTATCATTCTGTCGATACGCATGGTGAGTCGTTGATCAAATTCAAGTTTTTACCTACACTTGGTTTTTGAATAGTTTGGAATAGCTGAACTACTTTACCAGCGCCACTATTATTGAACTTGGGATAGGATAGGTTCACATATTTATCCTGGGATCTGAATGCTTGTATAAAAAGATCATACTATAAACAGGAATTTTGCCGGTAATGCAAAATCTCAGATAGTTTCATCTGCCATACCTGCACTACATAGCTTATGTGAATATCACTATGTAATGCAAAATTAGGTCACAAATTTACTCGTACTCCCTTTAATTGTCAAATTTATACTCGAACGCAAATTATTTGTCAATTTATCGCTCTAAAATCTAAAAATGACGGTTTTACAGTCTCTAAAACTAACTGCGAAGGTGTCTCGCACACTTTGCAAAAAATTGCGCTAAGGGAGAGTCAAGTCAATAAGACGGCTTTATCGTATAGCGAACCACGGCATCTCCTCAAGTCAACACTCCATGTGGGGTATGGGATTAGTTTAGTCAGTTATTTGTTTCCGGAAGCATGGACTTGCTACATGTTAAAGAGCCTTTGGAATGTTTCATAGCAGTTTAGCTTGACTGAAGAGATTGAAAACCACTGGTTACTTATCGATTTTAATCGGTAAGTATGTTGATAGGTATTTGTCTGTCTGTTAGATGCACGCGATATCTCACGAAAGCGAGATTGAATCTGCACCAGATTTTGCATGTGCATTCATCTTATCTCGGACCAGAAGCCTATTGATTTTGGGTGAATTATGTCGTATAATTAGTGAGTAATTAATTAATTAGTGATGGACACGAGGTGTCACTATGGAGTAAGAGCGCTGTTTTGGGGGATTCCCTAACTTTCAATCAATAAGTCTTCGGTCTCTGACCGATATTCTCGTTTATGATATTAGAAATATGTTGTTTTTTCCTATCTAATAGACTCATGAAGAAAATTCAAACTTTATTGCAGTGTTCTAGAACAGCGTTCCCCAAACTGGGGTCTTCGGACCCCTGGGGGCCCGTGACGACTGCACACGGGGTCCGCAACGATGTGAAAAGAGTCTGAAACGTACATTGTTACGTATATTCACTGCCACATAGACATTTGTAAACGAGATAAAGTCATCATACGAAATCATCAACGAAATTGATTCAGATTTTCATGAGTTTTATTTCGTGAAAGGAAAAAATTACGTTTTCTCGTTAGATAGGAGCAGAAATTGATACGACATAGGATGGGGGTCCGTCAAAAATTAGATTCACAAACAGGGGTTCGCGGCTCAAAAAGTTTGGGAAACTTTGTTCTAGAATACTCAATTTAATGAATTTGAACATCCCAGTGCCTAGCTGCCGCACCTGTCACATGAAAGTAACATCATAACATTTGAATTTAGCGTATTTAAAACGAAATAAATGACAAGGCAGAAAATGTGGAATACTGAACTATTTGGTTACAAATGCTTGCCTAGTCACCATGTTCCCATTGCAAATTTCTTTAGAAATGAGTTACAAATTTAGGGTACAAAACTTTTTGACTCTGGATAGTCTTCTAACCCAGGGGTTCTCAAACTTTTAGTGTTATGGTGCCCATCAAGAGGTTGACTATTATTTACAGAGCCTCACAATAAATTTATAAAAACAAAAAAAAGCATTGTTATGTATCAATTAATGTCCCTAACTAAGTAAACTAAAATTACTTTATTTATTGTCTTGTATGTATTTATGTATTTTCGGCTTTGTTTTTAAAAAAATATTGTTTTAATAAGTAAACGAATAGGTTGCGGACCTCCTAGGTTTCTCTCACTGAGTCCTGGGACTCAGCTGAATTGGCGTTGTTGTTGTTAGTTTTATTTGGTATGGTTATTTGGGCAACTTTTTGGTACGAAAAATTGCTTTTTTTCTCAACTAATGACTCATTGATTTGAAACTAAACATGGTAACTCATAAACTTCACATTGACATTCCATTTAGCATAGCCGTCACGACTATCCTCTGTTTGCGAGTTTTTGGGGCCATTTTGAGAAACGATGCTCTATCTGAGAGAAACCTAGGGGCTTCGCGAGCTATTTGTTCAAAATTTTTTTTAATATTTTTCAAATACAAGGCAGCAAATACATCCGAGTCAATAAATATAGTAATCCTAGTATACTCAGTAACATTAATCTATAAGTAGGGATGGGCAATGTAGAATAATTTACTATTCTAGAATAGCTAAATCGAATCCAGAATACCGAATCCTATTCTATTTTCATACTTATTCAAATAGTGAGAATTTTCCTGATTGCTGGATTTAGATGTCAAAAAATTATAAATGTATTCCTATAAATGTATTATTTATTTGGAAATGTCCTTAACAATGGATTTGATTTGATACTAAACAGGCATTTCCCAGGACAATGAAATCTAAGAATATTACAAACGTTTTGCATTTAATTGTTCCAAATGTGTGTAATCTCTAAATACTGATATGCCAAATTAAGACACGCTTCAAACACTTCAATAGTAAGAGGTTAAATACAAAAATAGATATGAAACGGCATTAAATCATTATTAATGTTGGAGTGCTGAGTGTACCAAAACACACCCGCTGAGAATTAATTAGATGCAGGACCAGCGTGTGGCCACTGCAACCGGTGTAAAATATTAAATTTAACCACTATCAATTAAAATCAACTTTTTATTCTGTGCGATCAGGACGTGCAAAACAAGGTTCCATCCATCTAAGGTTCCATTCATCTAAAGACGAATTCATTTTCTATTATTATCGTTACATATCATTATCTACCCAGACTTGGCCCTACTCAAACTCAATAACTATTTTCGCCAGATGTGGCATCTTTTTTTAAATTTATCGGCAAATAAAATTACTACAGACACTCGATCAAACGTGCGTCTATCTTGAACGTTAGAAACGGACCGAAAGATATGTAATCTTTTGAGAGTGAAATTTAAATGCGACAGGGGGTCGTGTTTTGCGATATAACTTTGTATTTCGGAAACTGGTGTAATAAAACTATTCCTAAATAATATTTGATTTAAATTAATCGCAAGTAATGTCATAACATTTCACGCCTGGCTTTTGGTTTACATGCATCATTTTCTGGGGAAAACTCGCCGGTCGAGGAAAATCATTTACAGTAATGTAAAGTGAAGCATGGCACGCCTGTAAACAATTGAAGATTGTTGCAATCAGATTATCGGAATATCGCCAGTAAGTCGGCACAAATAATTATTATTATTAAACCCTAGCTAGATAGCAAAGCAGGAAAACGCAAAAAATGGTGCAATAACGAGTCTTCGTCGTAAGGTGTACTTCTCGACTTCTTGTCCAGGATACGCCGATTGAGATTACAGTGTTTGATGTTTCTTTCCGAGCAGACGCAAGTCTATTTAAACGAGAGAGATTTCCACGTGAGAAAAACGCTCGTCTTTAATTGATATTTAGAAACCCGAAATGCAAAAATCGACTCACGGCGAAAACGCAAAAATGGTGCAATAACAGGTCTTCTCCATGAGATGTACTTCGTCGACTTCCTGTCCAGAATACACCGATTGAGATTACAGTGTTTGAAGTTTACCGATTTTACGGGTTCTTTCCGAGCAGACGAAAGACTATTTAAACGAGAGAGATTTCCACGCGAGAAAAACGCTCGTCTTTAATTGATATTTAGAAACCCGAAATGCAAAAATCGACGCTTGGCGCCGGAAAGGCGGAAACCGAATCCTGTTGGATTCGAATACTTTGGGAATCGAATCCTCCGGATTCAGTATTCTATATTGCCCATCCCTACCCCTAATTATATTTTATTATAGCATTTGACATGATTTTATTTCTTAAGGATTAAAACGACAGAGAGATGATTTAAAACGACTAGTAAGAGAAAGACAACATTTAGTAAGAGAAAGAGAACAATTAGTAAGAGAAATTGGGCAGGAACAAAGAAAGAAAGAAATGAAGAAATTGGAACAAAAGTTTGAAGGTAAAAAAAGTTATTTTTTTTTTGTTATAGCTGAATTTTTTATTTTTTCAATTAAATAATGATGCACGATATGTCATTTGAATTCTGTGGAGAGCACTTTAATTCACCGTATTGCAACTGAAATATATCATTAACCTTCAAGTCCATGCATCTGAAACAATTAACCGGGTAACTATTCCCATACCTGGCAAGGACTGGGAACCAGATGAGAGACTGTGGTTTGCTAGATGAACAATTGGAAAAGAGCCTTCCTTAATCATTAAGTTGCCATATCAGCTTTTCTCTAATATGGCCACTACCATGAAACATTGGCTCAAATGCGGAAGGTCAAAAAATTGTTCTATTGAGTTCAAATTTTAAAGTTTAGTTAAAATTTTTTATCAACAAATATAACGTTGAGGATAAAAACTAAAGGAGAAGAAAACTCACTGGGTACGTGCGCAAGGTAGATGGAGACTCCATTTCCGACTTTGGTCTAATCCTATAGTTGTTGTCGGGTGGTGTCTTTTTCAACTTAATCTGCACTGGTTTGTCACACTGGTCATCCATTATCACACTACTCTGTGGTGTCATCCAAACTGACCTGGGCACTTTGCTTTTATAACTAATGTCTCAATGGCGTTCTACTGAAATCCATGTAGTGTCACAAGCAGTTCCTCTCACCATTTTCTCACATCTTGATGCAGTGCCATTGCACTGTTTTTCATCAATTCCGAAATCATTCACTGCTTCTTCAATCCCTTCTACCAGTGCTTTCATTGTTGTCAGCTCTCTTTTATTTCAGTTGATTTAGCCTCCAGTGTATTCATTCGCCCACTCAAGCTTTATTTCTAGATTTCCTTTTAGCTTTAGACATGTACATTCATTTTCTTACTCTTGGTTTTGTGTAAATGCAAGGGGTGGGGTTCTTAAAATCAGGTATTTGGGATATAAAACAATGTAAAAGGCTATTTTTTATGTTTTTCATATTTCAGAAAGTGTTCCTTGTATTCTATGTAAAAAATCTTGGAGAAATTTATACATACCCATTTTGAATTAATCAAATTTTTTTTCCTAAATTTACTAACTATAGACCAAGTCGATTTTACAAAAGTAACTTTACAAAACCGTCATGTTGAGTCAGAGACACTGTGATTTTGAACCCGTTTCCCAGCCCTGACCTCAGCACCAACGAAACGTTGCTGCTTGCGACTCTGGTTCCCCAGACCCGATTTGGAGTCAACAATTTTGATAGATGCAAGATCAGCATTCCAAGTACAATTCCATTAATCATGGTATTCGAAAATGCTCATGATGTTGATGAATGAAGTCAGTCTCAATCACTGATACACCATATGGTTTTATTATTTGTGAATGGAGCAAATTGAAAGTTCAATTCATCAACATGCATGTTAAAGTAAACACTTCTACAGGGCATCCTTTCACCCTTTTTCTTTTTAAACATCAATATTTAATTTACAGGTAGTAAAGTAGAAGCGGGAGATTCGTCCTCTGAAGATGAGAGTTTGTTTTCAGGAGGACGCTTTTTTTCTTTAAAAGGTATGTACAGCTTTCATTGCTAGGAAAAAAAAATTGTGTATATTGTGTTGTCTGCACTGAATGAGATATTAAGTGGGATATGGTCGATTGGATGCTTTGTCCTATTCCAAAATGCGACCAAGTTTAGATCAGATTCAAATTATCAACTTCAAATTTTTTAATTACCAAATATAACGGTGAATTAATGTTTGGAATTTAAATGTTGAAAATGAAAATTCTATGTTATTATCATCTATTATGGTAAGCATGGCTCCACCACCTTTCGATCTAAAGTTATAAAAAATATAGTTTCGCAAAATCTTAAGGATCAAAGTCTTTGTATATATAAAAAAACTTAGCAAAGTAATTGGTATAATTTTCATATCGGGAAGAAGAGGCTTCAATATAACCTGCCATTTCATTCTAAAATTTCAAAGACGTGTCAGGATTCAAACCCTGAATCGTGAAAATACAAAGGTTTGTCGGTCCGGATGCAGCCTTAGGGCAAGTGCTATTTTTGAATATAATGTCAACTGCACTGAAAAAGATATTGAGTAGTTTTTGCGCTGAATGAGATATTAGGTGTTGTCTGCCGCAAATAACATATTGTTCCACTATTAACTTGTTGAAATCGACCAGGGCACTTTCACACCCATAATTTTTTTAGAGTGAGCAATGTGTGACACAATTGATTTTTCCAGTAAAACTCTCCCAACCTAACATAAAACTATAATTTTTTTATTCATGTGTAATATCAAATCGCACTATTGTGTAATATTCTTAGATTTAATTACGATATCATGTAAGACGAAGCAATTTCTTGAAGATCCCAGGGGGCACATTTGATCCAAATATAAGCCTAACCAATATGTTGTAAGGTAACAAATTATTGACTTTTGTTTCCAGGTTTGAAATACACCCGAAGGCTACAAAATGCTTCAAGCAAATCAGAGAAATTAAAGATATTCACTGAAATGCATGCAGTCGGAGAGGCATTGGGCGATACAATTGCAACCTATGTAGAGGCCATTGACATGAGCAATGTCGCACTCACATACACTGACCTTCAAGTTCTTGGTTTTATCATAAACTACTCAACAACACTGAGTATGGTAAATCTTCGCAACTGTCAATTACCACCTGGCTCAATTGCTCAACTGGGATATTCTATCAAAAGCAATGTTGTGGTAAGGTTACATTTTCTATTTTTTCATTTCTATTGCTAACCTAACACATGGTATCTCTGTTCAGCTACTAAATTTTGAAATAACTTAGGATAGGAATAATCGCATTGTGAGGGAACCTAATAGCTTGATTTCATGTTAATTAAACCATGGCTCAATCGTTCAGTAATGTGCAGGTCTCTGATAGCCTATATAAATAAGTTTGGTAGAGAAAAATATTTGATCAGTTGTCTTTTTTATATGACGTTTATGTCTATCACAGTGAACAAGGAACTGTAAAAGCAGCCGTTGATATTAATGATATTTTGGAAGCCAGACCGTAATCCTTCTGTTCTTCTTTGCCTTCCCAAGGACATCATTGGATGTGTAGTCTGTGATGCCAACACAGTTTTGCTTAACCCTTAATCCGCTAGGCCATTGTGCTGCAGTTTTTTGGTCTTTGAGCAATATAGTACTCCATAAAATAGTAACTTGCATATTCCACGCACATTAGTCGTCCCTCAAAAATAAACAAAAAGTAGAAGAGACACTTTATGTATGAGAAGCAGGAGATTGCTTTCGTGAAAGCAAGGACTAGGTGTCACTGTGCTTGATCTTAGGATTCTAAGAATATGGTATCTCTGTGTACTGGCTTATGGTCTTTTTCTCTAGCAAAATTGTATTCATTTAAATAATCATAATCCACTTGCAGATTAATGAGTTTAACATTGAGAAAAATCCCAACCTCAATGTGGAAGACTTGATTGCCGGTATCAAACTCTGCGTCAGAGAAGGAAGGGAGTGCAATTTTATCTGTGATGTTTCGCAACTCGGCAAAAAAGATAAAAAAGTCTTTAAAGCTGTGGTTTTACAATACACGGTATGTTGAATTTAGTTCAACGCTAGCATTGTAACTCTTATGAGTCTGGAAAGAGTCAGAACCCGTTTATACAATTACATACAATAAGAGGAGTAGATTTGAACAATAATGTTGTAAAAAAACACTTGCTTCAAATTCAAATCTTTTTTTTCTTGGGTATAGACATACAGTTTTCTATTCATTATGTTGAATTATACCCACAAAGTACTCCAGTACTGATACATTGAAATATATAAAACTTATTTCAGGAAACATCTCCTCCTCAATCTACGAAGTCAAGACGTGCATTAGCAATGGAAAGCAGAGTGAGTAGCTTTTGACATATTGACAGCTGGTTTACTATGCTTTAGAAAAGGTAATGATGACCTTTGTGAGTTCCAGAAAACCATGTTTCAACGACATTTTTTCCCCAAAGATATCTGATGAAAAGGATACAAAGGACTGCTGATTTCATATAAGCTATTTACGTAAATGCATTCAAGAAGAAGGCAATTGACATTTAAAACCTTGAATAATGTTGGATTTTTATGCATTTCAGTTGCAAATGCCACAAGTTTCTGTGAGTCGATACAAGAAGCGCTCAGGAAAGTCTTACAGCATTGGATTCCAGGGAAAGGCTTCATATTCGATTAGTCAGGTTAGTGCCTTGAATATGGTCAAGAAATTTTGCTGCAAACAATTTGGTTGCTCAGGAGGAGTGTAAAATACAAGCAATTGAATATCATCTTTCCATCCTATTTAGATGTTGTTTTGCATCAAAAAAATTTATGTTGTCAATAAAATGGTATTTATGAGAATAAGACTTGTATTATTTATCCTAGAAGTTAGGAATATTGATTAACCAAGTAACCAAATACTGCATTTCATATAATATAGCCACTAATGTGTACTTTTCTCTTCATGAGATTACTCCAATTAAATTCTATTGACAACCCTGACATCTTGAATTGTAACTGCATATTGCAAGAGACTGAGAAAAACTTAATGATTTTAGTTACAGCTATCGAAGACAGTTCAGATCAGCGCAGATCCGAGTGCTGTTGTTGGAAAAGTAAATACTGAAAAACTGAAGGAGGAACCTCTAGAGAAAAGCTCGGTAAGAACGAGTAATATTATTCAGGAATTCATTTAACATTTCATTCTTTTTGAAACAAATTTTTATAATAATTCATGGGGGTAGATTCTTTTGACCCTTCACTATAGCTGGAATTAATTTTATTATCAACTATTCTAATTATATCTTTAACCCTGGATAAAATTATGCGAAACTTGCTCAACTTTCCCATCTCGCAGTTATACATTTATGAAATTTTATTTGTTAAACAGAATGCAAATAATTCTACAAATGAGTATTCCAAACAGCTGGGAATGGAGAAAAAGATGACAAAGTACAAGCCCGGAACAGTTGCTGAATCTGTAAAGTATAGGAAGATGCAGAGATTTCAGGTAGAGACAGTTTTTTATAATTATAGGGAGGGAAAATCCATTATCCACTATTCATAATTTTCCTCGAATTCCCTCACAATAATTAATGTAATATCTGGTGAACTACCGTATATCCTCGCATATAAGCTGACTCCCTAAAAACGGCGAATTTATAAGAATTCGTATATAAGCCGACCCTACAAATCATAACACTTGATAGCAGTCCACATACTTTTTGACACGGCTAATTTTTGTTTATCATGAGTGCCATTTAGTTCATCGACATTGTTGAAGCTAAATTTTGCCACAATTATACCCTCATGCAAGTATTAAGTGTAGTGCTGCCACGAGCATCAAGCGTTAATGAAACCATATGTTAGTTCAAAACAACGCAAATGTTATACCTCGATCATCCTTATAATCGAATGAGTAAACTCGATTCCTCGCTGCATTGATGAAGTATCAAGACGGTGAATATAGATATATCGGTCTTGTTTTTCACAAATTTCGAACTATTGGTATTGGCTATCGCTTGTTTATCGATGGTCGTTATGCCTAATAGTCTTTTTCTAAGCTATTTCTTTTCTCTTTTATCGAAAAGCAATTTTTGGTTTATGGTTCGATTTATCTTCTTGTATTGATATGTTATAGATAGCTGGTTCTAGCGGTAAGAGCAAAGTATGGCGTAATTTGTAAAATATGCTCATCATTAATAAGTCAAGGTTCCGTCAATTAAAAATAACGTAAAGTAATTTGTGAAGCCATCTCAAAGAAAACACAAGAGCAAGTATGATTAGAGCCATTGCAGAAAATCTCTGCTTTCAAAACTACAACTTGAGATTTATAAGCTTCCTGCTCTTGCAATAAGTGTTCTTTCCTGCCAGGCACACGTTCTTTCCTGCCAGGCACACAGCAAGCAAGTATGATTAGAGGCGATGCAGAAAAGCATTGGAGTCAATGCAGAAAATATCTGCTTTCTTAACTACAACTTGCTAGGATATGTGTGAGATATTCGATAATCTTATAAGTTATAACACTAAAATCAATATTCGAATTCGATATCCCTGAATTATTAAGCCAACCCTACAGTGCAATCAGTGTTATGCACGTACAGGCCGTCCCCTTAGTTTGGCAACCTTTTTTTTAGTTTTAAACTCGGCTTATATGCAAGGATATGTGGTATAAGTGGACCCATTAGTTCAAGCTTTCCTATCGCACTGTCGCTATCTGTTTGTCGATTTACGGTGAACTACAATAAAAAAATATTTCGATTTTTTCAGTCAATGCTAAGCACAGTAGAAGAGACAAGAGAAACCCCATATCATTCAAAATTGGATAAAAGTGTGAAAATAGCGGTAAGTAAAACTGACTGGCCTTCAATTCTGAAGTAATAATTGTTATTACTAAACAATGAATTGAGCACTGGCGAGACGATTACCAGGGAATTTTTTAACTTTTTAAATGCAGATCTATGATATTTTCCATTCAAAAAAATAGAGAGGGAGAATTATTCGTCCGACAACCAGAAAACAAGCAATGGTACAAAAAATTATATACAGAATACAGAAGTTAACTCGGTATTGACTGGGGGGAGCGACATGACCATAAGGTCATTACAGTCAGCTCCCCCCAAAATCACTATTAAGGTTCACAGTTAATGTATATAAACAATGTATAAAAGATAAGCTTGTTGGAAAGTTGACTAAATCTTTTACAGAATATTTTGGGGTTTTATTTATGAAGAGGTATTTAAAAATGTAATTTATTGGTGTTCTACTTACTGCTTAATTACATGAAAACTCGAGCTAGTAATATTGATTCCAAAAACAATTATGGTTCTACACAAAGTCGCATTTCTTGCTAAATCTCGACTTAAGTTGACTATCTTATTTATTTTCAGGCATTGTCATCAGATAGAACAAGATTCCAGGCTTTAGCAATGAAAACAACAAAGTCAGCAAGACTGCGACGCCATGTGAAAGACACTCATTCGACCGTAAGATGAATAATAATTAGTAAGATACTCCGAAACTGGGGAGATCGAAGAATGTGAAATTCGAATACTTTTACTTTGCGATTTCTAATGCAAATATGGTTGATAAAAACAATGTCATAAATTAAACGAAGGGTATTTTAATCCGAATTTTAATTGCAAGAAATTGCAATTCCCAAATTTCTCGATGTTAAATGATCAAATGCCCCCTCGCCATGATAAGTTTAGAAATACATTATTTGCGCAAAAAGATTGGTAATATGATTAAATATGAACAGATTAAATTCATTCTTGGTGATCAATCAGATATTATTATTTTTTGATATTAAAGATTCTTTCAACAAAGAAAAGCACCAATAAAGATTCAGGATTCCGATCATTCAGTCAATTCGGTTCAGCAGCCAGCATAAAAAGTATTCAAAGGAGATTTTCCAGACTCAATACGAAAGTGAGGATTTCATTAAAATTTCATATAATTTGGAATTGAACTACTCAACAAAAATACACAAAAATGGTCTTAGGCTCCAGCAGCGATGCAGCCAGCGGGGGGACTGGGGGAGGGCTATAGTCGTAACCCATCCCTGTTTGAAAATATTCAAATTATTTTATTAAAAAAAAATGTATACGATTTTGCCCACTTATCACGGTGCATGTGAAACATCCAAATTCATTCTCTCCGAATATTAGCTAGCTCATTTGAGAAACAACGAAGAGCGAACAATGCGACATGATTACCGCTGACTATGGATTAATGAATGGTCGACGATAATTAGATGTTTGAGAGTAACATGCAAAATATTCACCAAACAATGTTTGTTGAAGGCAGGCAATCTATACACATTAATTACGGTAATTCTACAGGTTTTCGCTATGAACAACATTTAGTTGCTTAAACGTCTTACGACATCGTGAATTGCACTTTTTTTACCCCACCGTGCAAAATCTTTTTAAAAAAATGCTGGCTGCGCTCCAGGTAAGCATTTTTCCTGCCATGATACTTGTCGCATAGATGCTCATCTACTCTTTAACTTTAATTTCGTTGATTTTTGGTGAAAGCCTCACACTATCGCTAACACATATAAGAACGTCTAACTTTCCAATAAACGAATGATGTTAATATGATCAATCCGTCTAATTAATTTACCATTTTATAAATAGGAGGATAGAAGCAAGAGATCGGAGCATTCAATGACAGACAATGTGAATGTAAGATATTTGTTAAACTACAATAGTTTTGGTTTTGTTTCAACTGGAAATTGAAATATGTCTATACCTCAACGTCGAGCATTAAAACAAGAGTGATATAAAATATCCTCGTTAAAAGTCCACTGTATGTTTTCATATGACCCTACAATCACAATATTAATAGAGAGGATTTAAATTTCCTGTTTCAGAATGCTACATAATCCATTATACTGGGGGGATAATCTGTGATACCCGGATATTACCGGCAGCTTTTTTGACATTATTCTCTTCTCTTTAATGCTATATTCCCCACTTTTCAGACGGACAGTGCACATGGAAGTTTTGGCAGTTCAGAGAAATTAGATGTTTCAAGAAAAAGAAATGTAAGTTTTTAACATGCACTTATGAGGTATACGACATGTTGCTGTAATAAATAGTCTAATTTACATTAAATCATGTGTTTGCGACGTACAGCAAATTAAAATATATACTACAAATGTATGCTTCGGTTATAACTTATAATTAATAATACACCAACTCCCATTTTATTATCAAAAAATTACAGCAAGAACATATATTAATTGCCCATTTTGAGTCCAAATTTCGACCGTTTATTCCCGAAAAGTTTTACACATATTACGAAACTATTTTTTTGTTTCTGTTCCACAATTAGTTTACTGGGAAAAGTAAATGCAAATGGCTAAAATCATACAACTTTTGTCATTTTCTTTTATCGCTAATATATACTGTTAATTAAGGATTATGATCCCAAAATGCTTGAATGGCAGAGATTCGAAATGACATGCAAATATGGGCTTGGAGTCATGCAAAACAAAACGCAAAGATTGAAAAATGGCTGAATAGTAAGTACTAAAATGTTGGAAATGAAACCGACTTAGAGAAACTATTGTGCCTGATTATATTAGCTCTAAAATTCACGACTTGCTTATATTGGTTTTTGTATACGGTGTTAAATCAGGGGTCACCAAACTACGGGCCGGATCCGGCCCGCGGCGTCATTTTATCCGGCCCGCAATAACACGCAAAAATGACGATTTTTTTTTCCAATGGAAATTTTCCCTGAGCATCGTCTTCCTTGTTTATTTCGTGACATTGGCCAATCAGCAAGATGCAAAAAAGTGACGTAATAATAGGCCCCTCATCCGCTTAGATACTTTTGTTTTGTCACCCTGGCAGATTTTCAGTCGTGGTTGTAAACAATACTTCGTTTTTGCGATTTTGAATGCTATTCGTTAGTTTTTGGTTGTGTTTGGGAAATTTAAATCAAATACGTCCATCATCATTTGTCTGCTTAGGAGTTGTAGTTTTAATAGTTATAATGAAAAATTAGTCTAGAAATAGCTGTGACAAAATAGGCTAAAATTCTCTACCGGTACGCAACGTTTTCTGCGAAAGATGCACTCTTGGCGCGTGCTTTCGACGAAACTGTTTACGTTTCTTGTGCTATAATGAACGTCGAATTTGCATGTTGCGCTAACAGAACTGTAAGCCCTCGCGTACTGCTCCAATTTCACAAGTCACACTAACTTTTATACTGCTTTAAAGCGGATATTCATGTAGGTATGTTACAAAATAATTGAAGTTTATCCGATTTAAATGAAAACTGCGCCAGTGGATCTGAGTGAAAATAGGAAAACAATACCGAGTTTATAAAAAACGATCAAGAAATAACGGAGATATCGGAATTTTAGTAGGCCTACCACCAGGCAGGCAAATTCTTTTCATAAGAATTGTATTACTTTTTCATAAGAACTGTAATAAATATGAAAAAAGAACACATATCAATCACTAGTCTTTCGATCTGCGTCACATCTATGGAATATTAAGACTATTTCAGGATTTTATTTTGGCAACGGTTTTGATACCGCCGATAGATCGTCGCAAATAAACGCTGGAGTTGTGCACGTTAGTTTGACAGTGGTTCATTGTAATAGTTAACGATGTTTTGATTGTACAAATTTCGTAAAAATTGGTAAGTATTAGGTTAGACAAGAAATACACACGTCCACATAAATTTTATTAGTGGCTATAGACAATATCATTAATCTGTACTATGTATAAATAGAGCGTAATTTTTAAAAGCTCCGAATGTTGGGAAATTTATGCGATAATAAAAAAAATCAAATACCGGATAATAGTTGTTTATTTTATCTAAATTATGTCAAAATTTCATGGACTTTCATGATACAGCAGGCAGTCCGTAGTCGTTTTTATGAGCGGTATTCCGACACGGCGTAACGGTACTTAGCAGACGTGATCCGTACATTTTTTTGAGCGAAAAAGCGGGTTTTGTAACATTCCTAATTCATGACTGCAACAGCTAAACTGAGGTTAGTTGTCTAGATCAGTGTTTTTCAACCGGGGTGCCGCGGCACACCGGTGTGCCGTAGAATGTTGTCAGGGGTGCCGTGGGAAATTCTCCAATTTGTGTGTATATGAGGTGTTGTGTTCGGTAGAGTAATCATGTAGTACTGTTCCATATCAAAAGGTGGCAGCAGCAGGTGGCGATTTGCAAGCATGGATGCAGCGGCAGGTAATTGTGACGTCATACAGATGTCACGTGATACGAGCCCGCATTCGACCGACTCAGACTCAAGGTCATTCCCGCTCTTCCTGGCTGCGCTTTGCATTTGTGATGGAGAAATTTTTGAAAAGAAAAAATGCGGACATTGTACTGGACCCTGGACAAAATCCGGGCCGTAGTATGAGTGGAGGTGAAAAGAAAGCAAAGACAAGGCAATACAACAAAAACTATCTTTCATTTGGATTTACTTGTACCGTAGATGCGACGGCACCGACTCCATTGTGCTTGGTATGTGGTGAAACGCTCTCCAACGGTGCTATGGTTCCATGCAAGCTCAAACGACATCTTGAAACTAGACACCCTTTACTTCAAAACAAAAATGTGGATTATTTTGTTCGCCCTCGTGATCAGACAAAGAAACAGGCCACTTTCATGAGAAAAACCGCAAAGGTAAACGCGAAAGCCCTCAAAGCTAGCTATCACGTAGCTGAACTTGTGGCTAAATCAAAAAAGTCCCACACTGTGGCAGAGCAATTAATACTTCCCGCCTGCGAAGTCATTGTAACTGAAATGCTCGGGCCCGAAGCGGCCAAAGAAATAGCCAGAGTCCCCTTTCAGATAACACAATTTCCTGACGCATCAATGAGATGTCTGCAGACATAGAAAGTGTTGTTTTGGACAAGATCCGTATCGGTAATAAATTTGCTTTGCAACTTGATGAGTCTACTGATATTAGTGGGCATGCTCAACTCTTGACTAATGTGAGGTTTGTGGATGGAGACACAATCAAAGAAAACTTTCTACTTTGCAAGGCTTTGCTAGAAAAAACAACGGGAGAGGAAATGTTTCGCGTTGCATCAGAATATCTAGAAAAAGGAAGACTTACGTGGGAAAACTGCACGAGTGTCTGCACTGATGGAGCTGCGGCCATTGGTGGTTGGGCGCACCAAAGGCTTTGTAAGCAGAGTGAAGGAGAAAAACCCAGATGTGATCATAACGCACTGTTTTTTACACCGCGAAGCCCTCGTAGGCAAGACTTTACCGGCAGACCTCGTTCCTGTGATGGATGATGTTGTGCGTATGGTAAACTTTGTAAAGTCACGACCTCCGAAAACTCGCATATTTGCGGCTTTGTGTGAAGATATGGGAGCGGAGCATAAAGCCTTGCTGTTTCAGACGGAGGTCCGATGGTTGTCGCGCGGCAAGGTGCTGGCCCCTGTGTATGAGCTGCGAGAGGAACTTAGAGTGTTTCTGACGAACGAGGGGTCCGAGTACACAAAGCTGACTGCAAGTGAAGAGTGTTGTGCAAGACTGGCATACCTGGCAGATATTTTATATTATCTGAATGAACTGAACACACGAATGCAAGGCCGAAATGAAAACCTACTTACAAGCACAGATAAAATAAATGGATTCCGTTCCAAGGTGCAACTCTGACAGCGACATGTGGGAAATGGCAATCTTGAAATGTTCCCACTCACCAATAAATGTCAAGGTGTTAATACTGTGTGAGGTAATAGTTAAACATTTGAAAATTCTTGAGCAGAAGATATCATTTTATTTCTCTTCAGTCACCCCAGAGTACCTTGACTGGGTCAGGGATCCATTCAGCTCAGCATCAGCTTTTGAAATGGACATGACTTTGCAGGAGCAACTAACTGAACTGAAACAAGATCGTTGTCTCAAGCTAAGCTTTGCTGATCTACCTTTGGACAGTTTCTGGTTGGCAGCTGCCAAGGAGTTCCCCATGCTGGCTCACAAAGCTATTTTGACATTGCTCCCATTTTCCACAACATATCTGTGTGAGGTGAGCTTTTCAAGCCTGACTGCTATAAAAACTAAAAACAGAGAAAGACTTAGAGCTGTTGATGAAGAGCTTTGCCTTTCATCGATTCCTGCCAGGATATCTGCTCTGTCTTCATCCAAACAGCCCCAGGTTTCACACTGAGTGAGAATAATAAATATGACTGATTGTGAAATACTTTTTGTCCTTGTTTTTATCTGTTTAATATTGAAAATGTCCAATTCAACATCTTTCTTCAATGTTCAAAAAAACTCATATGAACAATATAGCATATTGTGAATATTAGGTCTTTTTGCCACATTTTCAGATGTTGGTGTGCCGCGGGATTTTCTCAATCGAAAAAGGGTGCCGTGGCTCGAAAAAGGTTGAAAAACACTGGTCTAGATAAAGAAATCTTGTATATTTGTTTTCCTGGAATGTTCTCGATCTATATTCTGCGATATAGATAGAATTTATTATTCGAGTCTTCAGAAATATAGAATATATATATTGTTGAATAAGTTGAATGGATTTCCCAACTTTTGTGAATTTATTGTATTGCATTGACAAAAATATTTGTCCGGCCCGTTTCAACACAGTTTGAGTCATATCCGGCCCGCGGTCAAAAAAGTTTGGTGACCCCTGTGTTAAGTAAAGCCTGTGGATCATGGAATTTGAACCCTATGAAGTGTGGCCTGTCATGCAAACACTGTCAAATCTAACGATTTAATAACCTGCTAGACTATTTTGCCGACATATTTCAGAAAGGGGTTCACTTTCACGAAAGTTTCTGGATATAAAACTTAAAAGATTATCAACCTGAGTTTTTGGAACTTTATCTTATTCCTATAAAATATGCCTAATATTTTCTACATTTGAGAAGATAATCAGACTCTTGTTATAATGTGTGATTCATTAACAGATTTAGAATCGCAGATCGAAGTAACAACAGAAGATGAAGATATCAGATGGAGTGAGCCCGGTAATATGCAGAATTAATTAATATAAGAATAATATAAAATTATACTAAAACTTATCTAAGAAAGATAGCAGTTATTGTGATTGAGTTCGGAGTAACAAGCGATTTTAATCAAAGATAGAATAACCCCTATTTGAATAAGATTCGGTATTGACCCCCCTCCCCTTTCATTTTTTCCTTCTTCTGTGACACATACAATTTTCACAGTGCCAATTTTGGTAATATCACTGGTTGGTTTCGACAGCGTAACATTGGTTATGTTGGGCAAACTGTAATTTCACAATTTCTCCCTATCTCGCAGGCAGGCGCGCAGCCAGGATTTTCAAAAGGGGGGGGGCCTTTAAAATCGGTAATTACCAATGCCGTCTGTAACAATCATGGCGATTACGCGCTCGTTAAAAGAGCTGCCTTTTCAGCGTAATGATATTCTGTCGGGTGAAATATTCAATCCTTGACAACTACGAGATTCTAAAATGTATATTAATTAAGCTGTGTCAAACGTAACTAGCGAATATGAAATAAGCTGCCTGATGTATTTAATTTTGATACGTATTTTTGCGCTCTTGCGAACTCGTTATCGCCGACAGAAAAACCTCAATATTTGATATAAAATTCTGTGTAGTACAATTTTACTTCCTACCAGTAAATCCAAAATACATGTTCACCGCTTCAAAATCCACGCCGAACAGTCGCCGCGATTACACCAATTGTTAAAAGAGCCCACTTTTTCTGTTGTGCAAAATAATTAATCCATGACCAGTACGGGCATATTTAAAATGTCTTGCTTCTATATTTAATTGTCTTCAATTTAGACTGGGGTTGAGTCGGTAAAACGAGAGCCACTCTAAAACACCGCGGCATTCCGCGGACATAAAAATGTGTGGTAAATACAGTACGATTATATATACGGTAGTTTTGATCCGTATTTATGCTTTTTTGCGAATTTGAGATGTACTTGTAACACTGACTCCACGCAATGCTGCCCCTTCGATTATTTTTAAATATAAAACGTTCTGAAAATCCGTAAACCTGCTGTCAAATCTCACGAGTAAAATTTATTTCAGTACAATCAAAATTGATCGAATGTAATAAGATTAATTATCTTTTATATCATCACAAACCGGGAAAAAGTCGCGTTCTCAACCTTGTTTGATGTTTAACATGAACATTTTCGACGACAATTTGAAAGTTTTTTTGACCCCGAAAACCCCCACCTGGCTGCGCCACTGCTCGCAGGTACCTGTTGCATGTGTACATCTTATGCCATGTGGACAATGATATTTGGTTTCTTCTCTCACCCAGAACTGTCCGCCAGGTTCGAAAAACTTGTTATTATCTGATTATCAGTGGCGAGACGCTAAACATATTCAAAGGAGTGAATCTTAGGCTAAGAAATAACCAAAATTTCGTGTACCCATGGCTAGGGCTGGGCATTTTCGAATACCTTGTGATTTCAGAATCGAATCGAATAATTTTTTCGAATTGAATCGAATCTCGAATACTTGAAAATATAAAATTGTAAGCGACTTTATCATAGTAATAATCAACAAATGAATTACTGAAGACATAGAATAAATCACTCAGATAGATTACTGAGCGTTCACACAGAATAACAAACACGTTTTATCAATAACTCACTACAGAAAATAGTCATATGTTAGAATTTCGTTGAAAAAATATGATTTCAATGAAAAAAAAATTAGGGAATTCACCTCGACCATTAGCGGAAAGATAAAAACAAGATGGCGGCGATTCGAAATTCCCGTCTGAACCGATTCGAATAATTTACTATTCGATTCGAAATGCCCAGCCCTACCCATGGCACACATTGTGTGCTTATTTGAAAATTACTGTATTCACTGGCTAATAAGTCTACCTGGCAAATGAACGATGTCTATTTTTAGTATTGAAAAGTTTTTATTTTCATACGTGTCCCTAATAAGACAGCCACAAGAAAATTTTCTTTGTTGGTCAGTTAAGCACCAATATTTGCTCATGATTTTATGTGGTTAGAACCACGACATGTTTGCTTCGCCAGAATAATACTGACAGATTTACTAACTAATTAAAAATCAGGCCAGCCGGGAAATATGGTTTGGTCTCCCAATCTATTCCTTGTATTAGAGAGCAAGTATTTTTTCTACCATATCAAGCTAAAAAAAATTTCCTTGGAACTCATGTTTACAAAGTGACTACAAATTTCGGCAAATGTGAGGTAGGCTATAACAGGGTAATATATAGGTTTCAGTCCCGTTACACAACCTGATGCAAAGTAGGCGAACAAATTTAGTTCATCTCCATGTTGCTTCACATACTAGAGCGTCGTAAATTCAACGACGTCAGTGACGCGACAATGTGTCAGATTTTTCAGGTTATTTTTATTACGAAACAATACCAAAATGCTATTTTTGGTGATCACCAATTGTTACCTATATCAGCAAATGTGATGCGGACCACACATAATGATACAGCGGCCCACATGTGGCCTGCGGTCTTAGGTTTGGACCACCCTGTGCTAGTTAACGCCATTATTCATTCACATTGCATTATACAGAAGTTTAACAATTTCTTTTTTTTAGGTCACATGGATTTCCTTGAAATGAAACTAGACAATGCTCTTCGTAAACCAGAAGTAGTATATGCAACCATTGGTGAAGAAGGTGGAGAAGTGAAATTATCCTCCTTCAAAATATATTTTCCACCGGGTGCAGTTAAAGAAGAAAAGAATTTTTTTTTCAAGTCATGCTCTATTCCTGATGAACAGCAGTCCAAGGATTTTTTCCCCATAACTCCTGTCCTTACATGCAGACTTATAGGCGAGCCCTGCAATTTGGGAATGAATACAAAATTTCCATTAACTTTTGCTGAGCCAGTCAAAATAACAATGAAAACTTTTTGTAGCCCAAAGCATGCGGACGTACCTGTTACAGTATTTCATACAAATGATAAGTGCAAAAGTGGTCGTCAAATAAGATCTCAGAAGGTAATACTTGGACAATTGGGTGCAATTGAAATCGAAGTTGAAGACTTTTGCAACTTTAAAGCAGAGGTCGCTATGGAGCAGTTAAATGATATGGAATTTCGCATTATGAACAATGTCAGTATTGAAAATACGAAACGGGTCACGTCATACTTTTGGAAAGATGAAAGAATTATAAGTGCCAAGGATTTAAGCAACACTGGGTCTCCTAGTGTCACAGGCTTACCCGTACCAGAAGAAATCTTTGTCTCTTTGAACTCCACTGTCTCCCTGACCATGAAGTGCGAGAAGCCAAAGGATACAGAAATCGCACCAATCAAGCATAGTTTCAAAGTCACAAAAAGATGGCTCAAAAAGCAACATCATGCAGAATACTTCAGGCTTGAAGAGTTGGAGCATGACTCATGCCGCTTGGAAATTCAATACACAATTGAAGCAACTGATCCCGATGATGAAAACGATATACGAGGACCGCTACCGATCATTGTCGACTGGCCAATTAAACAAAATGGTAAATTGAATCTGAGTATATACCCTGCCTCAATTAAAATCTTGGACGCTTCTGTAGTATGCAAACCAAGATGGCGAACACCGGAACATAGTATGTGTATCAGGTTAGGGTTAGGCCATAATTTTATTCCAATTTTCCTCATTTTAGTTCTATTAGGAGTTCAGGACTTCCGTAGTATTTGTACCTGAAATTATGGCCTAACACTAACCTGCTACACATTCTACGTTTTGGTGTCCGCCATCTTGGTTCCCATACTACATGAGTAACAATTCTTGTGTGAAAATTTAAAACTTAAAACAATATTTTTGTTACATTATGGTATAGTGGTATCATAAAATGTTATTTATCTTATTTATTTACAGTTTCCTTGTCTGAAATAGCTGGCCCATCAAAAAAAGAAAAAGTTGATCAGGTGGGATATTTATTGAGCAAATCTAGCTGTCAACCTTATATGGCTAGTTTGAACTTTGAAGGATTTGTATTATAATTTGATATGTATATCTCCATGCATATTACAGCGACGCAATACCCTAGTGGGTAGACGATTAGACCTAACTGTCTTGGCTTAGCAGATTACACATCTCAGGTTATGATCTCATGCCCCACTTCGCACAAGGTTTATGGTATATAATAAATTGGCTAGCCAATTCTAAAGCTTGAATATTCCTGGCTCCCCCGAACAAGAGTAGCTGCTTGTACAGGGCATTGAATGGTCAAAAGACACATATAAGCACTTTAAAAGCGTTTGTTAATAAAATAAATTAAATGTAATATCAAAAATATTTGTTTGTAATATTGTATAGGCTGCTTTTCGGTATTCGTAGCGCAGACCATCAATCTCTAACATGCACTGCTAATACAGCATAATATGCTAGCTACCACATTATTGCTTGAAGTAATACTTGCCTACTGTGTGTTGCATTTTCAGAGGCCCATGCAATCCATGCGGACTGGAGATGTCCAGGCAAATTCTTATATTGGCACTCAAACCACTAACAATTACACTCTCAAAGTGGAAAATGCACAAAACATTCCACCAGGTAATTTTCTGATTTAAAAAAAATAAATAAATATGGATGCATAAACTAAAAAGCTTAAATGATAGGTGTTTTTTCTCATTTTCCACAAGAAAATAATTTTATCACAGGTCATTTTACAGACATGATAATATTTCATGAGCAAGTAGAAATTATTTTTTTTGTATTTCGACAGCTCTGCTTGGGACCCAGCAACACCAGCTCGCTATCAAGGAACTAGATACCACAAAAAAGTGATGATCTGATAAATGCTAGCAAATCCTGACTTTTGAAAACATCAAACAGCGAATGATAAAATATTTTTCGAATTCTGAGATCTCCGACAGACTACTTCGCAATGCCATTAATTAAAAACTCCTGAAGAACAATATGGATAGAGTTGGTGTTTGACTACCCTTAATTTTTTTTTATATATATATATATACTGTACATAAAGCAGAGCGAACAATGATGCTAGATATGGTTTTGTCCCTCCTCTGCATATCTAACCATTTAGGTACCAATACTCTTGAATATACATTCATCTAATAAATGTTAATAATCGCATTTAGCAGCTATTTACTGTACCTTTTTAAAGCGACACTATAAAAAATGCAGTAAAGCTTGTAACAATCATCATTGCCCTCTTGCCATACATATATTATTATTAGGTTTCTTTAGTTAGACAATTACTAAAGATGCTCTCATGTTTTGGAAATGAGATATTTTGTTTTCCTCTACCCATCTGTATATATTGCTTCATTCTCGAAAACTGATAGACTTTTGTCTAGCATAAAGTAAAACTAAATTGAAAAAATCATATTTAGCCCTTTTTATTGTTTCTCTTTTTCGCATGTTGTATCCCTGTTTTTCAAGCGATATTCTTTTTACTCACAATTTTTTTGTCTAGTTTCAGTACTTTGTGGGAATTCATTTATTGAGGCCTTTTAGCCAAGCTTCAAACTAGAAAATATTTTTTTCCACTGCAATTACAATGACACATTGTTGTTTAAATATTTCATTGATTTTCTGATCGGAGGGGTCTGTTGACTATACTATTTTTTTGTTGGCCACACTTTTATTTTTTTTTAAATATGTATTTGTGTTACTTCTCTTTTTTTCTCAATTCAAGTATTACAAAAATTATGTCAGCTAACTTTGTATAATATTGCAATTATATATTTGCTTCGAAATCTGTAATGTGTAATTAATTAGGTAACCATCTATAAGCAGTCAATATTGTTTTTTTTTCTCTCGACTTACAATAAGTGTTTTAATTTTGTAAATAATTTTTGCCTGTATCTCGTCCTGATAGGAACTTTTCTTAGAGGTTGGTCGATCCAGTCTTACAGCCCCGATTAGATTATATTTTACGATTATTGTTATTTTATTCAATGATTCTCATGAAAATTTCTAAATTGTTTGATTTTACGATGGCGCATAGTGTATCACTTAGAAATTGTGGAAAATCAAGAAATGCATAGACATACAAAAAACAGTACCGTGTACAGTACTATGTACTAATACAAATAAGAGAAAAAAAAATGTAAACAATATTGGTACTAAATACCTACTAATACATATGTCTACAACAAAAGCATCCAAATAAGTGTATAAAAATAGTAAATCTTCGAAATCGGACAAAACCTAAAATGGTGCTAAAACTATATTTCTAATTTTAACACCAGCCTGATGGGACAATAACGTAGTATAGTAGGAGGCATAATTTTGATTTTTTAATTGACAAAGTACAACCACATTAAGGTTTATAGATTTATTTATGTATGTTATTCACCAAAGTAGCGACCATATATCATTAAAACCCTACCCCTAATAATGCCTAAATGGGTACTCCCGTAGTATGTGAACCAAGATGGACACCGGCACGTAGTATGTGTACCGGCCACCGGGACAGGCCATGATTTCAGGTACAAATACTACGAGTGTCACCTGGCTAGCACCGAACTTGTATTAGGACTAAAAAAAGGAAGATTGGAATGAAATTATGGCCTAACCCTAACTTGGTACACATACTACGTTCCGGTGTCCGGCACCCTGTTTCACATACTACGGGAGTACCCCTAAATGTCCGATAAATTTATAATATTATTTTCAAACAAACAGATATGCTTGCCTATGTCTTTTCCACACTGCCTACCGGTACCAGAACCATTTTACTGACGTACGGTATTATTCCCATTATCACCGTATCGTGCGTTGTCTTATTCCCATTATCACCGTATCGTGCGTTGTCTCAGGTTTGAATCTAGTGATTATTATGTGTGAGAGGATTTCTGGGACTCCATGCCGGCGTATGATGGTACACGTAACAATCTGTTGCAGTTTCCTCCGCTATCAAGTCCATGTGTCTGAAAACAGAATACCTGGCTAACTAATCCCATACCCGACATGCACTTGCAACCAGATTAGAGCCTGTGGTTTACCATATGATTAAGCCGTTTTATTTCTTCCCACTCTCTGGGATAATATATAAATCCTATCTTAAATGTATTTGTCAGTTATGCGCCAGGATAGCAAGTACAAATAAAGTCATCTATTTTAATGTAAACATGCTACCGGTACTAGTTTGACATTCCACTGCATGACTGCTGTAGGTTATGATCTCTGCTTTTGAATTATCGGGTTATTGAATAATACAATTGCCACCTTTAAATAAGAATTTCATACAAGACACCGACCATATAGGATTCATATCCTATTGTCAGAGCATACGGTCTCATAGCGAGTGGAAGTGATGACTCCTTTACGGCCCATGGGCCGGAGCCAAGTTGTGTAAAGGGACTATTCACTTGGTTAACACAGACAGTCCCCGAACTCATAATAGAACTATAATGTAAAAAATATGATTTTTTTTTGTCCTAACCCTAACCCACATACAACAGGAGTATATTTTTTTGGTTCGAATATTGACAATTTTGTAAAAATTAAAAATTTTGGAAAGATAATTGAATTTTTCCTGATGGGGCCCGATTGGATGGGCCGTGGCCCAGGCCCATGGGCCGTAGACGAGTCACCACACCTGTAGCTCATAGCAGCGGTATCATACAGGCTTCACCTCATATCCTATTGCCAGAGCATACAGCCTCGGTCATAGTAACAGTACCGGTATCTTACAGGATTTACCGTATATGCGTGCAGCCCGACCAATTTACGATCGCACATTGTACTCTAAAATATCTGTACTGCTAAATAGCAAGCAGCCATGTACATATTAGTGGATTCTTGTACACAATCTTACTCGTGATGAAGGCACGGAAACGCCGCATAAAATATGATATAGGCCTAATCCTAGAAACTCACCAAACGATGTCTATTCTGCCGATAAAACTGCGTTATGAAGTAAATCCCTTGTCCTGATTTAGGCGAATAAATTCCATAAGTGTTATAATCCGTTCTTGTTTTGAAATACCTGATCTAAACAATTATTAATCCGTACTAATAGAGTACAATAGCAGATCCACGATGAATACAGATGTGGGAATATGAAGGATATCACGTTCTACGAAACATTTCCCGCCTAAACATCAACTATCGCGTCATAGAACAGATCCACTGGAGCGTGCAATATTGAGTAACGGGAAATTTGATATACAGTACTTGTACTGGATAGGGTTTACGATTTTATCGCGGAGAAGGAAGCCGATAAAATGGTAACAATCAAATTAGTCAGGTGTAGGTGGATCCCCCTTGGTCGGATAAATATCGGATGTACTACTGCTCGCTTTTGCGTTGAGTAGCCTTTTCATAGTTTTTTTCAGTTATTATTAGTTTAGTTGTTCTATGGAGGTGTTGAAATATATAAGTAAGACACTTGTATATCCTTACCGTAAATAGCAATTTTAGTTGTATAGGTACGGTGTGGTAACTCCAATGAAGGCTAGACCTAGAATAATATTAGTTATCTATTCAACTTTTCACACTTACTTATAGATTACCTGCTTACTAGGGAAACAATACCGTATGGCAATTGATGATTAATTCCTTACACAAGTCAAGTCTGCAAGTAGGTCTACGCCTAGGACTAACAATAACAGTAGTTTGTCATCTGCTTTCGACTGAAATGAGGAAGCTTATTTAAAGAAATTGATAACGGCACATTATCACTCACCATCAACGAAGTGCTGTCCGCAAACAGTGAAACACAAGCGAGATGACTTCTGGACTTGGCACCAAGCAATCCTGTCAATAGATGATATCCACATTGCGCGACGTTCCGGATCTTTTGAAATCAGTGGAATATAACTGAAGATCTATTTCGTTGTATATACTATACGTACAGTTAACGGAACAATACGAAATAACCATTTTCAACAGCCAAACAAAACGGAAACGTATAATCTGACAGGAGCAAAATGGACGTTTTTGTTTTTTTTGCCGTCCAGTAAACGAAGTTTCGTGACCCGTGCAAATTCTCCTTATAGGACAGATCGTAGCAAATATTTCTTGTAGTAAAAGCGTCTTTTCCGTAAAACGTGCAACTTTTGGAAGTGGGGACAAGGCAATATTTGTTATTAAATTTTTTTTAAGGAACATTTTAAAATCATTTTCAGGTAGTTACCTGATGTGCGCTACGAAACTCACTTTCAATGCGGCCTATTGGGGAAGTCGTAACCGACCAGCGGTTACGTGAACAACCCAACGGCGGCGAGAAAGTTAACTGATAACAGAGAGAGAGAGTGAGATTTATTGCCACAAAAACAAAATCAACACTAATATAAACAATAATAGATAATAATACAATGAATAAAATATTTCATCAGTAATAAACAGCGATTGATTATTGTTTTGTGCGGGTCGGTGTGCAAGACCGATTAAGGTCATCTAGGCTCCCGACCCTTGTGTAAATGCTGTATATAAGGTTATCATGGCATAATATAGTACCATGGGTAAATGCAAATGGGATTAAATAAAATATATATACGATAAAGAAATGAGTGAATGAGTCGGCAATTTAAAGTTATTATTATTAAAGTTATCAAAGGGCAATTTAGGATTTTGAGAGGTCATGTACCGATGTAACCGATCATGTCCAATGGAAGAATTAAAACAGTCAAAGATTTAAAAAAAGCTTTTTTTTTATTGGACACAGACCGAGATCAAAAATTAAAAGATAGGGACAAGAAAATAATATCATCCCAGATTCAGTAATGGAGTGCATGACGTGAAAGTATCATTTGACTCCTTCTGGCATTTAATTAGTTCCCATGAAGAAACAGGGGAAAAATCATAACAATCGATGAATATTGTTTACTTGCTACTAGCATTCATAAGTATTTATACTTACTTGAATAAGGATTCGAATATTTATGTATTATCCACAATTTAACAGGGGGAATTTTGAGATACGTTTGAGTTGAGATTGTGTCTATATTGCTGCCTAATATCCTGCAACTTGCTCTATCCGCCGCTTGAGCAAGACTATGATGTCCGGTGGTCCAATCGCGTACTGGAAGAGAAAGATCACATTATAATGGAACTGAAATGAATCTCAAATAAAATTTATAACAAGACAATAAAGATACTCCAACTTTATTTATTGTCGCATTTTTTCCCGTGTACCAGTGACCGCTAATACAAAGCCTTTATCCCATGCAGGGATGGTTATGTGCGAGAGGATTGCTGGACTCCTCGCCGTCGTTGGGTGGTTCACGTAACCGCTGGTCGGTTACGGCTTCCTCCACCACCAAGTCCATGCTTCCGAAAACAAACAATACAGTAAAAACTAAGACCCATACCCGACTTGGAATGGTAACCGGACGAGAGGCCGTGGTTCGCCATATGGATAAGCCGTCTTATCGGCTTTCCTCTCCCCCGGGATAAATATGTAAATCCTATCCTATCCTATGCAACAAATAGGCTCCACATTTTTTCATGAGGTAGGGCGTTGTTTGGTAGCAAGATATATTCATTTTATCTATAATTACCTTAACACTAGAAACACACTGGCATAAACTTCTAGAAACAGCCAGCGTTGACAACGTCCGATAACGTAAACTTTTTGTAGCAATTGTTGGTAGAGGCAGCAGAGTGCCGAACTGACTGACCGGATTTAGTTTGACGAAATCTATGGGTGTTTTTGGGGAAGAAGACGATTTTTCGAATGACTTGAATGAAGATTTTTTTCTAATTTCCATGCAAAAACTAACTAAATCGATTAATTATTGGTAACTATATATAAAATGTGTGCACGAATTGGATGACGACTGATAATATGGATTAACCTGTATTCAATGGATATAAATTGGACTATATATGATACAAAACTCCGGCAATGGTATGGTTTTATATTTTAATTGTTACATATATTATTGAACTTGTGGGCAATTTGTTTTGAAATTATGAAATTGTTTTAATTGGGTGCAAATTATACTAATTCGACAATAAAATTAATATACGAAAATTCCGTTTGGCAATGAAATTTATTTGGCAAAAAAAAAAAAAAAAAAGACTTGAATGAAGAAAGTAGGAACTAAGAAGTGTAAAAGTTTCGGGTTTGGTTATTTTATTTTTAAAATTAGTTTCGGTAGCCTTTTTTCATAGCTCTCCTGTGACTTTCAAGGCAGAAAGGTTATTGTTTTCGTATTTACAGTACCGTATTTATCTTTGGGTAGGGAAAAGCCGTTGAGCTTGGAGTTGAGGTAAAGGTGCAACAGGATACTGGTACCGGTATCGGGTCTGGTAGGTATAGTTTAGTACCACATGCACTTCTAGTTGGCCTAGCTCAACATTTTTTGCATATGACCGCCGTCGGGTGCGGACGTGGCACTGTACTGGTATTGGGCGATGGAATACTGGAATACAGGAATAGGAGATTTTTTCGACTAAAACTTCGAAACCTGGACAAAAGTTATTCCTTCAGTGAATCTGATTTCAGAACTGTACCGGTGACCGGATGGAGCCGAAAAGAGTTTTTGCAATCATGGACGAAAATAAGAATGTTGAAGGAACCACTGGATCTGCGTGAAATGACTACAAATGTTCTCAAGCGAAATACAAACAAATGGTCACAACAACGAAGAACCCTGTAACAGTAGCAAACCAACATATAATTATATTCAATGTAAAGAAAGCCCTCAATTCATCCGAAATCTATGGAAACTAATATTGTTTTTATGTGCAATAATATTGTTTTTATGTGCAACATTTGGACTGCCTTCAAATTTTGATATCTGTATAGACCTATGCATGTTCTAGAGCTTGTTTGTTTTGTTGTGTTTAGTTTGCGATGTCGATGCAACGCAACACGACGTTGTCTTCGAAGTGAGCGATGTCAAGTTCAGCGTGTGCGTCATATGCTATTATTTTGATAAAAAAAATTATTTTAATTTTTTCTCGAGTCGCCTGCGACATCCCGCAATCGGTCAAATTTTTTATATACATAACATAACGCCCTCTATCGAATGGCGGTCTTTTTGACGAAGTTAGCGTCTGTAGAAGTCCCGATTTGAGCCACTCGAAAACGAAGTGTCAATTTTATGCTCAAACGAGATTTTTTAATCAAAAAATAAATTTAACTGCGCGATTAAATATGATAATAGATTTAGATAGATAAGGACTCACTATAGAAACTGCCAGAAGCACAATAGCACAATATGACGCGATTTAGTCAAGATATAAACGATTGAAAATTCCCGAATTAACCCGGTTTTACGATATATACTATAAATATAAAATGTCCCTTGTTCCTATATTTGGTTACTACCGGTATGTGTTTTCTGATTTCGATGCATTCACTCTTTTGGTGTGTTTTTTTTAGAGCGTGACACGTACATTTTTTAACTTTATTTTAAGTTATGCTCACCTTCCAGGTACTGGTATCTGTGCATTTTGTTTGTCTGTTTACCTTTTGTGTCAAAGAACTGAAATAAAATGATTGATTGATCCATTGAACTATAAAACTCGCATTTTATTAGATCTAAATCAACGGTGCACAACTTGCGGCCGTCGTGACAAAATAATGCGGCCGTCCACATACAAATACAAAAAAAAAAGTTCAAAATATAGGATTTGGCGACTATGCTGGTGCAAAAAGAATGATGAACAGCTGGTGCAGAAGTCTAGAGACAAGGAAAATTTGCCGGACACATGGAAAGGCGCAGTTGAATATCCAGTGCTACAAGGATTGGCACGAAAAAACTCTCGTTTTTTTTGGAAGCACTTACATTATGCAACTTGCTGCAATATATCTGCTCAAGAATAGGTCCACTTCCAAGTAGTCCTACATACTTTATAATTGAGCAGACTGCACATGGCATGGGTCAAATACGTGGTTATAACGTCATAAAAGCCAAAAAGTTTGCATGCCTTCGCCGCGCTCGTCAACCCCCTTGCGGCCGTATTGAATACAAATATATGCAATGTGGCTGCCAATAGCAAAAAGGTTGTGCACCCCTGATCTAAATGATCAATGCTATTCACATTTATTTTAGAATGTATCATTTTAGAATGTGTACAAGGTCATTCTCTCTTATTTGACATGTTTATGTGTTTTCTACTGTGAAAAAGCAATCGTGCTATTCCTATTGGTAAAAAAGTATTGGACGAACTAATAAGGTTTGTGCTTCTGTACCGCACAGTTCTCCAATTCAAAGAATCCCCACGTTCAAAGACATCAATTATAACATTGAGTGCAAACCTCTCCTTCCCGAGACAATCTGATCTGAGCATCTATATCGGCATGGATCAGCAAATCAGATTTGTGCATAAACCTTAAAAGAAAGCGAAATTTAAAACATCACAATTAAATTCTCGAAAAAAATTAATTCAATTTTAAAAAAAAAATTTTTTTTAGCCTAGCATTCGAGAGTTTTTAGCAAAAAAAAACATGCATCTTTGGATTTTAAGGCGGCCCCATTAAATTAGATTATCATCGAGACAAGTATGGAACAATCTGTCATCGTGCCAGACACCTCGTTTTGGAGCCAATAATGTTTATTTTATTAAACCAAATGTCTCATTCAAGCATTCGTGCGGCGGCTGTGCCATACGGATTCAAGATAAGTAGACCTGCAGTTGAACACACAATTATTGTTGTACCTCGTTATTGTTCTTTAGATATTATTAACCTTTAGGTTGCATAGAAGTTATTTAATTTAATACAGAATATGAGAATTTTTAATCACCGTTGGATTTACTTTTGAACCAATATCAAAGTTTAATTCTACTCTGCGATTTACCATGGAGATTGTGAATGAGTTTGATCCATTGGCTTCATCGAATACCCAGGATAATAATGCAGAGTTTGAAATGGATTTAAATTTTGGAAATAAATCTGATTCAAACGGTGCTGGGATATTATTACGTAACTATCAGACGCCAGTAAAGGAAACTAACACAATGGGAACTCTAATTGATCTTTATGACACAACAGAAGAGAGTACAAACAATAATAATCCAATACAGAGGCAAATATCTGGCCCTACAGATGTTCGATCAAAAATTTCTACAAATAATGCTCCTATAAGACCAGCACGTCCCCCGCCTCCCCCTCCCACCAAGAAAAGAGCAGTCAGCGAAAACTCATTGATAGATTTGGATCCCAAGTTTGTCAATTTGCATATCAAGCCTTCAAATTCTTCAAGGTAAGATTCAAAAGCAATGAAGCATGACTAGTCAGAATAATTCCTTCATAGCTGAAGTGTGTCAATGCTGCCATTTATGCTTTATTGCTCTCTTAGATTGGTTGATACCGAATGGCACCCAAATAGCTATTGCTTTTACTTACTCTATACATTGGGTAAATATAGTATATTGATATTTATCTTAAGGAAGAAAAATGTTGATAAAACAGCTTGATCATTTGGCAAACCCTGACAATTCTTCCATTTGCCTCCTTTCGGCGAGTATGAGGATAATCAGTTATGTATTTCAGGTACTTGCCTGTGTTTCTAACACTGTTTGCCAAAATCAAAATTTTACTGTGTATCAAACAATGTGATATATTTTCAAATCAAAATAAATTGTAAAACGATAAATTCAAAAAAGTTATCGTTTCATTAAAACAATCCCCACATACAATATCCACCCCCCTCTGGTGGGGGCAGATGGAATCAACCAACAGCCAGAAACATTTAGTGATGCTACTTTGGTATGCAGCAGTTGTATAATCTCAGTTAGGGTTAGGGACTGAATTCTATGAAAATGTCCTTATTAGATTAAACACATACCGATGTGGAAGTACAATTCCTGTCACTTTGATATGAATTTGAGATCACGTTGAGCAAGTGAGATTGCATACCTAAGTGGCATCGACTTAGCCCTTTGAGTCAACTTTGAACTCAACACGTGAGTCTGATTCCTCACGACTCAGGGCTTCAGTAACTTCCACCCAACACTGCAATAAACAATATTCCTGTTGTATATGCCAATCAAAATAATATTATATTCAAGTTTCACAATTTTTCTCTGGTCTTATTACCCAAGCTTGGCCTGTTTGTTAAAGTTATTATTTTAATTGAAATTTATCTATTTATCCTAACTGAGGAGCTATGCTTAAGCATCTTCTGATTTGTAATTGTAAGTAACTATTATTTTCCATTATGTTTACCGTATTTCCCGGCTAATAAGTCTACCTGGCAAATAAGACGAAGCCACATTTTTGCACTGAAAAGATGGTAATTACATTTAGCAATTTTCACTATAGCCCTCCAATAAGACGGGCAGAAAATTTTCTTCCCTGTTGGTCAGTTAATAAGCAGTAATATGCGCTTATAATTACATGTGCTTTGGACCAGGTCATGAAAAGCGACTTATTAAGAGCCGGGAAATGCGATATGTCTTTTATTTTTGTTTATTGCCAACCTTTGGTTATTTAGCTAATTACAGTATTGTGTAAGTTGGCTTGAAAGTAGGTGTCTGTGCATTGGAATAAAAATAATAATAAAACAATTTGGAATAGAAAGACAAAAATCATTAAATATTTGCTGTTTATAAATGATTAACCTGGGCAAGGCAGCTTGACGTCTTTTGTTGATTGCTTTCATATATCATAGGCAAGGGTGCGGTAATAAAACTGACACTGAGATCTGCTTTTCTGAAGTATTGGCTGAATAAAAAAGAACACTTTCCACATTTGTCTTGGATAGAGGAAAGTTGAGTAATCAGCTTAATCATAGAGCAAACTACAGTCTATTGAGTTTCTGTAGTTGATGAATTTTGATGTGGCAGTCAATAGAATAAGACTTTTGTATATACTATGGGGAAAAAAGATAATTAAATGTTCTATTAGATTGCTCTATGGTGAAGCCCCCTTATTAATAAATATAAAATTCATTTCCAATACGGCAGTCTGCAGAAAGGGGTCTGTGTTATCAAATACAACTCACTTCAATAGAAGCCCAAAAAATTATAGGCCTTCTTGATTTATTCATCCAGAGGTAATATATTATAGTATTAGTTATTAATATAGGTAAGTTAGTATTCTTGCAAAATGAACTGAGAATTTGTTACTTTTGGAATAACTACCGTCCGGAAAAATTCGTTTAGTTGGAGGTGAGTCAGCATGGATTGCTGCAATTGTAATTTTAATTTGAGCTCTGATATTTTTATGGTCATGCATCAGTGATTTATTGATCCAGCAATCTCTTTCATTCAGATAATTCTTTTTAATCACACACAAGTGCCAAAATTGGTATTGATTCTGAGGCTTGCATTGTGGGGTTGTCTGTCAAATATTAACCATCGAAGGTTAGCTGAAAGCATAAGCAATTTAGGCTGCTGTGAACTATTTTTACACTATAAACAAGAATCTGTGAGCCACTGAATGTCAGGAGCAACATTTATTGGTAACATCGTAGCATTTTACATTTGATTGTTAAGCAAAAATGGTATAAACAGACAATATTGATCAAAGCATTGTATAACTCAACAATTATAGATATTTTACTTTAGTGATTCTTTTAAACAAACTTCAAATCAATCAAAGATACGAAAGCATAACATTTATTCCCATATATTTAGTCATTGCTCTCCTGATCGACCTTGATACTACGTTCCATTACTAGATTAACATAATTGTGCCAGTAGATTAGAATAGATATTGGGTCAAGTATGAACTTGCAGGAAAAGCTTTATGAATCAGTCTTGGAACAGTTCAAAGTGTGATAGCAGGTTAGAAGTTGAAACATATATTGTTATTCAATTGCGCCAGCCATGTCAAACAGGGGAGATTATGATCTTTCAGGAAAATCAAAAGTATGTCGCGAAAATTAACGGAATTGTGTTATAACTACTGTAATATATGATTGAATATTTTATTATAAATGTTTTTTCATTTGAAATGCTGTTATTTGATAAATTTATTTTACCTCACATGTCGTTTACCTGTTACGTAGTGCCTCTATCGTTACTTACTACATGCTGCAATTTTGCGAGATGCAGTTTATTTATCTACTGAACCAAATTTAGCGAACATAGTGATTTTTTAACATTTCAAAGAAAAATCAGGCAGAGATGAGAAAGAAGAGTTGACCTTTTGCTTTTATTCCTTAGATTTATATGTTTACGATCTTTAAATGGCATAAGTACACGTTAACGATCCCAAAATTGAGTTTTATTTCATAATGGCATCAAGTTTTTTTCACTGATAAGTTGGCACAACTCGAACAAAAAGTTTGGAAAACGCTCTACTAGTGACATCAGTGACTGACTGCTAGTATAGAGCCTTGTTTAGGGTGAAACGTGTTAATTACTATTAAAAAATCAATGCTAAATGTGGTGATCTCAGAATAATTTAATTATATATTTTTAAAAAGTGGGTACCGTAAATGCTCATTTCAAACAACGCCCGGTCTTGATTGAGGGCCCGTTTGAATAGCCGCCCGTGTGAACAGGACATAAAAATAAATAAGGGCCGGTGCTTGAATACCCGCCCGGTGTAAAAGTTTTTTTTTTTTTGCGGATTTGTACCTGCGGTGCGTAGAAAAAGTCAAAATTTTCATCATTCTCGTTTAAATCATACTTGAGAACTGGAAATGACAATATACGGTATTAATTATTGTAATGATCAATCTTATCTAACGGTATTTTTGTGTGTAATTTACTTTAAAAATAACAAGCGCCCCTGCTTGAATAAGGGCCGGTTTGAATAAGGGCCCAGTTAGTGAGTATGTTTAAAAAAATAAGCGCCCGGGCTATTAAACGAGCAAATACGGTATTTCAAATCTATGTCATTTATATCAGTACGTTATTCTTAGCTTTTTACTAATTTGGTTTTCAAAGAGAGTTGGTTCCTTTATAAATGGCTGTGTTTAGAATTGAGTCAGTTTAATTCAATTTTCTCCAACCCTCAGATCTCGATTTTATCTGTGTGAATTTTTGCTGTGCTTGGCTTTCTATGAACTTTTGATCAGTTAATTCGATAATAAAATCATTCGAAAGCTATCAAACATAATCAAATGTCTCTCACTATTTATTTGTTTTTAATTCAAAGATTTTAAAGCAATGGTTACGCTTAATTTTTTGAAACTATTCCGATTATTTTGAAGTTGTACTTTAGTCCTATGGTTTGGATTCTGTGAACTAACTGCTTGTTTTATATTTTACAGATCACTAAAGCAAGCCTCAACCTTTTTCATTGATTCTCCGCCAAACCCAAGAGACACAAGAACCCCTACAAGGTAAGTAGATCAGTAGATGCAGTTGCGGCATAGTGCTAGGCGTTAGGAACACGCTCTCTATCTGATTACCCTCTGTACCAATAATTGGAACCAATCCCCCTATATCTATCTCCTTCATTTTCCCAAATCATGCGTTCAAAAAGATTTAATAAAGTGTGGTTCTCAAACTTTTTAGGCCGTGCTGCCTTTTTATAATTTGCCAAATCCACCTCAAAAATAACTTGCTTACGATAAGCTACAAATAACAGATAGCAAGGCGAATGTATGTTTTATTCAAAAACACATTGAAAATACGTGAATGGATATATAAATATCCAAAACAAAGAAATGTGCAAATTTAACAATATTTTTAATTTGCTTCACACCCATCAAAAAGTTGTCTACACCCCACCCCTGATTCAAATGAATATATTCTGTAGCATGATCATGATAACAAATTCTGGCAATAGAATAAAATTCTACCCAAAAATTTCAATGTTCTAATGTCAGATTGAATTTTATTTAAACCAATTCTCTTGCTGGGTATAGAATACTTGCAATGCCTATAAATTGCTTGCTCTCTAGAATACAAACATCCCTTAGGTCAGGCCTTCCCAAATTTTAATGTTTGCGACCCCTTTTCAATATATTACAATTTTCCGTACCCCTTGTTGAGTCTTCTTCGATCCTATGGATTTTCTCGAAATCGTGAGGTTTCATTTTGCTCTAATTTTAATAATTGTGTTTCAAATCAAAGCACAATAGATATATATCGGTATTACTTTGTATGAAATTGGTGCACTCACAATAACAATGCGACCCCTAAAATTTGTTGCATTATTGGTTTGGGTAGGCCCTGTTTTATATGACTTCCCAACGCATGAAATATTTCTCCTGAATCTTCTACTTCAGGCCATCAAGAAGTGGTTCGTCCTTTCACAACGATTCCTCACCAGATGTCTCAAGACTGCCAGTTACAAGGTGGGTTGTTTTGTAAAGGTTTGCCATTTTTATCAGGATTGAGGGGTCAGACTTCGAAATATTTTTATTGACGATGGAGTCGGCGGGGTTCGTATTTTAAAACTGCCCAGAGCTGGCAGTTCGAGGTGATGAGGAAAAAACGGCATGTTGTGTGTCATATTGGCCTAGGTCTGAAGTGGTGATTCATGGTGATAGGATATATTTATCTATTCCGGATAGATAGGAAAGTCGCTAAAACGAAGTAATAATATGACGAACCACGGCCAATCGTCCGGTTACCACTCCATGTTAGGTATGGGTTTAGTTAGCCAGTTATTTGTGTCAGAAGCGTAAACTTGTGGTGGAAGCCGTAATCGGCCAGCGGTTAGGTCCTTGTTCAGATCAAAATTCATTAAATTTCAAATACTTGATATATTATGGGCAGATCAAAATCCTGGTCTTATTCCTAATTTTTACTTTTTCCAGAGAACCTCAGCCTTTGAACAGCGGGTCATCCTTCTTTTATGACAACATGTCTTCAGCAGACGCAAGTGAAGTCACGCCTCAAAAATTATTTGGAGGACGTGAACAAATTATGCAGACATGCATGGAGAAAAGACAGGAAGAATACACAATAAGGAAACCTTTCAAGTGAGTGAAGACAAAATGTTTTGAGAAAGGCACATTGTGCTTTATGTTAGGGATATGCTTGTCATTGCACTTCTGATTTCCCGGTACTCCCGAGGTATGTGAACCAAGATGGCGAACATAACCATATGTGTACCAGGTTAGGGTTAGGCCATAATTTTCTTCTGATTTTCCTTATTTTAGTTTTATTACGAGTTCGGGGATTGTCTGTGTTAGTCAAGTGAATATATCCCTGTCCATAGGATTCAGTCCTTTTATACAACTTGATGTAAAGTATCGAAAAAAATTACTTACATATACATACACTTCTTGGAGCGCCGATTCCCATGCGCGGGTTTTCAAGTTGAATCCTGTGGTTGGTTACGGCTTTCTCCACCATCAAATCCATTCATCTGATGAAAAAAATATATGGCTGATAAATCCCATACCTGCCATGGACTTGTAACTGGATGAAGGCTGTACTTTGACATATGATCAAGCCGTCTTATCAGCTTTCCCCCCGGGATAGAAATGATATCTCATCCTTATCATAAAGCTTTTAAAGTTTTTATGGTTTTTTGGTCAGAAAATTACTATATTAATATTTCGTATAGTGCTAGGAGACATCTCTACTAACTCGCTTTATAACTCGAACAAACTAATTTACTGATTTTGCCCACCAATAGTTTTCTAAATCACAATTTTTATAAAATGTCAATTCTTGTAAATGTCCAAAGTTCCGCCAGCGCAGCCCAGGGAGTGGCCAGCGCAGTCCATAATTTTCCATGCAAAACAGGAGTCTGTATTAATGAATGAATATTTTTTGACTATAATCAAATATCTATTAGGTTTGCTGCTGTTATTAAACTTTGAAGATCATTATGTTCCATACAGACTTTGTAATAATCCGAATATTTATGTTTGGGGTCCCCCCCCCTGGAATAGCTTGAAAACCATACACTTTGTATTCTAAGTCTGATCATTAGTCATTTTTAAGATTTTTTAAAAACCTTACTCCAAATGAATCTAAATGAGCCTTGTTTGGGGCTGCACAATTTCATATCTTATTCAAAATTTATGAATATAATCCCCATTTTGATCTGAGACAGTTTGTGTATTTTCAATTCTATTCTATTTTGAGCATTTCCAGCTGTACGGGCATCCCAGCTGTAGGGTTTATATAGAAAATCTGGCCTATTGTGATATAATAATAGAATCTGTGATGTCATTATCATACATATTGCTATTCTATAATTACATCATACGATTAATATGCAAAGCTTGTGTGTCATTGGACTTTGGAAGACCAGCAGATTATATAAACAATTTTTTACAAAAAAAAAGAACGTCGAAAGGGGTGTATATATATATGGGTCCCACAATTCAGAGCGACATGTTTTGGCCATATCTCTTTGGTATCGTTATATTGAAAACTTTTTGTATTCTATGTGATTTGAGAGTTTTGCTTTACTCTAACCTAAGTGTTTCTGTGTAATTGTGCAACAAGACTTGAATCACCCAGAATAGGGTTAGGGGTTACTTTTTTTAGTGGGCCATTTATGGATAATAGACTTGGTTACTGGGCCAGAGTCTCAAGCCTCAATATGAAAAGTATGAATAAAACACAGTTCATTTGCAACAGCTAGCTAGGCCAGTGGTTCCCAAACTCTTTAAAAAAAATTCCATGTCGGACCCATCGCAATTTTTTTCATGATTCGCGGCCTTGTGCATTAAAATGAAACATTAGAAGATCACAACAAAAAATTAGTGCGCCGTATGGTATAGTGAAAAACACCTTTTCCCCACCTGCTCTCACCAACAAACGTGCAAAAAGCAACGTCAACTATACCTTTGCAGTCAGTTGGCTTGTAATGGCTTCAATTGAACTCTCTCTGTGATATCACAGGCCCAAAGCTCTGTGACATCACACTGAGACATCGTGTTCGAAACAGAGAATGGGGAATCAGTGTTCCCAGCAGTGTTTGCAAAGGCGACAAATGTATATTTGTATCATCAAACTACTGTATTTGCTCGTTTTGTAGCATGGGCCCATATTTTTTTAACCAAACTCCCTAATTAAGCCTTTATTCAAACCGGCCCTTATTCAAGCACGGGCACTTGTTATTTCTTGGAACAGTATTGAATGATCCGTGATGTTTGTCAAGTCACCACATATAGATAAGATCGATCGTTACAATAAATAATATATTGTCATTTCCAGTTCTCAAGTATGATTTAAACAAGAATGACGAAAATTTTGACTTTTTCTACGCACCGCAGGTACAAATCCGCAAAAGAAGAAAAGTTTGGCGATGCCCTATCAATATTGAAACGACGCACTTGGGCGTCACGATGCCCAGTTTGAAAAACCATGGTGTTACGTAATCAATGCTATCTGTTATGTAATTGGACGTCTAAGGCGTGAGTGTTATCTACCAGCGCTTAAAATTCAACAGCGTTGTGACAAAAGCGCTTCTTATTTCCTATTGTTCTCTACCACTAAAAAATCAGCTTTTGCATCGGGCGGGTATTCAAGCACCGGCCCTTATTTATTTTTATGTTCTGTTTACACGGGCGGCTATTCAAACGGGCCCTTAATCAAGATTGGGCGGTAAAACGAGCATTTACGGTATATGTTATATAACAGATTTCTTTCGCTGACCTTCTGAAATTGCCTCACGGACCCCAAAAGGTCCACAGATCCAGTTTGGGAACCACTGTGCTAGGCTGATGTTTTTATATTAACGAGCACAATGTACCAATTGGGGTCATTATGGTGTTATTTTTGCCGATATTTCCAACTGGAGTTTATAAAGTATAGTCAATTATTATCTCAACAGGCACAAATGGGCAGGATGAAACACTTCGGTAGGCTGGATCTGGCCCGCGGGGCTTAATTTGCCCATTCATGACTTAGAATAATTATTCCTGCTATAACATCCTTACATTGTACAAATCCCCCAGTGCAAAAGCATAAAACAAGGATATTATTATTGAACCCATCTTATATCTTTTATGCATGCTGTTTTTATTTTCACACCTGGAAGTAGGCAGATTTGCTTATAAGTAGTGACCTAGGTCGCATAAAGGAAACAATGGTGACGCATGCTATGACAATACCATACTATGAGTAGGCAGTTCATATTTTGGTCGAAACGTAAATTTCCTCAAATTAAGAAACCACCTTATATTGTGTTATGAATCTAACTATCTACATAGTTGATGAATCCCACAATTCAGAGCTATCTGAACTATTTTGTATTTACCATATTTCTTTGATATTTTTATATTGAAAACCTTTTGTGTATTCTATTTAATTTAGGAGCCATGCTTTATTCTAACATACACTACACTTAGCAGGAGCTCAGCAGGGTTCCCAGAGTGAACAAAAATGAATGTAAAACTGGCCAAAACTGAATACACTCGGAAGTCTGAACTAATATTTCTGAAGGAATATCAAATACTAAAATTAAATTATTTTTAACAAAGACAAGTCAATGTAAATTCGAGTAGTTGAGTTTGAAAATTCAAGAATGTTAAAAAAATTATCATTATAATTTTTTAAAATTTGGACGTAACTCTTTAAAAACTATTCCATATTCAAGATGTCAAAATAGGAAATATATTTTTTGAAATCATGAATATATTTAATTTATTCAAGTTCTTGATTAGTTTTGAGCAGCCCTCAGCAGACTTCTACACATTATTAGACAGCCATATAATAATAGATACAGGAAATGCCTGTGATGATATGACTGTATGAGTGTTATGTTTATAGAAGCCGGTCATGTGAATAGTGCTTGGGCTTGAATATTATCAAACTCAGTAATCGGTGGTTTATATTTATCACCCTACTTAGGCAAAGCAGTATGGTGGCCCATCGTTGTCACACGTTTTTATTTTGAGAAAATTTGCTTCTGCTTGGGACCAACGTTGTCATGCATAATCCTACGCGCACAAACGGTGTTCCCTGGGTTTCTAACTCACTACTGATTTTCTTGAGCAATATTCAATAAATTCAAAACGAAAATGTTCTATGAATTTTCCATGCTACAAGTTCAACTAGAAGTAATATATTTATAATAATGATAAGAGAATATAGAAATGAATACGAAAAATCGGGAAATTGTTTTTATGTGTAGAAGGTAATTGAATTGGAGAATGCTGCTCAACTGCTTAGTTGTCCGGACACTCTTGCGATATCGGTATCGTCTGACCGTACCTGTACCCATGCAATCAATACCGGGTACGATCAGACGATATCTGTATCGCACGAGTGTCCGGACAACTGAGCATTTAAGCAGCATTCTCCAATTCAATTACCTTCTACACATAAAAACAAATTTTTCGAATTTTGTATTCAATTCTATATTCTCTTACCATTATTTTATATAAATATATTACTTCTAGTTGAACTTGTATCATGGAGAATTTATAGAACATTTGCATATTAAATTTATTGAATATTGCTCAAGAAAATCAGTAGTGAGTTAGAAACCCAGGGAACATTATTTTATTCACGTTCGTTTTTTATTTTTTTTATTTTTTTTTTATTTTTTCATGTTTTTTCACGACTATTTTTTTATTTTACTTTTATTTTAAAATTTTTATTTTATTTATTCATTTTTTTTTAATTTACGTGTGACAACGATGGGCCATCATAAAGCAGTGTATAAAATTTATCTTTGTTTTGGCAAATACACTTTATTTTTGTGGGGGTCAGATAAACTAGGCGACTACAAAACCAGAAGTTTATCCATCACCATACTAAAAATACATGCTGAACACACACGAATGTAAAAAATGAAGTAAAAATGACATTTCAGGCTGAAAGAGACGCATAATAACCATACTGGCTATCGAGCTTTGTCGCTATTTTTTTGGCTAGTAATCTGTAATATTTGAGCTTAGACAAGTTTGATTATTGAAATTCTTAACAGAAAAATTTATATGCTACTACTTACTACTATGTATAATCTTGGTAGCAAACACCGCAACTCCCATTTTTTTTTTATATGTGATGGCCCAATGGTCGGTGTGTAGTATCTAATCATGTTTGTGTTGAACGTTTAAAATTTCAAGTTCAAATCTCTTGGCCACCAATGGCGTTGCACCTGTCTTTTTTTTTGCCAGGCGGGTTCTGGTTCTTCCGATAACATAGCAGCTGTCTATATTAACGACAGGAAAAACATTTGATTCGCTGTTGTTACCAAGTAAACCATTTAATAAACAATGAAAACTAACATCATTTACTTCTTTACAGTTATGCTAGACTGACCTTTAGCAAAAAGGTTTCTTCCTAATCTAAAGCCTTCTTCAAAGCAAGTTTTGAAAAATTAAACCTCATGACTGTTTTCTTTCAGAATATTCGTGGGAACATGGAACGTGAACGGACAGAACCCACCTGATGAAGTCACGGATTGGCTGAGCACAGACGATTTAGTGAGGGATCCACCTGATATATATTTCATTGGGTGAGGATATGAGTTTTCTTCTTCAGGAGAATTTGCTTGAAGTTAGGGGCATACATCTCTGATTGAAGTTACCACTGAAAGGCCAAGAGTTGATATCATATACAATAATTGGGGTTTCGTGCATTACACACGCTCATTCGGATGCAAACGAGACTCATCCCTGAGCATAGTCAAGAGAGAGAGACCGTTAAATTCCAAAAACTATTCGTACTCAAAGAAAATGTTAACTCATCTTAGAGTGAAATTATGAATGGCCACTGGAATTCTATGAGCAACTGAAACCATAGCCTATTTAGATTACACCGCCAAGTAAGAATTGGCGTACTTAGTTTAGTTTGATGGTATGGCTCATTATATTCAACATACTATGCAGGGGGTCGTGTGGCAGTGCTTGTGCATGCTCTATTACTAAATCAGACTCGCTATGTTAAACCACAAAGCTCTAGTTTCCACCAGGTATAGTTTGAGATTGGCTTGTGTGGCTGTCTGATCTGGAGTTGCAATATCAAATTTCTTATGGTTAGGAGTAACCATACTTCAACTTTTACTTTACAATTACTGATCAAAAAACAACGAACCTGGTAAAAATATATTGAGAACTGACTCCGTAACAAAATTGTAATTGTAAAGGGACTTCATGGACGCTCTGTAATTCTTTCTAGCTTTCAAGAACTTGACTTGAGCAAGGAGGCGTACGTCTTCTCCGAGTCATGGAGGGAAGAAAACTGGATCGTAGCTGTGTCGAGATCTTTACCTCATGTGAATGTCAAGTATCATATGGTGAGTGTTTTTCTATGAGGCGTTTTACGCTACCTAACAAGTCTCGGTACTCCCGTAGTATATGAACCAAGATGGCTGACACCGGAACGTCATATGTGGACCAGGTTAATGTTAGGACATAATTTTATTCCAATTTTCGGTATTTTAATTCTATTATGAGTTCAGGGACTAGCCAAGTGCCTCGTGTAGTATTTGTACCTAAAATTATGGCCTAACCCTAACCTGGTACACATACTACGTACCGGTGTCCGCCATATTGGTTCACATATTACGGGAGTACCCAAGTGTCAGCACAAACACATTGATTTGTGAGGAGCTGCAATAATTGGAAAAAAGTTGGTTGGGGGGTGTTCCGAAATTTGTAATTGGCAAGTTAGACCATAACTGGTGACCGGAAAATGTGCCTTTACATGTGTCTTAAATTAATTGTCATAATGTGCTTCAAGCTGTGAAAAATTGCTATACAGAAAAACATTTTAAAAGGGGAGGTTTCGACCCGCAAATTCACCCCGACCCCCGCACGGGCTGTCTCCGACTCTACCATTCCCTGCTGTTAAGTCAGTATATTCGTATATTTAATAAATGTCCAGACCAATAACTAAAGTAATCAATAACCATGACCAACTGACATATGACCTCAAGTACAGAGAGCACATGGCTACTTCACCTTCATAGCTGTTTGGTCATGATCATTCATCTGTGACTGATGACATCACAGGTCAGGCTCAACCATTTGGGAAAATGCCATTTGCCAGAAATACAATAAAGTTAACACATGCATCTGGAACAAATTATTTGCTTGACCTGTACCTGACACAGCAGTCCTTTGTTATTACTATTGGGAATTGGTATTATCAGGATTATGAAATACCAATCCAGATACCTAATGAATATATTTTCTGTAATCTAAAATTTTTCTCTTAAATTCAGTTAAAATCGATTCGATTGGTTGGGATGTTACTTCTTGTCTTTGTGAAGACAATGCACGTTCTATCAATAAGAGACGTCACCTGCCATCAAGTTGGGACCGGGCTGCTCGGAAGAATGGTAATTATGCTTTCTTTTCTGTTTTATATACCCCTTACCCTCAAAAACGTCTTAGACAAGCTGGTAACACCAAGACTACCAAACTGGAGCGGCTTCAAACAAAAACAGTGAAAAAAATGGTAAAATCAGTGAAAAACCACCAACAATCTTGCAATAACAGTGAGAAACCTGGCAAAGACAGCGAAATACCATCAAAAACAATGAAAAACTGTCAAAAACTTTGCAAAAACAGTGAAATACCATCATAAACAGTGAAAAAAACGCCAAAAAACTTGCAAAAGACAGTTTTTTTTTATTATCAGGCTCTAGAAAAACAGCCGCTGACATATCAAGATCTATTTTGTTTTTCGTTATTCACCAGTAAGTACAGACTTCCAGTTTAGAATTGATTTTCTCAGGGGAATGGGGAACAAAACTCTAATTAGATCCTCTATGCCAGGGGTTCTCAAACTTTTGTTGTTGCGGAGCCCTTGAAAGGTTGAATATTATTCGCGGAGCCCCAAAATAAATTTCAAAATTGTTACTTTCAGATTATTATTCCCGAGCAAGTTAAAAGTACTTTATTTATTTTAAATGCTGAACCTTTTTTAATAGGGTTACCACAAGTCATAAATAAATCTAAATTTTATACTAAAGCTGTAAATTTGACACTTGACGAACATATTAATAAATTAAGGATCGAATCTTTTCTTTTTTGACATTTTTGGAAGACTTAATTAAAAGGCCGTTAGTAACGTGCGCTATTTCATTTTGTTACAATCGCCGATTTTTTCCGTCAGCATGGCGTGTTTTAAACATCTTTACGCCGCTGTTTATTCTCCCTAAATCAAAAATTTCCCTCGGCATATACATGTATTGTTACACAATGACGACGTTAATTGCTTTTTTGTTCTCGTGGGGAATTATGAGTTCGGTTTCAGCAGACTCACCTCAGATTGAAAACGCTTCTATAGACATTGTAAATCACAAAATTTGGTGTTATCTTAGGTTTTCATCGTAGTAGCTGCGAAATCGAAACACAGTCAATTGTGCGCGCGATTTACCTTTTTTTCATTCTGAAACTACCGACGCAGCCGCACGCAATCAATTGTGCGCGCGATCCGCGATGTACCTTTTTTCATTCTGAAACTACCGACGGAGCTGAATGCAATAAAATAATTTTCAATTGTTCGTATTTTCCCCAGACATTGTGATTTTTTAAACGGCGATATCTTGCTTAAAAATAATCTCAAGTGCGAAAGAACAAATCAAGTTTGACAAATCCCAAGATCGCAAAAATACGACACCAATTTATTTATAGTTGGCAGTTTATCACATATTTTATGTTATTTTAGAATAGTATTCTTTCATTTTAGTAATCCTAATAGTAATCTCGAATCAAACGTGAGTAACGATGAGCACAACTACATTATACCGACGAGACACGTCAAATGCTCCATCGGTCTTGGATTGAATATTTTACGCAACAGAAATCTCGTTATCCGTTTTTTCAATCGCGAAAAAATGTTGCGCGGAAATTTCCGATTCCAATTTTGAACCACCTCCCTCTTAAGAATCCTGGCTGCGCTACTGCTCATAAATAATGTCATTTTTTAATTCCGGCCCTTTACCATATTTCGAGGCTATATTGTTGTCAGATGTTATCAAAGCCGTTATTGCTTCTTTGAACAGTTACAAAATTTTGAGTCAGTATTTTGAAGAGTAATCGAATAGCTCGCGGAGCCCCTGGGTTACTTTCGCGGAGCCCTGGGGCTCCGTACGGAGCACTTTGAGAACCTATGCTCTATGCACTTGGATAAAGCACTGACTTGAATTATTTTACATCCTCAGGGCAACAAAGGAGGAGTAGCAATTCGTATGGATCTCCATAATTCATCTATATGTGCTGTTAACTCCCATCTCGCGGCTCATCTTGAACAATGCCAACGTAGAAACGAAGATTTTAGAGACATTTGTTCGAGATTGCAGTTTAATATCAACGGACAAATAATGCCGATGTCTGTCTTCCAACATGAGTGAGTGCTTTAATTGCATGTGTGATGGCCATTGATGGCGAAGTGCTTTTATTACTGTTTGTGAAAATCTCGTTCGAAGGGTAGACTGCATATTGAACTCTCATAAAATGAAATAGTTTTAGGGGGAACCCATAATTTTGCTCCTAGTGAGTGCGAGCGACTTCAGGAAAATAGTTTTTAAAAAAAAATTTTGCTTCCAATAAATCTACAAATATGCAAATATGTGCTAATTTCAAGCGTTGTGTTTCGGCTGGGTGATTTCATCTCTTCAAAATATATTTAACCAGAAAATATTTGTTGATTATTAGTATTGTGTTCTTCAATGGTAGTTAAATTCTTTAAAATATTCGGAACTCAAAAATATTGGTTTATTTCTAGTGTTGTGTTCTGGTTGGGTAATTAAGACCTCTTCAATTTATATGGTTCTTTGAAATATCTGTTTATTTCTAGTGTTGTGTTCTGGTTGGGTAATTGATATCTCCTAAATTTATATTACTCTGAGAAATATCTGTTCATTTCTAGCGTTGTGTTCTGGTTGGGTGACCTTAACTACAGGATACAAGACTTGTCTTCTGAATATGTGAAAGAATTGATCGATGAACGAGGTTACAAGCTGTTGAAAGAAAAAGATCAGGTTCGTTTCTTTTAAATGAGAAAGAAGTTGGCAATGCCATACCCGACATGGACTGGTAACAGGACCCGTGGTTCGCCATATGGTTAAGTCTCGCGGCCCATCTCAATTATAACTAGCTAACAATAAGCTACAAATAACAGCTGGTAAGGCAAAAGTACGTTTTATTCAAAAAAAAAACAATATACATTGATGGGATGTGAATATCCAAAATAAGACGGGCAAGATAAAATCTAACAAGTGTTTTGATTTAGCTTTACGCTCCTCAAAAATTGTGGGGCGCCTTCACCATTCGAGAAACACTGATTTAGACTAAAGCTACTGAATCTCATCTGTTTTTCATTATTGGAAAGACAAAAATTTTGACTCCATCTTCGAGTAGTATTATCTATCAATTACAGAATATTTAAGTAATAAGTAAAACACTTTGACTGTACATCCATGGCTGAGATTCCCTCGTCCCCTTGTTACTCATCGATCTTAAAATCGGTAAGTATGTTGATAGGTATTTGTCTGTTAGATGCACGCGATATCTCACGAAAGCGAGGATTGAATCTGCTCTAAATTTTGCATGTACATTCATCATAGCTCGGACCAGAAGCCTATTGATTTTGGATGGATTATGTCTTATAATTAGCGAGTTATTAATTAATTAGTGATGGGAAACACGGTGTCAGTATGGAGTAAGACCACTGTTTTGGGGGATCCCCTAACCTTCGATCGATAAGTCTTCTGTTTCTAACCGATATTCTAGTTTTATTACTTTGTTTATTAAAATTTTGAGTTCCATATGTCTAAAAATGAGATTCTTCACACCAATTACGCCCTCTTTTTTTTAACAGTTGAATATCGAACGTGGTGACCAACGAGTCTTCCAAGGTTTTAATGAAGGCGAGATAAATTTTCGACCAACTTATAAGTATAATCCAGGAACAGATGAATGGGACACTTCAGAAAAGTGTCGGACTCCTGCTTGGTGCGATCGAGTGCTTTGGAGAGAGTCTGTGTTATCTCTGAGAACTGGTGCAAACGGTGAGTTGTTTAATATCAGTCTCTTTTCCAAGAGTGAATTTTCACCTTCAGAAATGGATAAATTCAAAAAAATTCATTTTATTTTGAACAAATGTTACTATTACAAGATTGAAAATTTTTATATTATTTATGCAATTTTTTATTATTAATATAAATTCATTTCCTGATGCTCTATTAAGTAACAAATCTGAATTTTAGGCCACAGGACGCATGAATTTTTTAAATAAATTAAATTTCGAAATGCCCTCAACCTAATCAGAAGTGCGAATAAATTGAAAAAGCAGTATTGGATTGCTTCATATGCGGCTTGTGCAAAGCCTTGCTGGTAACAAAATATTAAAAATTGCTCATAAAACACAAATCTTATTTCTTGCAGCAAAACCTCAATCCTCTGTTGATCTTCTCAAATACCAACAACACATGAAATTGAAACTGAGCGACCACAAACCAGTCAGTGCTTTGTTCCAAGTCAAGGTAAGAAGGAGGTTCATTCGATGCTTAGCGTTCTTGGTAGGGACTCGAGCCCTGACATGGGCAAACTACAGCTACGACTCACGGTCCAAATCGTCTCGTTGGGTTATTCATTCTGGCCTGGCTTATTCTGCCATAAATTTCTGCTTTCAACCAATTCTACATGCACTACATATTTGTGCTATGTATACACAACAGAGCCTTCGTGGTATTGGGATATGCTGTGCTGTCCAAATGATTTTTTCATTTAATAAATTGGAGTTTTTGGTTGTATTAAGATGAGAGCATTTGGTTGTATTAAGATGAAAGTTTTTGGTTGTATTAAGATGAGAGTTTTGGTTGTATTAAGATGGGTATGTTTGGTTGTATCAAGATGAGAGCATTTGATTGTATTAAGATGAGAGTATGTTTGGTTGTATTAAGATGGGAGTATCTGGTTGTATTAAGATGAAGTGTTTGGTTGTATTAAGATGAGAGTATCTGGTTGTATTAAGATGAAGTGTTTGGTTGTATTAAGATGAGAGTATGTTTGGTTGTATTAAGATGGGTATGTTTGGTTGTATCAAGATGAGAGCATTTGATTGTATTAAGATGAGAGTATTTGGTTGTATTAAGATGGGGATGTTTGGTTGTATTAAGATGCGAGTATTTGGTTGTATTAAGATGGGGATGTTTGGTTGTATTAAGATGGGGATGTTTGGTTGTATCAAGATGTGATTGTTTGGTTGTATTAAGAAGGGAGTATTTGGTTGTATTAGGATGGGAGTATTTGGTTGTATTAAGATGGGAGTATTTGGTTGTATTAAGATGGGAGCGTTTGGTTGTATTAAGATGGGAGGGTTTGGTTGTATTAAGATGGGAGTGTTTGGTTGTATTAAGATGGGAGGGTTTGGTTGTATTAAGATGGGAGGGTTTGGTTGTATTAAGATGGGAGAGTGTTTAGTTGTATTAAGATGGGTATGTTTGGTTGTATTAAGATGAGGTCATTTGGTTGTATCAAGATGGGAATGTTTGGTTGTATTAAGATGGGAGTATTTGGTTGTATTAAGACGGGAGTGTTTGGTTGTATTAAGATGGGAGTATTTGGTTGTATTAAGACGGGAGTGTTTGGTTGTATTAAGATGGGAGTGTTTGGTTGTATTAAGATGGGAATTTTTGGTTGTATTAAGATGGGAGCGTTTGGTTGTATTAAGATGGGAGTGTTTGGTTGTATTAAGAAGGGAGTATTTGGTTGTATTAGGATGGGAGTATTTGGTTGTATTAAGACGGGAGTGTTTGGTTGTATTAAGATGGGAGTATTTGGTTGTATTAAGACGGGAGTGTTTGGTTGTATTAAGATGGGAGTGTTTGGTTGTATTAAGATGGGAATTTTTGGTTGTATTAAGATGGGAGCGTTTGGTTGTATTAAGATGGGAGTGTTTGGTTGTATTAAGAAGGGAGTATTTGGTTGTATTAGGATGGGAGTATTTGGTTGTATTAAGATGGGAGTGTTTGGTTGTATGAAGATGGGAGCGTTTGGTTGTATTAAGATGGGAGTATTTGGTTGTATTAAGATGTGAGTTTTTGGTTGTATTAAGATGTGAGTATTTGGTTGTATTAAGATGTGAGTATTTGGTTGTATTAAGATGTGAGTTTTTGGTTGTATTAAGATGTGAGTATTTGGTTGTATTAAGATGCGAGTATTTGGTTGTATTAAGATGTGAGTTTTTGGTTGTATTAAGATGGGAGTATTTGGTTGTATTAAGACGGGAGTGTTTGGTTGTATTAAGATGGGAGTATTTGGTTGTATTAAGATGGGAGTGTTTGGTTGTATTAAGATGGGAGTGTTTGGTTGTATTAAGAAGGGAGTATTTGGTTGTATTAGGATGGGAGTATTTGGTTGTATTAAGACGGGAGTGTTTGGTTGTATTAAGATGGGAGTATTTGGTTGTATTAAGACGGGAGTGTTTGGTTGTATTAAGATGGGAGAGTTTGGTTGTATTAAGATGGGAATGTTTGGTTGTATTAAGATGGGAGCGTTTGGTTGTATTAAGATGGGAGTGTTTGGTTGTATTAAGAAGGGAGTATTTGGTTGTATTAGGATGGGAGTGTTTGGTTGTATTAAGATGGGAGTGTTTGGTTGTATGAAGATGGGAGCGTTTGGTTGTATTAAGATGGGAGTGTTTGGTTGTATTAAGATGGGAATGTTTGGTTGTATTAAGATGGGAATGTTTGGTTGTATTAAGATGGGGGTATTTGGTTGTATTAAGATGGGAGTTTTTGGTTGTATTAAGATGTGAGTATTTGGTTGTATTAAGATGTGAGTATTTGGTTGTATTAAGATGGGAGTTTTTGGTTGTATTAAGATGTGAGTATTTGGTTGTATTAAGATGTGAGTATTTGGTTGTATTAAGATGTGAGTATTTGGTTGTATTAAGAAGTGAGTTTTTGGTTGTATTAAGATGGGAGTTTTTGGTTGTATTAAGATGGGAGTATTTGGTTGTATTAAGATGGGAGTGTTTGGTTGTATTAAGATGGGAGTGTTTGGTTGTATTAAGATGGTAGTATTTGGTTGTATTAAGATGGGAGTATTTGGTTGTATTAAGATGGGAAAGTTTGGTTGTATTAAGATGGGAGTATTTGGTTGTATTAAGATGGGAGTATTTGGTTGTATTAAGATGGGAAAGTTTGGTTGTATTAAGATGGGAGTATTTGGTTGTATTAAGATGGGAGTATTTGGTTGTATTAAGAAGGGAATGTTTGGTTGTATTAAGAAGGGAGTATTTGGTTGTATTAAGATGGGAAGTTTGGTTCTATTAAGATGGGAGTATTTGGTTGTATTAAGATGGGAGTATTTGGTTGTATTAAGAAGGGAGTGTTTGGTTGTATTAAGAAGGGAGTATTTGGTTGTATTAAGATGGGAAGTTTGGTTGTATTAAGATGGGAGTGTTTGGTTGTATTAAGATGTGAGTATTTGGTTGTATTAAGATGGGAGTTTTTGGTTGTATTAAGATGGGAAAGTTTGGTTGTATTAAGAAGGGAGTATTTGGTTGTATTAAGATGGGAAGTTTGGTTCTATTAAGATGGGAGTATTTGGTTGTATTAAGATGGGAGTATTTGGTTGTATTAAGAAGGGAGTGTTTGGTTGTATTAAGAAGGGAGTATTTGGTTGTATTAAGATGGGAAGTTTGGTTGTATTAAGATGGGAGTGTTTGGTTGTATTAAGATGGTAGTATTTGGTTGTATTAAGATGGGAGTTTTTGGTTGTATTAAGATGGGAAAGTTTGGTTGTATTAAGATGGGAGTGTTTGGTTGTATTAAGATGGGAGTATTTGGTTGTATTAAGATGGGAAAGTTTGGTTGTATTAAGATGGGAGTATTTGGTTCTATTAAGATGGGAAAGTTTGGTTGTATTAAGATGAGAGAATTTGGTTCAACTAACCACCAGTTAGACCTAACTCGCTGACTCTTGTTTTTCTGTTCAAGGTCAAAGTAATAGACGAAGGTCGTTACAAGAAAGTATTTGAAGACGAAAACAGAAGACTCGATAAATTGGAAAACGAATATTTGCCAACAATGAAATTAAACAAACAACATGTAAGTTCACCTTCTCTGTGGCCTTTTTGGGTCTCACCTGTAGCCTCGTGTGATGGTTGTTATCTTGGACGCTTTGGTATTGGATATATTTTGTTAATATGAATACTATGTAGTTGCAATTACTATGGGGTGTCCATAAATTCTTAAAAAAAATTTAAAATTACAAAGATAATTTATCGTAACCATATATTGTTTTGGTTGTCACAGATGTATTAAATGAAGTAAAAATACTTGAACAATTACTGATTAAAAAACAACGAACCTGGTTGAGATATATTTTTGAGAACTGACTCCATAACAAAACTGAAATTGTAAAGAGACTTTATGGACACTCTGTATATCTTTAATGCCTATCAGTCGTGTATGTTTTCTTCCATTTCTGTCTTTTCATGAATGTTGTTCATGAACCACATTACGAAAGTAGCATTGTTTTTTCATTCTCTATTCTTCATCCAGGTTGACTTTGGTGAAGTGAAGTTCCAACAACCGAAATTGGAAACGGTTGAAATAGACAATGATGGTATGAGACCATGTAACTTTGAATTCATCTGCAAGAATAAGGAAACGAATATCTGTCAGAAATGGTTGACGATAACTAAGCCAAAAGGTTGTCTGCTACCTGGTGAGTATAGATCCGCGGTTCTTAAACTAATGGTGATTTTTTGCCCTTTTTCCCAATGGCAACAGTTTGTTGCACCCCCATGGTAGGTTATTAAAAATGTTGTTAAAATTTAACTTGAATGCTTAACTAAACATTTGTCTACTTCCTATAATGTGATTTTATGTGGATTTCTTTAACAATTATTCCATTTTGAATTAACTTATTCAACCCCGACCTATGATAATGCCCCCACTTCTTCAATTTTAAATGCTATTTGCACCTCTTTTATTTCAGGTGAAAAGTTAGTTCTTGAGTTTGAAGTTTACGTTAATCGTTTGTCAGCGCCACTGTTGAATTCCGGGGAAGAAAGATTAGACGATATTTTGATTCTACATCTAGAAGGAGGTGAGTTGTCAATATATGAACTAATAACCAAAGTAGGCTATGGTTTTGCTCTCACTCAGTGGTTCTCAAACTTTTTGCGCCGCTCCCATTTTAGAATTTGTCGAGTCTCGCCCTTCCACCTTCAAAAGTAACTAGCTCACAATAGGCTAAAATAACAGATAGTAAGGCAAAAATATGTTTCATCTACTACTCCTCCCTTGTCGGCCGCACCCCCCATCGTTTGAGAACAACTGCTCTCACATATGTAGAGTTGCTTCTTATTTATGTTTTTTGTAAACTAGGAGTCGAATTACCGGCGTCATTTATTTTTAAATCATTGAAATATACTGAAATTGAGATGGCTTATCGTTGCCAATTTTCATATCGACAAGCAGTGTTCCCTCTAAGGTGTGCGCGTAAGCGCTCACACAGCTTTCAGAGGCTGCGCACACGCATAGATTTACTGCGCACAGACGTATTTCGATGTAATGTAACAATGTGCTCGGTTGGCAGGTTGGGAAAGTTTGTTGTTGGCCCACCCATTACCCGGTTAGAACGCCAAAATTTCTTTATTGGTTTTTGCACAAATATTGGTCATTTCCAAAAAAGTGCGCACACACCAATATTTCTGCGCACACATACTACAAAAAATTAGAGAGATTATTGTCGACAAGTCAAAAACTGGTTTCTGTGTTGGCCCTATTTATATTCTCTTCTAGATGACCTCGTTCAGTGGTTCTCAAACGATGATGCGCGCGGGTGTAGCCAATTTTTTTGAGGAGTCGCGAAGCTAATTTAAATAAAAATATTTGTTAGATTCGATCTTGTCCGCCTTATTTTGGATATTTAAGTGCCATTCCGTATTTTCAACGTGTTTTTTGAATAAAACATACTTTCGCCTAAAACTATCTGTTTTTGGAATGAAAATTCCTTCTTACGAATATGAATATTTTCATGCAAATTCTAAACTATTTGATCGATCTAAAAACTTTAACAATATTTCCAGGGAAAGATTTCTTCATTACTGTGACCGGTAAATATTTGCCGAGTTGTTTCGGAATGTCAATCGAAGCTTTGTGTCGGCTACAGAAGCCAGTTACGATGGTTTCACTTGAAGAGATAAGAGATTTGGTAAGTTATTGTTGGTGCAATCCAGTGTTTCCTAACATGGGTTCGATCAAACTCCTGGGGTTTAATGGAAATTTTACGTAGTTTTGACGAGATTCTTTTGGACTATTTGTATATCATGAAGTATCATGTTGTTGCTAGTTTGTCCGAAAAACTCTGAGCAATTGCCTTCAGAGGAGTTTTCCGAGAAATATTTCAACCAAAAAAGGCACTTTGTCACATAGCTATGTGGACCTAATAGTCCTCTTTTTCAATATACATTCTTTCATATAGTTTCGCATGCCTTTGGTTTTAACTGTTCGAAACATCGCGGTTCGGATGAAGCTTGCAGAATAACGTAGAGTCGACACGTTTGCAAAGGTTAAAAACCACTGGTGTAAACGGTTACAATCTAAGATATCGTAGTAAATTTGCTCCCACATCTTCCTTGCAACGAACCTTGTACAAGCAGCCACTGACTATCTTGAAAGCTACTCTTTTTGGGATGATTGCAATCCTTCCCTTTCAGCATTATCCAAATTATTACACTCTAGGTGAGGTACTGAGCATAGAATTTAAATTCGAGATCTTCAGCTGCAATACCAAAGTCCAACACTAATTTTTTTGTATACTTTTTCAGAGCAAGATCCAACCAAACAGAGGTGCAGATTTCGTATCTTCAGAGAACGAAGTTTCGTTGTCTGTTCCTAAGGAACTGTGGACACTCGTGGATCATCTGTATACTTACGGAAGAAAACAGGTATCCTACTTTTTTTCAATGAGTTGAATGCTTGGTGGTAAAAACCAATGTCAAACATTTTTATTTTTATACATTTTGTAATACAACGCCAACTTGCATAACCACTCTTAAAATAAGCATCAAAAATTTAGCAATGGTAAAGTACATAGGAAGAATTTTCTGGGGGTCAAAGGTCGGGGAAATTCATTATACACGGGGTGACTATCAATCTTTATTGTCCGTTCACACGATACCTATTCTCCAAATGATGTGTTATGCGCAATGCGAAACTGATTGTCTGCAGAGCCGTTTTCGGAATGAAAATGCCTAATTGAAACATATATGAAAATTTCTTACCTTACCCTTGGTCTGGCTAATAATCTTCGGTACTCCCATAGTATATGCACCAGGTTAGGGTTAGGCCATTATTTGATGCCGATTTTCCTTATTCCAGTTCTATTACGAGTTTGGGGACTGTTTGTGTTAGCCAAGTGAAAATACCCCCTGCCCATAGGTTCCAGTCCCTTATACAACTTGATGTAAAGTTGGCGAACAAAATTAGTTATCTTCAAATTGGTACACACACTTCTGGAGCGCCCCTATTTCTTTGTGACGTGTTAGGTGGGACTGCTTGTGTGCAGAGCCCAGCTAAGAATGGAAATGTGGGAGTGCCTCATAACCACTACTGTAACCTTAGTCTGACTGATAATTTTCACTGTTCATTCACATAGTTCCACTCTCTTTCTATAGGAGGATTTATTCCAACAGCCCGGTCTTCACTCAGAGGTTGAAGACATTCGAGATTGTCTCGACACAAAAGTTGACACAACGACGGGAAGAATGAGGCTGCCTGGTAAGTGGGGGTTCAGTTTATTTGTAAAAACTAACTCTCGACTAAAAGTTGAAGGTGACCAAGGACCCCCTGAGGGGCCATATAGCAGTATAACTGATTTTACCTTTTTATTACTTAAAAATTCTCCATTTCTTTGCTTGATAAGGATATTTCACGGTGTTTTCACCTTGTTGAACATGAATTGTTTGATAAAATGGGATTTAGAATCTAATCCAAATACCACTATAAATGCAAAGAGCGGAGCCATGAGAACTAAAAGCCTGCAAAAGGGAGCAACGAGCCATAAAAAGGTGGGAACATCTGGAATATAGTATGTTTGCAACTAACTCAATATCCAATGGGAGTTGGAAGAGTGCAGATAGAAGGGATGCAAGCGACCACACACCAGGCCAACCCATTACTATAGAAAGAGAGCCTGTGAATAATCGAATAATTTGAATTACTTTAGGCAATTTTGTTAAAAATGATACAGATAGTCTTGATATATTCCTGGGCAGCATGATTTGCATATAAATACTATTCCGCCTTTTTCACGGTCTATTGCATTTTTTAAGGTTCAAACCACTCAGCAGCTGAAGCTCTTCTTATTCTTCTTGAAGCTTTTCCTGAGCCAGTAATACCGTTTCATATCTACCAACCATGCCTGGAAGTTTGTGATATCTTCTTCCAATGCAAACAGGTAAGTTTGGTTGCGTCGGCAACCTGTGGCCCCAAAGCTGCTCTTTGTTCTCAGAGCTCGGGATCACTTCAATCAAAGTTGCTATAGCAGTTTTCTGTTAGTAGCAGTGGGGATTCAATGAAAAGTCGGAGGCATGAGGTCTCACTACTCACTATTTACCCATCACAATGGGTTGTGAGCAGTAAAAATGGGTCGCATTAAAGGGATTTAAATCTGTCAAAGCAAACTTTTTCTTTTTATTCTCCAAGTTCTTTATATTTCTTTGTAAACTGAATTATTACATCATTCGTAATTTATTTGTCTTCTTCATAATAACAACTAGAATATTGCATCATAAGTAGTTTTCGGAGAGTTTCAATAGGCACTATCAGTAGAGTAGATGTTGCGGCTCTGAGTAGGTTCGAGTTTGACGGAAAGGATGCCAAAAGGCTTTTTCAATGCTTAAGGTTGCCAATGCGTGACATAGAAAAATGGTTACTAGACATGCCATCTAATATCTACAGGTTGATGACCCATGGCGTCAAAGGAAATACTCTATTGCCATTGGCTTTCGCTAGTTTTGAAAGAAATGTACTTGGACACCAGCCCTCTGCAACAGCTACAAAAGCTTATTCCGTTGCCATTTTTCGGTGCTCCAGAAGTATGCGCACCAAGATGTCGCACAACCTGAATCCTAACCGGTACACTCATACTATGTTCAGGTTGTGCGCCATCTTGGTGTGCATACTTCTGGAGGTCCCATTTTTCTATGCTTTTTGAAGATTCTGACTCACAAATTTTTGCATTCTGAATGAAACCTGCTTTGGATTGATTCTGAGAGTCATTTTTATGCCGTGGTACATGAAGAATTTATTTTATACAATTATTCCAAATTATTGCCAGAATTTTCTTGAAACGTCACATATCCCCACATATAAGCCGATCCCGCATATAAGATGAACCTCTTAAACGACCCTAATCGATGAATTTATAAAACTTTGCATTAAAGCCGACCCTACAAATTGTAATACGTCGTACTCGTCTATAACAGCAAATGGTTACAGAAGAGAATTAATGAAAATGATAACCATTGTTGTTATGTTTTACTTTTATTAATAACAGTAATAAGTGTCTCAAAATCCTTCACGTTCATGTCATTTCGTTTGAGTCCGATCTGAGTTATTTGCGTATAACCCCCTTAGTTTGACAACTTTCATTTTAGTTTCAATTTGGCTTATATGTGAGGATATATAGTAGTATTTTATCCAATCTGGGCTAGTATTTCTAGCTAATTAGCTAGTTTCACTCAGCCATGTTTCTAATCGCTCCATTATTTCTCCTATAGGTTCTTCAAGGAATGACTCGACACCATCGCAATGTGTTCAAATACATTTGTGCGTTCTTACGAGAATTACTGAGATACAGCAACGAGAATGGACTGGACGTTGACTTAGTCGGTAAGTCTCTCCTTGCTCAAGACACATCACTTCAGCGGAAATGTCTGTGTCAAAATATTAGTCTATTTTTTCAATTAACATTCCAAATGTTTCTAATAGATGTATATTTCCCTAAAAACTTCTATTGATTCCCCCCCAAAATTTGTTTTAAATTGTACAAAAATGGAAAGAAAATCTTGCGTAATAAGATTTCGATCATCTTTACTTCGAAAAAAGCCTTTTTTAATTGCAAATTTATTTTAGTTAAACTGATCTTGACTGAATATCAGAGCATATCATAGAAGTGTATGCATACTGGTTCACAGTATAGATGTGGGAAATATGAAATAATAAAATTGAAATTGATTTAAAAAAAAAAAATCATGGAAAAATTTTTCATAACTTTGTGATATAGCGTTATTAACTTTTTTTTTATACGAAACAGGTTTTCGGGCCTTGCAAACAGCATAACCTGGAATTTGAAAGCGTTTTTTCTGACATTTCCAATTGCCAAGTCTGGCCGAAAAATGTTGGTTTTCAAGAGTCTAAAAAACATTTCAATCTACAAAAAATTGCTATGTGTGATAAAAATGCTTATTTCTACATCTTAAAAGGGTCCAACCCTCAATTTTATATTTTTGGGCCTGGATTTCCAGTTTATCTTTGTTTAACTCAACTGTTCAACTTGTTTTGTTTATTTCAGCTCAAATATTCAGCGGACTTATGCTTCGTCCTCCATCAAAAGTTCGGAAACCAAGAATGGAGGCGCGATTAGATCGGGAAAAAGCACAAAAATTTGTGACACATTTTCTAGTCAACGCATACGACGAATGAAGAAGAATTCTGCATTGGACAAGCTTCAATGAACTTTGTGGTTATCTAAGATCATGGTATTGAATCCCAATGAAATCCTTTTGAAGTCTGTAATATATCAGGAAACCGAGGCTCTCAATCCGGGGGTAAATTACTCTTGAGGGCTATACTGGACCTGAATTAGGGGTAAATTTTGAGAGCAAGAACGTACAAGATTGCAACTTTCATGTATTCTGTTCTGGTCAACTTGGCTTGTATACAACAAGCCCTAACTGGCCTCCCTCCTAGATCTGGGTTTATCAGGCGGGGAGATATTAGGATCTGCATTGAAGCTAAATTTCCCATTCAAGAAAGTAAATAATTAAATGTGGCATTTGACCTTTCAAAGATTGCAACATTGTTAGGAATGCAACGTTTTCTGATGGTGGAGAGACTGTCTGGCTTGGCAACTCATTTCTTGTTTTATTTATGGACAATCTATGGCAGTTGAGGGGTTAATTATTTTTCAAATTTTACCAAATTACCAAATTAATTTTACTAAATTATTTTTTAAATTTCACCAAACCTCTGGATTAGAGCAAAATTCCAGGTTCAAACCGCATAACCTCCGACCTACGAAACAGTACTTGTGACATTTTTATTTGACTAATTGAGAACGTACTTCGATTTGCTTGGGGCAGGGGCGGGGAGTAACCAGGGTAAAAAAACTATATTTCAAATTTATTTTAAATTTATTTCAAATTTCTATTTTTTGTTTTAATTGTCAGTATCTGTGCCATCTTATTATTATTGCATTCTCGCAATTTATACCCAGAATTTTTATTATCTAATACCAGTGAATTTTGCTCAGCAAGATAATCCAAACACACTCAAAAGTAAATCATCTCTGAGCAAATTTACAGTCAAACACTGAAACGCCAAGAGCTTCTGAAATATTTAGAATCATGATGGTGCATTACATGCCAAATGCCTATTTGCTCAATTAAAGCAATTCTTATATACAGGGAGTCCATGAAGTCTCAAATTTTTTTAAAAACGCAAAGGGAATTTTTCAATACCATATATTGTTTTGGCCTTCACAGATGATTTTAATTGTGGTAAAAATACTTGAACAATTGCTGATTAAAAAACAACAAACCTGGTTAAGATATATTGAGAACTAACTACATAACAAAATTGTAAAGGGACTTTATGGGCACCTAAATATTTTAGTATATTTGTATCAATGTTATTTTGGCTAGGATTCGATTCTAAATGATTTGTGATATTCCAAGAAAAGCCTATTTTAAGAACTTACCATCTGCAACGCCATGTCCGCCAAGTCCATGCATTTGAAAATAAGTATGGTTACTGGCTAACTAATCACACATCCGATGAGAAGTCGTGGTTCGCCATATGATTTAGCCCCCTCATTTTTTTCTGGTGTTATATTTTGTGGTGTCAATTTTGTAAAAGCCCAGCCCTAGACACGCCCAATGATTTGAATATACCCAGACCTCAAACTCTCTTTTCTTCAATTTCATTTTCCACAACTCAGTTTTGTTTTATTTTTGGAATGAATTTAGATTTAGTAAGAATTGTTAGTAGAATGTATAAATTATTTAGATGAAAAAGTATTCTTTGTTTTGTTCTAAAACCTGTCTTTTCCAAATGGAATAAAGAAAATTTCTAGGGAATTTAGAATAAAAAAAACGGGGTGTCTTCCACTCTGAACAAGTCTTTATGCAAGCGATTACTGAACTGCTATATAAGGAAAACTTGAGAGGCTTACAATACTAAAATGCACCCCTGATTCAAGTAATTCTTGAAGATTCTGTGAATTGGAATTGATGGATTATGTGAAAGTTTCCATTTTTGCATTGAAACCATAATTTATGTTCAATTCGACACTTCTCTTAGTTCTGATATAAAATAAAAAATGCTACCCTTTTCACAAAATTTACCATGGTATCTCCTAAAATCATAATGACTTTATTCTCATCCAGGGTATTTTTTGCACTTCATATTTTATGACGAGTCTTAGAAAGGATTTTTAAAAATATTCGAATCCTTGTTTGAGTTGGAAATGTTATCCAAAGGTAGTTCAATACGGTAATAAAAAAACTAGAATTTTTTTGATGACTTTTCACACACGATTCCTCATTTGGGCTTCGATTTTTGTTTTTGGTTGTCTTAAACTTTTCAGTGAAAGTTTATTAAATTATATTTTCCGTCAGTACTGAGCCTTATTAGTATTAAAGTGAGTTCCATGTCAACGTAATTTTTTCAAATTCATTTTCATTGTCATGCATCACTGAACCTCTGCTGCAGAAGCAGTGAATACTGTAACGTCATTCATGGCTGAGATTCTGCTAAATTTGCGGGAAATAAACTGAATCGAAGTCTTTGAGCGTTATTTAGGAAAAATATTCAACGTTTACAAGAATTCTGGAATAATTTCACAGCTTTGATGAGAACAAGCCTTCAAGTAAGGTGTTGTGACTAATTTCCGTTCAAGGGAGGGAAAAGCCTACAAGATAATCGGCCGTGTGACGGCGAACGAATTCTTCAGGACCATGAGCCAACTGTTTTAGGTTGGAGGCCTCGTGTGAAATCTGTTCATCTTTCTTGTGATCGGTTTTTGATGAAATGATTCTCTATCTTGTAATTTTAAATGTATTAATTCCATTGTATTTTCCTTGTTATATCATAAATAGTATTTTATTGTTAATGGCACATTTTATAAAATAATATTATTGTTATGTCACAATGTTCCTTCACTGCAATATAATTTTTTCAAAAACTTGAGAATCTTGTGTTTTGTTGTCAGTACAGGGGTGTATAATCAATTTTTGATAAATAGAGAGAAATGTTGCAGTTCACTAGAATAAATGTTTATTTATTCCCATATCCAACATGGACTGGTAACTGGATGAGAGGCCGTGGTTAACAAGCGCACCATTTCTCTTGCACAGGATATTATTATAAATACTTGTAAAGAGCTTTATTCAGAGTAAAAACATTTCTTGGTCTCAAACTAAGATTTCATGAATATCTTGAGGAATGGTCGGCCATGATGATTATACAAATGCTTCTCATACTTCAAGTAATGTGTGATATTGGATGGTATATGAATGGCTCATATCAAAGGGTTTGGTTCATGGTGCACTCTGTGTAGGAAGAGTCATGATATCGGATTCTCTCAAAAGATGGATCCATTACTACCGTATTTTATGGGCTATGGGGCTAACCGCCAATAAATTGCTTAGATTGAGGTTTTGTCCATACATAAGACGCGATGTTTATAGAAGTACATGCACTTGAAATCAAACTATATAGTCTAAAACAGTGGTGTTCAACAGACGGCCCGTGGGCCACAGCCCGCCCCGCCAAGACATTTAGTGTGGCCCTTGTTTCTCCAAGCATAAAATCCCAATGCAAAGTTCGTGTTTTAAAAGATGCTCACATGAGTAATGATTTCTGTTTTTTTTTTGCCCTTGTCGTTGCGTTAAATCTTCTGCCAATTTGCCCGGTGACTTTCTAACCGAAAGGCTAAGCGATAGCAGGATTCTCTCCCCTTGCCTTTCCCTTGTCGCTTAAGTATTTCATCAATTAAGGGTTGAAGCTGATGTAAACAAACTATGTAAAAACTCGAAATTTCAAGTGTTTCACGAAAATGTTGAATAAACTAAATTTTGCATTGTGAGAATTTTTTAAATTGTTGTGTTCATGGAAAATCAAATTTGTGTGTCCCAGCTAGATGTCTGAAGTTGGTTATATGGCCTGCCGGCAAAAAATGTTTCGCAACCCTGGTCTGAAATCTTTATTTATTTCCTGGAGACCAACTTTTTTAGTAAATAAACCATCCATTTTTCGAAAAAATGAAAAAAAAATGGTTTCCCTCCAACAAAAATAAAGATAGCTTGGATCAAGGTGGGATATTTTAACAAGTGGAACTACTTTATAGATGCACTTTGCCCTCTCGAGATAAATACAAAAATTTTCTGGCGGATCTTTCTTTGGCTTTACAGGTCTCCATATTTGAAAGAATACGATTTTCTTGTCTAGATCAGGAAAAATGTCAGCTAATCACAGAAGAAAGATAATCTCACAGATTAGTAACTTAATGAAAGACAACAGTTTGCCATAAAATTAAGCCGACTTATTGACTTTCCTTTCCTCTTAAGATAAATGCTATCTACTCCTCTGGTGGATCCACAGCTCTACAGGGCACCATATTCCAAAACTGTCCAATACAACACTCTTCGACTCTTTTGCCTGTCTGTTGAAGATTTAAATTGAAATACTTTCTGTCTCATTTAGATTATTAACAATGTTAGCTAATATAGGAAGAAAAATCATCTTGGGGATTCATGAAAACACCATCGCTTTGATTTTGCGACAAAACATTTATCGACGAATGATAGACTCGTTCGAAAATGAAGATAAATATAAAGAACATCTCAAAAATGAAAAATTGAAGAAAAGAAGAAAAAGGGCTTCGAAACAAACAAAGGTGAGGTTTTCATAGATTTTGGTGAAATTTAACCTGGAAATTAATGGAGTGTGGAACTGCAGTGTTTGCATCACTGTGTTTAGATGACAATATTGGATTTTGGTCGTGCAGGACTCAAAAATGGGTATAGTATGTGTACCAGGTTCGGCCATAATTTTATTCAGATTTTAGTACTATTACAATTCGAGAACTGTCTGTGTTAGCCAAGTGAATATACCCCATGCCCATAGGTTTCAGTCACTTTAAATAACTTGATGTAAAGTAGGCGAACAAAATTAGTTGCCTCCATATTGGTCCACATACTTGACTATACGTGTCTGTTTTCTTACAAAGGAGCTTCTGAAAGAGACCACAGAAGTACAACAGCCTGAAATCGATGAAGAATTCAACACCTATAGCGACATTCCACAAGAGATATTAAATCTAAAATTCACGAAACCGAATCCGGCGAAAATCGGAAGTTTCTCTAACTTGATGCTGAATATGAAGTCAAGGTCATACAGGTAAGACAAGGTCATTGGAGCCGTATATTTTTGAGTTGAAGATTGAAACGTGAGCTAAAATTTCTTGTGGTTTCAAACGAGGATGGACATAAGGATGGAATATCGAATTTATTTTAAATTAGTCCTATTTCAGCTGAGAATTCCAAGTTCATTTTGATTCTGACCAACTTGAAAATTACATGGTAGTTCAATTGATATTAATAGTATAGCTCAGTGGTGCCCAATATTTTTTGTTAAACTCTTTCTTTTTTATGTATCAGTACTTGTATGCCTAGCATCTTGTTGAAAGCAAACATCATTTTAAAAAGAATCGCAACTTCTTATTTTTGATGAAAATATTTAATTGTATTCTTTTTCTGCAGGGAACGACACAACGCTTGTTTACTGGAAGGAAAGTTTCTGATTGCTGATGCCATGAAGTCTGGGATGTTTGTCCGCTCTCTCTACTTTAGCAGATTGCAGAATCTTGTCGGCTTGCCGGTCGATCTTCTGCCAAAGATAAATTTAATCAAAGTTGGATTCAAAGAGATACAACAAGCTTCAGAGGTGGGTATTATTTTTGTTGCTCTGGGCAAATTGATGATTGAGGGTTTTGGACCTGACTATATCCATCAAATAAATTTTCCTTTCCTCGCCGTCCATGTTGTAATGTGAATTTGTCAAACCCTAAAGATCCTTTCAAAATTTGGCAACATGTTCTATATCAGTGGCTGGTAGCACAAGGGCCCCTTTCAGCACAAAAAGTGTTAATCAATGAAAAAGCTGTTACGTTTGCTTGTCCGTTCAACTCTCCAACATTTAGCTATTTCCACACCATTTACTCACAATAACTGTCAGTCTCATGTACATAATACAAAATAGGGAATGTGGGGGAAACTAACTCTGATGGCCATATCAGTCCTCCAGTCTATACTAAAAAACTTTTTTTTTTATTTTTTTTTTTTTTTTTTTTACAGTTAGTAAATTTGAATTTTCGAGCAAAAATGCAAATTTTATAAAATGAAAAAGTTGTCTTAATTTATAAAGAAATATTCTGTTCAAATATTTTGCTAGAATATTTTTCATTAATTCCATGGCAACTCCAATATACCCAGGTTAAAGTCCAAACAGATGGACTTTTGGCGATCGCCAGCAAACAAGATGAAATTACCAGAAAAAAAGTGATTAGTCAGCGAAATGAATTGTTGCATGAGAATGACGAAAGTCTTCTGCCGATAACACTTGTTTGTGACAACATAAGGGATGCAGGAAACATGGGAACAATACTACGAGGTGCTGCGGCTGCTGGTTGTGAACAGGTGATTGGACAGTACTTTTTCAGTCAAGCCACCGTGTGGTGTGATTGGTTGAATTACTTTTACACACTGAGAAGAGATTGAAAAATTTTCATTTCAGATTTTCTGTGTTTTTAAAGTCATTGAATATAAATTGACTTCTGTGTGTTTTCTATTGGATATGAAACATACCAAACCCAACTCCGCATCCCTGGCTGGGATTAAACTAGGCTAAACGTTTAAAAAAAAATTATTTTAAAATGAAAATTTTGTCTTATTTGTATTTGATAAACAAACTTCTAATTAGTTAGAAAGCTTATAAAACAATGCTAAATGGTGGGGCGCAGACAATTTTTTGAGGGAGCGTGAAGCTGATCAAAAATAAAAATATTTGATCTTGCCTGTCTTATTTTGAAATTTTGCTTGTTTTTTAGCTTCATTTATTTCATTATTTATGTTCCATGCACGTGTTTTCAATTTGTTGAGAACCCCGGATTTTGAGTATATACGAAATAATATTTCAGAATGTATTCAGATATAAAATTTCCCAAAATCATTCTAGTCCCAGTTACTCATGGCACTTCATAACTTCACTCAGAGATTACCTTCTTTTCTTCTCGGTGACTGTTTCTGGCCGGGCTTTGAGCAAATTTTTCTTCGAAAAATTTTATGCAAAATAAATGCATTTCTTTCAAAATTTGTAGAAGGCTGTGGGTCTCTTGAAAGATCAAATGAGCCTGATATCTAATTGCTTCTTGAATTTTATAGGTGATAACAACTAAAGGATGTGTGGATATCTGGGATTCAAAAGCTATTCGAGCTGGTGCTGGAGCTCATTTTAAGATTCCTATCGAACACAGCCTCACGTGGGATGAAGTTCGTGAAGCATTGCAAAAATTCGACATACAAAATGTTCAATTATCTCATCACAGTGCAGAAAACATGCGGTTGTCTGAACTTGTGACAGATTTCCGATTATTTAAAGAAGACTCTGAATTTTATAAAGAGCTTACCGGCGATATGAATATCAAGGATAATGATGTCACAATCAATAATTATAAAAATGTCATCTTTGAATCGAAACCTTATTATGATGTCACATATGAAAAAGGACACACTGTCGTCATCATCGGTGGTGAAGTACATGGAGTGAGCGCTGATGCATGTCAGTTTGCTCTTGAAGCAACGAAAGCAGGGAAACGAAAGGTCGAAGGTTATATGGGTTTGATAAACATTCCAATGTTTGTTGGTTCGGACTGTCTCAACACAGCGGTGGCAGCAAGTATAATATTGTTTGATGCCAGGAGAAAGATGTTGATAGAAATGAACTGAATGCTCATATGGAATGGTGCAGACAGACTTGCATGATGGCTTAGTGGTCTGCGGGTGTCAAACTCTTCAAATCCTGGACCCACCTTTTCACCCGAAGAGTGATAAACTCGGCTGACAATGCCGAGCCAGAAAAATTTAGTATTTCCGAAAACTAGTTGACATGCATGTCAATCTTTTTACAAAAAGTGTCGGACTTGGCAGGAAATGTAACTTTTTCTAAGCAAGCTTGCTCTTTGTGTGAGTGGTTAGAGCCTTATCTGGCGAAGGGTGCAAAGTTTCACCCATTTTTTCATCGTTGAATTTTCCAAAATTATTAGCTTAAAGTTGCCTGTTACTCATTCAGAAGTGTATGAGACTCATCATCTTTAGTAAAGTTACAGACTGCTAAAAACTGTGTGCACTCTCAGAAGTAAATGAAACTCGTTCAGTAAGAAAGTTACGGGCGAGAACTGAAATGCGAAGAGCTATTAAAACTAGATGAAATTATGCAAAACGCACCAGTATATATACTTGTTGAATTCAAGTTAATGCTGTTAGAGAAAATAGATTCACGGAATAAAAATCTTGAAATTATAGTGTTTGTAATATTATAAAAATTTAAGTGAAGCAGTTGAGTAATAAAAATATCATAATTATATCATTTCTACAGTTGAAAAGTCTAAGTATAAATTTAGCTTATCCCAGTAGTTCCCAAGGGGTGCACACAACAACCCATCACGGAAATTAACAGAATTGTGTTAAATTCTAAAATGTGATTGAATATTTGACATTTTGTATTTATAATAAATGTTTTATTGTTTCTTATTCTGTGTATATGAATCAATAAAGTCATTTTACTTTTCGATGTCTGTCGTTTACTTTCTGTTGTGTAATGTCTCCCTCTTTTGTTACATAACTGTTATCGATCACGAGCTTCATTTGAAGGCAGCATTTTTTTTGTGTGAGTGCTCTGTGAGTTTTTTCCCTGATAATTTATTTGGCGAGCAAACAAAAAGTTTGGGAATGCTGGCTTAGCACATGTCTGAAATATCTATTTCAACATGCGAAACTGCATCAGCCAATTTAAACAGAAATTGAATAGGTTCAAATGTTGTAGAAAGGCTAAAGATAAAATAGTAAGATTTTCACAGAGGAGAGGAATGCTGAAAACACGGTTTAATTATTCTTATATTGGACTCTTATTCAGATACCAGTCCATGAAGAAATAGACAATTACCTCTTTGCTTCAGATTGTCACAAGATGTTTCACCAGCCACACATGCACAACTGATGTTGTTTTTATATAGCTTATCACGGTTGCAGGTCCCATCTCTTCTTGTCTCCTGCGAGAATTTTAGATCTAATTATGGCCTATTACAGCCACAGGAAATAAATATGCTCCATTGTTTAATTGTAGTCCATTTACCAACTGACCGAAAAGTCTAAATTCGTTTAAAACTATTGCACTCACTCTGAAAGTAAGGCTAAAATTAAGAGCAACCAGAAATGCAATGCCATACGGCAGGCCTGCACAACATGCGGGCCGCATGCGGCCCGCTAGATACGTCTGTGCGGCCCGCGGTTGATTTGGAAACACGCCACTTCTCGGGTCTAACAATCAAAGCCGGCATTGTTATTTATGCAAGCGAGCCGCTACGCCGATCATATTCGAAATCGGGAGGTTTATGTTTTGCACTAGTTTCAATAAATATCGAGCTTTGTGTGAAATTGGTGTGCCCTTCGCGACCCTTAAAATTCGTTGCTCGACCTCTCGCTCCAAGTTTCGAAAACCCTGATTTAGATATCTCAGTGTTCAAACTGAATCACGCTTAAAACAATATCGGTACAATCTCACACCCATTAGTGCATATTAGCTACCTGTTGATAATTCCACTATTTTTTATTAGCAGTTTATGAAACTGTAGTTTCTTTTTCAAATTTAGAACTTAAAAACAATTCCTTCATTTATGAATGGTGCAGAAATTCTCGCACAAAAGAAAATTTTAGTTTAACTGTTTTACAATATTATTTTGATTTGTAGTTCATTTTGTGAAATATGTATGTGGCAAAGTTTGCGGCCCGCCGAGCCTTCAAATTTATGCTTGCGGCCCTCGTGGTAATTTGAGTTGTGCAGGCCTGCCATACGGAGTAAGTCACTGACACAAAATGAAAGCCCAAAGCCAGGAATGACTATCAAATTTACTGGGAAACTATTACGAAATATCTTTGCAGAAACTATCTGACAGAGCTCATGATTTTTTCATACTCAACTCGTGGAAGCGAGTAGTCTGCGATGCTTCCGTTCACACTGAAGCCGAACAGTAGAAATCCCCCCTGGTATTCATTCATACCTTGCATTTACGACGATGCACAAACCATTGAGGCAGTCACCGATCTTATAAAGGTTATTCTAGGTATCTAACTTTAAAAACCCATGGCGGGCTCCAAATGTGAGTCATGAAAGTAATACGGTTATGCTATTTCTATCTATTAAACCAGCTATTTGCTTCAGACACATGGAATTGATAGTGGAGGAAGTCTTAAACGAACAGCAGTAACATGAACCACCCCACGACAGCACATAATTATCTTCCATGAAATTTAAACCAACGCAGGGTGCAGTGCCGCCGTAATCCTCATATTGGTTCCATTGCATGAAAGCTTCCATTGAATATTTAAAATTCTTAAAACACTGAGAGTCATTTTTGTCAAAATTGTGAGCATCTAAGCTCTGAGCATATACTTGAACACACAGACAATTCATACACCTTATCCCTGTCTCCCATGTACACAATACAGACATTGATTTTGACATCATTGACTGATTTATTAAGAAATTTGAAACCTGGCTAAGATAGTCAGAAAAGCATTCGTAAAAATATGAGCTTCAATCATATGAGGCCACTAGAGGCATCGGTATCCAGATTTTTGGCATGCTCGAGGGAGTGAACATATTTCATTGCTAAAATGTTGAGCAATAGACCTAGAATTCGGCTCTATATTAATTTAAATATATTTTACAGAAGGGACAAAACACACCTAATTTACCATGGAATTCAACATAATTATAATTTGAAAAACGGGAAAACTAATTGGCCATCTAATTTTACAATCTGGGCGCTCTGTCTTGCTGAATTGTTCTGCAGTAATGTCGGCAATATGTAATGAATTGAAATATAGTCATTTGATTGCACTTTTCTTTGTGCACGAATTGCAATGATATTTTACTGAAATTATGAGACAAATTTCTGTAAAATATATCCACGTACAATAGTCAAGTAAAAAATGATTGCATGAAATAACTTCAAAGCAGCAAATTATTCAGACATGGACACCCTGAATATATAAAGCTGCTACTAAAACATTTGGTCATAAAAAAAGTTTAAAAAGAGTTTGGTCAATGAAAAAATTATCTAATGGCAATTTCTGAATAGATTGGTCCAAAAAATGGACAGAGAATACTATTATGCAGTGCAAGGGGCATTTTAGGTGTGAAGTTAAGTGGCCGAAATACAAATTCATTTCACTGATGGGACTAGCCATATTAGTCTCGCACAATACAAAGTTTGTCAATGCATGCAGCAATGGTTTTGGGCAGAATCATGGCAATGTAAACTAGAGGACTGTAATCAGACTATGACAAAACAGTACAGTTCAAACACCACTGGAATGAACAGAAAAATAAAATAATTTCATCTTTATACAAATCTACACAATCTCCCGATCCAATCTAGAATTCATTTAATTTACCTGCTTAGCAGCAAAGATATTGAAACATTATTGATGAGCCTGCTAGTGTGGTTTAGAAATTAAATTCAGGCAGAATCGTGGCAATGTAAACCAGAGGACTATATTCTGGCAAAATTATACAGTTTATACACCCTGAAATGACTCACAAAAAGTAAAAACTAAAATAATTTCATCTTTATACAAATCTTCAGACCTTCATTTAAATTCAAAATACATTATTATAATTCTTGTTTGGCTCCACTCGGGCGTGAATAAACGAAAACGTAAAGAAAAATCAGTAAGAATAAAATTGCAATTGTGGGTAACACGATTGTCACTAGTTGGTCCATTGCTTTTCTGTTGGCTTTTCGACGCTCCGCCTTCATTTTTGACGATTCTTTCTGGTTGAAAGACTTCTTAAGGGATCTCATCCTTACTTATAAGGTTGTAGCAGCAATACCCACAATTATTGTTTTAAAGTCAACTTCTAGTTTCGTCAAGTTTCAGATGATCGCTCACGGTACCCTAAACAGGTGTTGAGAGAACTTAGAAATACATAAATTACAACTGTTATTCTGCAAAAATTGGAATAAATATCGTGAGCCCACAAAATAAATAACACAAAGCTTGAAAAGACTTCGTTATCTGGCAGTAAATTAAAAGACTTGACTATAGTAGTAATATAGACTAGCTCAAATGTAAAATTCATTGTAGTTTTATTTCAATAACGTACCAGTACTAGGGCTGGGAATTTCAGGGAAAACACTTTAACCGTTAACCGGGTAAAATTAACCAGTTAACCGATGCGTGACGTTTGACGTAATAATTTATAATTTCAGCTTGTTACGTCACAATGCTTATAAAGCAATTTCACGTGTTCTTATCCCCGGTATTGCTTATTAAAATTATTCACGAATCGAGATAGTTGATAGTCGATGAGTCCTTGCCCATATTGCCCAGTTGGTAATATTCTTTTGAATTAAATGCCACAAGAGATAAATTCGCAATAACGTAATCATATTCGAAGAAATTGTACGGTATGAAGATGATTTGTATCTGAAATGTCAGTTAACGGTTAAAATAAATCGTAACCGTTAACCATCTGGAATCGGTTAACCATTCCCAGCCCTAACCGGTACCGTACTCAGTTTTCAAGAACGACTCTGTCACATCTACAAATCTAGCTCTGAGGACATCAGTACCGGTACCTGCTTTAACCTTTTCCTCGGCACTCTTTTAGCCAAAACTTTCCGAACTTGCATAAAAACCCACAGCAACTACCATACCTATCTCGAAACACCTCTTAGATATCAACGCAGAAGGTAAACATATGGACGTGGAGCGAGATTGCATGACGTGTATCGCCTGCGGCAATGTTTTGGGCAGTGTGCACTTCTAGTAATTTTAGTAAATATCAAAGATTAATATCGAAGATTTAGGTTGATAAATGTTGGGTATTGCGCTATATTAAAATACAAAAATGCATAATTTGATCATGTTATTTTCAAATTCAATAAAATTTTTGTTTTAATGAATACATTTAGACAGAAAATCACGAATTATTTTTACTGGGATTTTTTGGTTGAACGGAAAGGGCAAGAAAGCTGCGCGTCACCTTGCGGCAGTCGCATAAAAACTTCAATTTAATTTTGAAGTCAAAATTTCAGACTTCATAAATTAGGGGGTTTGAATTACAGTATGAAGTTGGCCAATTAATTTCAAATGATCTGTATTTGTACATGTGCCACAAAATGCACTTTTAGGTAAATTCTGCAGTACATGTGCATCGTGTGCAATTTTTCATGTAGTATTCGACCTATCCCAGTTTGAAGCAAATGAAGAACCTGGAAGGGTATTGTTCCAGAGCTTTGCGTTATATTTTCTAACCACAGCGGAACCCAGGTAAAGAGTTGGTCTGAGTAGGCTTCTCATTTTGGTCCCATCTTGACTCGACATGAAGGCCTTGGAATAAGATTTTCATATTTATCCTTGTTTATATTACATCAAATTGACGTTAAAATGCTGCAGGAATAAGTCAAAACTCAACTTCTCATTATTGATGCTTCTTGCACAAAATTGTGCCGCAATACCGCATTTGGCCGCAATTTTTGGTTAAGTGAATATAGCGTTGATTACATCTAGATTTGAAATTTACTCAATCTTGCACATCACCAGAAATGACTCCAACTCCACAGCCCTGAATACTTCCCGGTTGCATCTATTTTCATTTGAAGCAGTAGAAATTTACAAGTTTATTCATTTTATTACAGCAATTTAAAAAGCATTAGATTTTAGAAGATGAAAAATAATAAAATACAGAAATGAAAAGATTTTCTATACACAATGATATGTCGTCAGCACAAAATTAGCGTAGATTGGCCCAGGGCAGGCAAGACAATACTAAAAATTAAAACATCTGAGTAAAATTATAAACAATAGAACCTCGTTTCATACAGCCTCAATTAAAATTTCGCTACAATATACAATTATCTCGTTTCTCCTCATCTGTGAACAGAGTAAAACAGACATAGCAATACAGGAGTTGTTTAATTCAGTGGTTCTCAAACGATGAGGCGTGTCACAATTATTTGATTTAAATTCGTAGATTATTGTTAGCTAGTTATTTTTTTGGGGGGCACAAGACTTGACAAATTCTAAAAAGGGGGAGATGCGGCTTAAAAAGTTTAAGAACCACTGGTTTAATTTGTTATATGAGTACCACAACCCCTCGTTTGGTTAACAGTCCAGATTGGGTGTAAGAATAATTCTACAAAGTTGCTTCTATCGAGCATAAAGAGCCAACATACCGTACATGTTACATTAAAACCGCAAAATTAAAAGCAATGAAAATTAGTTAAAGTTGAATGTTAAGTGCGTTAGCAAATAAAAAACCCGCAAAAAATACTATTTTACAATTCAATCCAGCGGGGAGAAAAGTAGATGAGGCCGTTTAATCATGCAGTGAACCAGTACAGAATCAAGAGCAATGAAATAAATAGCATTACTTTAGAATGGGATTAAGGGGTCATATTGTCCCTGTATTGAAAACAAAATTAAGCACTGTGCACACATAATGCATATATAGGTCACTGTTTCCCAATCCGCAACCCGTGGGCCAATTACGCCCCGTGTAATGGTTTAATATGGCCCGCCTAACTTAAATAAAATAGTTTGTTTTTACACTTTAGCGTTCCATGTACCGCCAATCGTAACATCATTATCATAGTTTATATTACATGTATATTGGCAACAATTCAATTATACCGGTATCTCAATTATACGAACCAGTATCGTCCCCCTAAGGGCAATCCCATCTCCCCGTCTTTGAATATCCTTCCTATTCTAATTTTGGCCCCCCGTGAATCAACTTTGGGGACCACTGATTTAGGTGAAAGGACTAAGCATACAAGCACCCTTTGATATATAAAAAGATACTATGTTTTGGGAAAGTTTTTAGTTGGACATTGAAATCCTTGGACTAACAGAGCCCAAAAGATTTCAAAAATGCTGTTTGTTTGTTGATTCATAAAGCTAAAACTTACAAAAAACATTTTCTCTTTAAAGTGGTCCCCGCATTGAAAATAATTCTATGCTGAAATATTTTGGGCACAATAAGTAGGAATGAGACTGAAGTTGATTGGTTACGGCTTTATATGAAATTATTTTTTAAGAGGAATGCTCATATAAAACTGACAAAGATAGTTTTAAAGCTGGTAGCTATGATATGTGGCAGTTTTTCTAAACTAGAGGTACTTGAATCAACCCTTACAGCAGGAATAGAATTGAGCTTTGCAACACTGTGGGTAGTGAGTCAGTGACCCTGTAGTTGGGTGCTGATTGGAGTCAAAACTTTTCAAAATAAAAAATAAGTCAAATCAACAGGGGGATTGAATAATTGGACTGATAATATCTACGTCTCTTGCTGGTCTAATATTATTGTAACTCAGTATCACAATATCAGTTAAACAATAGAAAGTGTGTAAAAGTTAAAGAGAGTTGGTAGAAAACATGAATATTTGATGCGATCCCCAAATCCAAAAGTTTTAAACACTGACCAGCGCTATCATTTATGAAGCGTATTTCCTTTTTTTTTGTTTTGATTGGGATCAAAAGCCTGTATGTTTTTGTTATTGGTTTAAATTTTGTTGATAATGACAAGCAATGGCGGATATTATTAAAATTGGACAAATATTTGAAAAAAATAATCTAAAATCTGAAAATGTTCGATTCCAGCTAAAGAATTTTTGTAACGAGGTCAAATGTTGGCATTTTAAAATCACATTTTCTGTTTCATTCGAGCTTTCTCAACTTCTTTTTTCATTTTTGTTGTGAGCTGAGACAATTCCTGGTTTTGTTTTAACAACTGTTGATATTCCTCCACCAACTTGCTTCCTTCCACCTTGTGTTTTTCTTCCTTTTCAAGCTCATTTGTCAGAAGTTCTTTCCGATTTTGAAGGAACATAATTTCAGTCTGAATTAAGATAAAAATTTTTGTTCGGACCCAGACTGTAAAGTCAAAAATTGGCAATTTTTTTGACTTATTTCTCTTGCGTATGAAACTGAATTTCATCTCTTTTCCCCTGATAAATATTGAAATTTTCTACCGTAATGAACAAAGGTTTGCAAAGCTTATATGAAACCATCGCCTCATCACATATGGTGTGATATATTGGAAGGTAACTCGAACTGGCTGTCACAACAATGGACTCTGCAACACTTTTTCAGAAAACGAAACAGTTTTAACACTAAATTGAGTGCCTTATATTATAATATTTCAGAATTATTTATTTTGTCATAGATATCTCCTCATACCAGGAAGAAAATCATGTTGCACAAAGCTACTCCAATTACAAGCACCATTAAATATTAAGAATTATGCCAGGATCATTTCCAGTTCCCCCCCAGTTCATCTTCATCAATGCATCCACCATTATTTGTTATTTGGCTCAATTTTACCCCCAACACACACACACACAGTCCTAATTAGTATTTTTGGTTATGGGGCCCATTCATCTTTTTTAATGCATTCACAATAATTTGGCTGAATTTTAAAAATTTTCGGCAATATTAGACAAAAAATAAAAATAGAAGAATTAAGTGTAAGAAGTAAGGAGGCATAACTTGAAAATGTTCTTATTCCCTACCTGGACTCGTAGATACTCTTCCGCCAGTCTACAATGCTGCTCATAAATCTCCATGGATTCCGAACTGGAGGTGGTTGGAGGCAACGGTTGTAGATGGAGTTCCAATGCAAGATATGACATCGGCAAGGAATTGCTTTTGTTTGGATCTTCTGTGAAAAGAAATAGTCATGTTAGTTGGGATATAACTTTGTATAATTATTCTAGAGCAGTAGATCCTGAATGGTGGGATGCCCCCACAAGGGGGGCGCAGACAATTTTCTCAAGGGGTGTAAAGTTAATTAAAAATAAAAATACTTGTTAGATTTGATCTTGCCTGCCTTATTTTGGATATTGTTTGGATATCTTTATTGTTTAGGCATTGTGATTCGATCCGCATATATACTTTTGCCTTTATAACTGTTACTGGTAGCTTATTGTTAGCTAGTAGCCCACAAGACTTGACAAATTCTAAAAGGCGACTCAAAATGTTTGAGAACCACTCTCTCAGAGAGAGAAGAGCAGATAAAACATATTGAGATGTCTCATTAAACTACTTACTGATCCAGGATAGGTAAAGGAACACGTTGAATAAGGAAACTTATTTAGCTTAGAAAAGCTTCTAGAATATGGCTTTGTATTCACAGACCTTTCTTTATCATTTTTTGTACTGTTATCAGCTTGAGGGAAAAATGACCAGCTGGATTTTTCAGACTGGTCGGAGACGCGAGCCTAGACTGGTTGGAGACGCGAGCCAATTTCATAATTTAGCAATGTGAGATTCAGGTTCACGAACGATTATGACATTTTAATAAAAGTAACAAGAGGGGCATAACCATGGGGTGGGGGACGGTTGAGGGTTGGAAAACTTTTGAAATGTAAAAAAAAACTTATTTCTGTTTCATGCATAGCAATTTTTTGTAGCTTTAAACACTTTTTGGGCCCTCAAAAATTTTGAGAACTCACGTTCGGGCCGGACCCACGAGATGTAACGTCTATCTTGGCAATTAGAATTTCAGAACCCCCTTCTTTTCAAAAATAGTAACTCACTCATCATATAGGCACCATAGAGAAATAGGTAGGCCGTCAATCCAACACAAAACCTCAAATTAAGGGCAAAAACAACAATCAACAGCCCTTCAAGCATGCAAACAAAACGTAGATAAAAACCAAACATAAAACCAATTCTGAGAGATAGGATGTTGCATATTTATCCCGGGGAGAGAACAGCATATAACACGGCTTAATCATATGGCGAACCACGGCCTCTCCTCCGGTTACCAGTTCATGTCGGGTATGGGGTTAGCCTGGACTTGATGATGGAGGAAGCCGTAACTGACAAGCGGTTATGTGAACCACCTACGGTGGCGAGGAGTCCAGCAATCCTCTTGCATATAACCATCCTGCATGGGATTCAAACCTGCAAAACCACACAGGGTAATCAGAGGTGCGGTGGCCAGCATATTCGAATCACCACACCGCCGAGCCTAGAGGTTATGTGAGCTTGGAATGCGCATCAATTTCACCTATTTTGATCAATCGAGAAGCATTTGAAAAACAATAACAACACAACAAATGAGCAAAGCAATGAATGAACAAAACACAAAGCTTTGCAACATGCAATGTAATGAACATAAATATTATGCTAAAATTTGTGGTGGGTGGGTACATATAGAATACTACATATATATTTTACTTGAAATTTTATTTGTTTCCCTAGTATAGCAATTCTTTATTGTATCATGGGTTTCTTATCTAACACTTATTTAAGGCAACTATATGAAAACAAGTCATAAAAATGCTTAATGTATCACTGTTTATAATTCAGAAATCAAATGCAATGCAAATTGCTCAACATCTACCAAGAATCCTCACCCACCACAAATATTAGCATAAAAACAAAACAACAGAACCATGCTCTTACTCGGAGACGTGCAATCATTTGCATAATCATAATCGTCGTAACCTGGTTCTTCGTCGTGTATGAGAAGAGGGGAATTCCTGGCGATTGGGGAGGGAACAATCAACGGCTTCGCAGGTGGGGGTAAAGTCGTAACACTTGCTGTAGAATCTGGAGTGTGAATGGCCGGTGTAATCAGTGGAGAAGACGTTGAAGCCCGAGGTCTGAAAAATGATTTACTTATGTATTATACAATGCTTCTTACAATGCTCATGTTCACTTGTGTGTTCTCATTTACATTTTGTCTAGATGATTGTCATCCTAGGATAACTTATTTAACTCTAATTCCCACTCTTTAACTGACCAATGACAGCACAGCATGATGGTATTGCATTGTGGGTAAAACCACTGAAACATGCTCCCTGGGTATAAATACTGCCATGCTGGTCTCCAGAGGTCATACAGTACTTTGGTGAAAGCAGATACATATAAATGTGGAGCTGCTACTCACAACGTTCTTCTTACCCTGGTGGACGTGACCCCCTACCAAGGGCTTTTAGCACTAATGGGCCATCCCATAGCCCCCTATTTGTCATTGGAGTGGTATTTTATAGTGTTAATTTGATTGGTAGATTATAAATCCCATTATGTTAAAACAATTCATCCTCAATAAATTGAAAACTGCCTGTGATGCAATTAAACTGAAAAAGGCGGGTTGTTTCCTTGTAAGGAGAAAAGTAAAACAGTATTATGCCTAGCATTGTGGCCCCACTTCAACTGCCCTGTGGCCCTCTTGGAAGACATGGGGCCCCAGTTGGGAACCGCTGTGCTAATAAATTGCCAACTTTTGCTAAAATCCAATTCCACAACGTCACCGCGCAGAACGCTCTAGAAAGCATGGACTATTAATTGGTTGTAGACTTCTCCACATCTCTGCTTTCACCTAGGATAGGATTTACAGGATAGGATTTACATATTTATCCCGGGGGAGAGGAAAACCGATAAGACGGCTCAATCATATGGCGAACCACGGCCTCTCGTCCGGTTACCATTTCAAGTCCGGTATGGGATTAGTTATATTGTTCGTTTTCGGAAGCATGGACTTAGTGGTGGAGGAAGCCGTAACCAACCAGCGGTTACGTGAACCACCCAACGACGGCGAGGAGTCCAGCAATCCTCTCACACATAACCATCCATGCATGGGATTCGAACCTGCAAACTCACGCAGAGTAATTAGAGGTGCGGTGGCGAACTTATTCCTAACGCTTGGCCCGTTGAGCCACACCGCCGCGTCACCTACCTTGCAGGACTGGCAGATCTTGATGTAACAGGAGACGGGGAAACTCTCTCAATGGGCGACTTCTCAATCTCTGCAATAAGGTCTGAAGATGAGCGACGCTTTGTTGAAAATTTATTTCCATAGCTCAGAGCTGAAATTGAAGAAGTTTGATGCATTGAACAACAGAAAACTTAGACACATTATTGCCACCAAGTATATTCATGTTAAGAATAGAAATGCGATGTAACTAGTCGACGTTTCGAATTTTTTCACAGAAAAACATCATCAGAGCATGATATGGAAAGGACACTAGTGGAGATGTATAGATAGGAATGCGCAGAATCCAATCTGAAAACATCGGCAAACTGCATTGTTCTACAAACACTTGCGGTGCTTTATTTATCTTCAACATGAATATAACTGATGACAATCCCGCGCTAGAAAACTTAGTGTTGGATTCATTGCGAATAAAGATTGAAACGTAGCACTATGTTAAGATCCAGTTCTATATTATTAAAAAAAATTGTTTTAGTATTTACCACAATCTACTCCTGCAGCTAAAAGGTAAATTTAAGTTTTCAAAACAGAAAACTTGAAAACTCAACAAAATTGGTGTAATCAGTTTAATCAAAGTTGAGGTGAAAAAGTTCTATTTTGTCTAAAAATACGGCTTTACTGTAAACTAAATACTATACACAGTTCTCAAAATTGTCATCTCAAGCATTTGAATACCAGGAAGCTAAAATTACAAATTTGAGAATTCGTTGAATTAAATCAAAATATAAGAATTACCAAAGAAAATTAGTAGTAAGCAATAATTGAAATTACAAAAGTTTTATTTCATCAAAAAAACATGAGTTTTGCTATGAACTAGAACAGTGACTCTAAAACGGGGGTGCGTTCCAACAGAGGGCATAAACAATTTTTTGAGGGAACATGAAGCTAATTGGAAAATAAAGGTATTTGTTACATTTGATTTTTGATTATTTCTTTATTTTGGATATTTAAGTTCCATCCACAAATTTTCAATGTGTTTTTTGAACACACTTTCAGAACACACTCTTGTCCTAGTATCTGTTATTTGTAGCTTATTGTTAGCTGGTTATTTTTTGAGGTGGTGCGCGAGACTAGACAAATTCTAAAAGGGGTCGCGGCTTGAAAAGTTTAAGAACCACTGAACTAGAATTCACTCCTGTAGCTCAAAGCCGGAGTATGAAATTTACAAAATCATGGAAATACCCAAAGAAATTAGTGCTATTTCAAGGAGATTCAATTTATCTAAAAACACTATTTTAGTTTTAAACTAGAAACGTATTTAAAACTGACATTTTGGACATGTAATACAACGATCTCTACACTACTGCTAACGTTAGTATAATTAGGATAATTGTATTTTTACAAATATATACGATCTTAAACTGTGATAATGATGTAACAATTGGCAGTATCTAGAACGCGAATGGGAAAAAATTAAACTACTTCACTCGACAGGCCATATTGAATCGATATGCGTGCCGTAACTGGCCTGCGGGATGCAGTTTGGTAGCCACTGCTTCACATGAACGCAGTTGTGGCAAATTGTACCTCGTAAAAACATTTACCTGCTGCCTCATACGTTCGCCATGGGCCAAGTTTGATATTCCCTGGAATAGACTATAGTCAATCCTGAATTGTTTGAATCAACAAGCATGCTCTTGTGAGATAACACATGTTATTTTAGTCGGCTACTTTGATATCAAAACTCTACCTACATTCATGGAATGACCAAACCCAATTCCAAATACATTCTCAAGAACTTTTTACATTGAATATACCCAATTTTGAATGTATTTGAATCGTTTTGTCAACCCCTGTCTACGATTCTCTACGTCTGTGAAAACATTGATACCTTCAGGATTTGGGACAGTCAATTCATTCCCATACGAAGCCACTCTCCTATGCCCCCTTCTGTATGGTACAGCACCTGGTATGGACAGCTGTGCTACCACTAGAGGGCTTATAGGTCTTTCACTGGGGAGGAGAGCATTAGAAGACTTTGTACGGCGACGCCCAACTATATGGGGGTGTGGCACTTGAAGACGATTGGCTGAGAAGTCAAACAAAATAAATAACGACTCTGGGTAATTTTTCAAAAAAAAAAATTGTAATATGGCACCAAATACTTTGTCAACTTGAAGGATAAAGATTAAAATAATCATCAAATAAGTGAGAGATGTGGGTTTTCATTGCTGAAACAAGTGGGGGAGGGGGTGGATCTTAAAAATAAACAAAAAAAACTCAGAAAGAGTGAGAAGCTTTACTCCCAACCGCTGCCTCTATCAAATGATATTGAAAGCATCATTCTCACATATGGTGTTCGAGGTTCCATTACATTTGAACCCACATACATTTGAACCCATGACAACTGCACCTGTATACTATTGCACCTATGGGAATTTTTTTGTTGTACGGATAGTTGAACCCATACTAACCCTAACCCATGGGTTTCAGCACCCGCATATTGATTGAACCCGCGGATATAGACATGGGTTCAAATGTACGGTCACCGGTGTTCTACCCCCTCTTAACCTCCACAGTTACTATTATACTGTCAAAAGCTGAAGGCTAAAGTCAAATGAATTACAAGGAACAAGGAAACATTAGAACGTGGGTGCCTCCAAGTCCATTGGAAATTCTAAGACTCAGCAGCGGACGAGTTTTTGAGTTTCCTCATAATTACAGTCTTTGTCAGAAATTTTCTGGAATCTACAGGCATTGCTCACAGTTTGCTCATTCACAAAAAGCTTAATTAGATATAATTATCGCATCTGATTTTCAAGCAGACAATTATTATTGCATGGTAACTTCATGCAGAATACCTCCATAAGTCTCGGTTGGAACTGTCAGTAGGTTGCCATATGAGAAGGATCTATGGTGAGCTTCATGAATAACAACAAAAAAATATTTTTCACTGTCATGCAAGCGTGCATAAGATGGAGCATTTTTTGTCCAGTTGATAGCAGGGCTGGAGACTTGGTTACAAATCAAAATGGCTCTGCCTCAGCTCTGTAGCCACAGTATAACAAACCTGAGTCTCAGGCTCCAAAGCTTCATTTTTTACCTCAAAACTCCAGTTCCGATTCTATAGCATGGGTGGGTAAAGTTATTTGGACCATGGGCTAAAAATGTTGCCCACTTAGACCTGCGGGCCATGTTAATGTGACTTAAAAAGTTACATTTTATGAACAATATTTACAGTGATACAAAAGCTAAAATGGAAAACAATAAACCTCCTGTCAAAACTAAATTTAATCGCAATCTCAACAAATTCCTTGAGCTATTTTTTATCTAAAACATCAATATTCGATTTTGGTTTGGTTGTGGCAGCCAGATTGAAGTACCCAACGGGCCCAATTTGACCCGCGGGCCGTAGTTTTCTCATGTCAGCTCTGTAGCCATAGGTTAGTGGGTGGGACTCAAATGGGGGGGGTTTCAAATTTTAGATTAAACCTTTATCTTTTAAATATATAGTTTACGTTGCAACTTTCAAATTGTTATCAGTAATTACATTATAAGCTGAGAATGGTAGATATTTGTTACAAAATTATATATATGAAAAAATAATTCGATGGTTATGAGAATAAGTAATTAACCAGTTGGTTTGTTCCAGACTTAGATGGAGAGAGCCATGACCGATTTGTAGTTACGCAAATCACTTCACAGCAAATCTTTACCCATATTCAGGCCTCATACTCCATATTTATACTAAGAGGCCATTAGGATGTCAGAACCAGTTAATCCAAGAATTGGTGCCAAAAGAGACTGTACTCCCGTAGTATCTGCACCAAGATGGTGAACACTGGAACGTAGTATGTGTACCATGTTAGGCCATGATTTCAGAAACAAATACAACAGGAGTCACTTGGCTAGTCCCCGAACTCGTAATAGAACTAAAATAAGGAAAATTGAAATAAAATTATGGCCTAACTCTGACTTGGTACACATACTACATTTCAGTGTCTTGGTTCACATACTACAAGAGCGCCAAAGAGACAGCAGAGAATACAAACCATTAGGGTCAAAAACTGTATCAATTGTGTACAATATAAGTTAGCTTGTTGTTTTTAATCCCCTCGCCCACCACCTCACCCATGATGTAATAAACTAGGGAGGCAATTCTGAACCAAATAAATTTAAGTCCTTCCAAAATTAACTCCTTATGTCTCAGTGTCAGGTGGTCAGGGGTGTGTTAAAAGCAAAGTTGAGAGATTGTTCCATGGGAAACACTGTGAATGAAATCAAACTTTTGGTTTAAAAACAAAGCCCACCACCTCACCCCGAGTTTAGTTAATAATGATCCCAGTCCTTAGTAACCAGTGAGATACAGTGGTTGCCCCTTCATTCAGGGTAAAGTTTGATGTACGGTATATCTATTGAGAAAAACATATAAAACAGATCTTACGTGTGGGGTCTGGTAGAGGGGATCCTGATGATGCCAATTGCTCCTGGAAATATTTTTCAATTTAAAATTATTAATAATCGAGCAGAGATAACCATAATCTTAATACCAATGCATTCTTGATAATACAATGTAAACTCTACCTATGAAAGACTCTGGATACAAAAAATCCAACTTACAAAAATTGCTTTCGTAAAAATATTGCTTCGATCGACCTAAGTTTTTTCTACGGAAGGCCGAAAAAGGGAAAAGTTAGAAAACGTGTGTGGTGATATTCGTTTGTTCTAGGTTATTTTAATACAGGGATGTTCAAATCGAATTTAATATTCGAACATCGCGACCTCGCGAATATTGTTTTTCGTGTTTAAAAGAATACCGAATATGATGCACATATCCTAACACCGTCGTCCACGTTTTGATTTGAAAACCTTTTATAATTATTTTATTTTTTATCGCAATCGAAGGCAGCCTGAATATATTCTGAAAGGGGTCATGTCCAAGAAAGGAGCACATAGAAGTCAATGTATATTTGATAGCTTGAATTTAGAAAAGCAGGAAAGTTAAGATAAATAGTTCCCTGTATTCTTAGGGTTTCAGAACTAAGCTTTGTGAGACTGCTCAATATTATTATTATTATTATCCAAATAATCAAAGAATTAAAATGAAAAAAAACACAAACAATTCAATTCATTTTGGCGTACTACTTCAGGGTGTTAAAAAAAGTTACGCAAAATTAAGGAACAATTTTTCGTCATGGCAACGTTAAAAAACTAACTGTTGAAAAGTGTCAGACATGAAATGTTTGAATGGCATTTCACTGTAATTCAATACTGTTGAAAGGTTACAGGTTAAATGTTTTAAGAAGCATTTCATCTTAACTTCTGTTAATTTTGGGTTACTTTTTTAACACCCTGTATTTAAATGTATCTTCATATCGCAGAAGTAGAACTAAATTTGCTTATGTCACATTTTAAAGTTTCGAGGAAATCTTTTGTAATTTTCAGAACTGTAAAGTCAAACACGAAAATGGACACAAAGCACTGCCTAAAATAAAAATTAAAACAGGTATAGCTTTGAAACTTAGACCGAAAGATGGTCCCTGGTCCATCATGACAGAAGATTAAAAAAGCCAATTTCTGAAAAATGTGACATAGGCTACTTAGGTTTTGCTGTGGCAATATGATTAAGTTATTTCAGCTTTTTTATATCGAAAATGAAAATTCATTCATCTCACCTGTCTTTGTATATTAGGCACAGATTGTGATGTCACCATTGGTGGTCTATCATGATTGGTCATATTAGGATTTGTAATGTGTGTCTTCCTCAGGGTGTCGCTGATTGTACTGTATGTTGTTCCATACCCTCTGAATAATAAAGACATAAATTAAATAAAGCAGAGCAAAATTACCAGCGTAACAGGATAGTTGAACAAGATGTAGTCGACAAAATTGCAGGATTCCACATAATAAATGGTGTACCGAACCTTTATTGGACTGCTTAGTGTTAGTAAAATAGGATTTACATAATTATCCTTGGAAAGAGGGAAGATAAGACAGCGCAATCATATGGCGAACCACGACCTCTTGTCCGGTTACCAATCCAGGTCGGGTATGGGTATAGGTATTCAGTTATTTTTCTATATCTTATCAAACATCCTTGTGACACAGGTCCATATCTAGCAGTACAAGAAACATGGAATGTAGAATAGACAGTTTGTCACATGGCACTGAGCACATTTAAATAAAAATGCTAATATTTGTGGGCTAGTCGGCATAGCACAGTGGCACCCAACAAATTTCACCCAAGCTATTCACAATCTTTTTTTGTCCCCTGAGATAAATATGAGATCAAATTATATATAGAAATATTCAGTGTTCACCTGTCACTGCCGGTTTCATAATAATCAGACTCTTCATCACTGTCAGAGTATTGTGGAAATACAAGGGGAACATCAGAACCACGGAAATACGGCATCAATTCTGTCATTGCATATACAACATCATTCATACTTGGACGGGAACTCGGATTTTTTGACCAACATCTGGAACAAGAAATAATATTAGGTTTTCATTGAATTTGAAAAAAGACTCAACTAAAGCTGAATAATATGGAAATGTCTTGTAGCCAGATATTTTGATTTCTGTACCTAAAAATCCTGAAAAATGGATTCTACATAAAATGTTTTCCATGGTTTACTAGAGCAGGGCTGTGGTGTCAAAGATAATTTATCATTAATTAAGACTTGAGAAAAAATATCTTCTCTTGAACTTGACTCGGAGAAAATCAAACTTTGGTGACAAACACATTGAAATATCCAAACCTTTATTGTGAGACTGTTGTCAGGACCACATAGTAAACTTAATGCTTGAAGTTTTGTGAAAATTTATAGCAAACTCGCACCCACCTTGTCATTAGCTCCTCAATAGGTTTCGGGCATCCCTGTATTAATGGCGGCCTCGTACCGGTATGAACTGCCCACATGATGCGAAATGCTGGACCTCCCAACTCATCAAATGGTTTTCTTCGAGTTAAGACCTGTCAACAATGTTGTATATTAGAAAAAACTTAAGAGGAAGAATATATCATAACCATGGGCACAATATCAGAGTAGTTAGTGCACCTGATTTCACACGTTGGCAGAGCAGAACTAGAAAGGTTTTGGTCCTTATAAAACTAATAAATTCTCATTTCCAGTTGCTGAATGTACATTGCATTGTTTGAAGTGAAGCTTAGAAAACGACTCTTAAACTCTCCCTATACCTATTCAAACTGTGGCACAAAAAAAAGCAAAATCCAAATTCTACCTCCCAGAGTATGATTCCCCAGCTGAAGACATCACATCTCTCACTGTATTGACATCCTTCAAATACTTCAGGAGCCATCCATGCCGCTGAACCCTGTGCAAAAGAATGGTTTGATACTTTTAATTTTTTTATGGATGAAATTAAGGGCACTCACTCAGAAATTAAAAAGACGCATTTCTGAGCAAAGTTATGAGCACACACTCAGAAGTATTGAGAATCATCTATGAGCAAAGTTATGGGCACTCACTCACTCAGAAGCAAAGAAGACTCATCTCTGAGCAAAGTTATGAGCACTCACTCAGAAGTAAATGAGAATCATCTATGAGCAAAGTTACGTGCACTCACTCACTCAGAAGCAAAGAAGACTCATCTCTGAGCAAAGTTATAGGCACTCACTCACTCAGAAGCAAAGAAGACTCATCTCTGAGCAAAGTTATGGGCACTTACTCAGAAGTAAATGAGAATCCTCTCTGAGCAAAGTTACGGGCACTCGCTCAGAAGTAAAGGAGACTCATCTCTGAGCAAAGTTATGAGCACTCACTCAGAAGCAAAGAAGACTCATCTCTAGACAAAGTTACACTCGCTCACTCCAAAGTAAAAGTGACTCAGCTCTGAGCAAGTTTTAAGACTTTATGGTAGATTGTAATTGGTTTGGCTACGATGTGAAACTGAAAAGCTGACAACATCGCTTGCTTATTACCAGTTGCGCACAGACTACTATGACTAGGTTCCTCTCATATTTCCTCCGCAATGGAGATAAACACAAAACCCATCTCATAATGAAAATACATGAATCCCTACCTTGTTATTAGTCATCTGTGTGTGAATGTCACAGGCAGTGCCAAAGTCACAGATCTTCAGAACGAGTCCTTGGTTTGTCAGAAGTAAACTGAACAGTAAAAAAATAGGATTTAAAGCTGTTTGAAAGGATTTGCTCAAGTTGGAGTATGCGGCCTAAATCAGTGATTTTTGAACTTTACAGCACTTTATTCATCGTCATCACTCTGAGAAATACTTAGAAAAAAAAAATCTTACTTTGGGGGTTTCAGGTCTCTATGTATCAGAGCTTTTGGTTTCATATTATGGAGATAAGCGACACCTTTTGCACATTGTAAACACCAACTCATCCCATGGCCCCCGGTGTAGTGGGGGAGAGGCCCTGCCCCATGCAGCACTGAAAAGTATAGAATTTTGCTAGTTTATATAGAGGTGCCAAACATACTTTTTGCAATGAAAAATTTTATTTTTATAAAAAAATGTTTCAAATTCTTCCTGAAATAAAAAGTAGAATTCAATTGGTTGCAAATGAAAATTGAACATTCCTAAACATGAATTGGTTATTTATGAATGCACTTCACCATGAACGCACTTTATTGGGCATAATTATGCGTTTTATATTTGTGAGGGCATTCATTTGTCCAAGGCAAGTGACAGAAAGAACCACAAAAAGTCAATATGAAGTGAGTAAAACTCTCATGTGTATAGTTGCAAATAAACACTGATCTGCAGTGGGTTAACAGATATTAAAAAAGAGGTTTAACCAGGTATTGGAATGCATGAGATGAGATGCCAATTGCCAAAATTTTCTTCAAAAACAGCAAAGAAACATCTAGCAGGGCAATTGAAAACTTCGCAAGCTGGGATAAAGTAAAAGTATTAGCGTTACAGTAACAGGTATTTGATTGATCTATGAGCATGTAAAAAAGATCAATTGTGTCTGTGGAAGCCCATAGATTCAAACCAACAGTTAAACGAGAATATCGGTCAGAGACCGAAGACTTATCGATCGAAAGTTAGGGGATCCCCCAAAACAGCGCTCTTACTCCATAGTGACACCTTGTGTCCCATCACTAATTAATTAATACCTCGCTAATTATACTACATAATTCATCCAAAATCAATAGGCTTCTGGTACAACATATGATGAATGCACATGCAAAATCTGGAGCAGATTCATTCTCGCTTTCGTGAGATATCGCGTGTATCTAACAGACAGGCAGAAAAACAGACAGACAAATACCTATCAACATACTTACCGATTAAAATCGATAAGTAACAAGCTAAAATGCTGATATAAACATTATATTATTACTTTTCAACTTTCAACGACTATAGTTTTTATGAATATGAATTTCTGATGAAAATAATGTTATATTGACCTTGATTGTTACATCACATAAACGTTAGCCAAGCTGTTGTGAAAAACTTATTTTAATTCATAGGTTTTCATATTAAATCTTGTGCCTTCGGTCCGGTAACCAAGTCTATTCGCAATAATTGGAACTCAGAAAAGTACTTGCACAACCCTGGCTTGTCTATCTGGCATATTTCAATTATTACCATGACAAACTTTCAAATAAAAAATTTAATTTTTTTTTCAAGTCTATAAAATATAAATCCCATCGAACACAGTCAATTCCAAAGACTTGAATTGCCAATTTATATCTACCTTACTTACAGTCATACAGAGATCCACACTCTGCCAGTTCCATAACAAGAGACACAGGATTACTGCAGGCACCATACAGACGAATGATATTAGGATGTGAAACTCTGGAAATAATAGTTCGATTAGGGCTGGGAATAGTCAGAATCGCAATGAAACACACCTACTGCATATCCTCACATATAAGCAGAGTTTGATACGAAAAGAAAGTTGCCAAACAAACTAAGGGGTCACCTTATAGCCGCATAACTTTGATCGCACTAAAAACCTGGCTTGTACGCGCATAACTCTATTCGCGCTAAGCGTATGGAATGTTACGATTGGTAGGGCTGGTATATATGAGAATTTTTATAAATTCACCATTTTGAGATCGTTTTTAATGGGTCGGCATTGTGTTTATTTTGTTTCATACTGTTTTTTTCATATCTACAGCACCAAACTTGGTAATTGGTTAATAAAATCACAGGACCTATTAATCTAATTAGTAGAGCTCGACCGATATATCGGCCAACCGATATATCGGGCCGATATTGCGTGTTTGCCGATATATCATATCGGCCCAACCGGCCGATATATCTGGCCGATATATATCAGCGTTAGTCGCTTTTCCACGTTCTAAAAAATGAGTATTTTTCCCCGGGAAATATCTGCGGCCAAGCGTTTTCCTTTTTTACGCTTCTCTCATTTTGCCTTTCAATGAACAGAGGGTTCTCTTCTATATTTCTCTCTTCGTGCGGCGCAAAATCCTCGCCTTCGAATATCTTGCGTCCCCACTAGGCTTGCACATAATCGACAAAAATCAATTCCGTAATTACGGAAAAATTGATTACGTAATGACCCCGTAATTGCGATATTTTTTCACACGTTTAAACCTATCATAAAAACCATTCGAATCCACTTCTTTTCCGAATGGGACATCGAAGTTTGGTTTTCATATTACCGACAGTACTACACGCCGGCGACAGATGTTAAAGACAAATATCAAGGAGTGAATTCAAATTAAATTTATTCTGATTTTTATCTTGTTTAATTGTGTTGGCTTTGATTTTCCTTTATCACGTTCGCAAATTAACCGTCCCAATTTTATGCGATCAATTTCATCATTACCGATAATGGTATACGGATATTTATGAAACGATAGTTGCCTTTTTTAAAATCGACTTTCGTATTGAATAAAAATTTCGGGTTTCTAAGTTATTAATCAACGACGAGCGTATTTTCTCGTTTGATTATACCTGCGCTTGCCTCGCGATGAAGACGTGTTATTGCTCCGTTTTTTTACATTATCCGACTTTGCTACCTAGTTAGCATTTTATAATAATTACTGATGCTGAATTATTGACGATATTCTGATTACCAAGCTCCATTTTATATCAAATCATTTTGCGGCCTAAATGTTATAACATTATTTGCGATAAATTTAAATCAAATAATAATTATTTAGCCGGCGATAACTTCTTACCCGTAACTTGTTGTAAATTAATGCTAATAAATTCTATTTTGTTTTTTACTGCGCTGTGATTTGTATTAATAAAAGTGATTGAGTCGGGAAAAGAAAGTAGCCTAGCCTCCTCTCCTTTTGAGCGCTTAGAGCGGCGGTAAAATTCGTTTCATGTCTGTTTCACGGAGAGAAAGAAAAATACGCCTTCCGGAATTACAATCAACTATCACACATTCTTATTTATCATTATCAGCGCCGAATAAAAAAGATACCAAATCGTGAAGACAAAAAAGTCTGTTGGTGCTATAACGGTTATAACGCTTATAATAATATCGTATTGACCGTGAAACCAAACGCTCAAACGGGGTGGCAACGCGTCATGCCGGCTCAAAACGGCTGCGAATACCGGAACTCTAACTTCTTCCTCATTGTTAAACTTTGATTTTTTACAATCGACGGAATTGACTGCTTGGAAGGAGCACGTTTCAAACGCGAAAGCGCTCGACCAATAATTACAACTTTACGTAATTTGTAACTTCCCTTCCGTAACTCCAAACAATTCCGTAAATTACGTGCAAGCCTACTCCCACCTACTACTGTATGGATCAAAATAGACTTCTATAAGCTTTTTACTGACTGCCTTTTTTCTCTTGTGTTCTTATTATTTGCTGCGAAACTTTTATTAATGATGCAAGCACTGTGTAGGACTGCTTTATTTTTCAACATAAAATTTTGATTGACTGAAACTGAATGTTTCTTTCTATTTGTATTTACTGCGGGTTCGAGTTGTAGATATCGGTATGTCAATATCGGTTATCGGTCACTAGTTGGCCGATATATCGTTATCGGTATCGGTGCCAAAAAGTGATATCGGTCGAGCTCTACTAATTAGTTATGACTTTTCGGGCACTTCAGATTTTTGATATAAACATGGCATCATTAAAGATTTATATTTCATGAGTCTGAGTCAGGGGTTTCAAAATCTTTTTTGAAATTTTGAAGATCAATTTGCGATCAAAACGAGTTGTGCAATAAAGCTAATTTACACAATAACATATAAATATAAGATAAGAAACAATGTAAGCTATATAAAGTACTGGAATAACATGCCAAATCAAACCTTGAGAGCTGCCTCAATTCTGTAATGAAGGCTCGACGTTCGTTCTCAGATTCAATCTTCTTCACAGCGACAGGATGTTGGCGATAAACAGCTTCATAAACTACGCCGAAAGCTCCTTTGCCAATCGTCTGAAAAGTAAAGATGAAAGGGAATATGAAGATGCGGATGAACACCATAATGAATAAGAAAAGGAAACAGAAATGTACAGTTCTCTGATTAAAAGAATAGCCCGCACATGAAAGACATCAATTACAACAGTAAGTGCAAACTCTTCCCTTACGAGACGGGCTTGGCCTCCATATCGAATCAAAACACAATAAACTAAACTAAAAAAAAGTGCAATTTAAAAACATCACCATTGGATTCCTTGAAAATATAATAATCTAATCTAATAATCTATCTGAGGAAAAAATCTTTTACCGAAGCATTAGAAAGTTTTTAGCAAGTAAAAGCAATTTTGGTCACAAAACGGCTGACTAACGTTGCGATAAATTCAAATTATTACCAAGACAAGCTCAACACAATCTGACACATGTGTTGTCGTGCCAGACATCTTCGTTTCAGGGACCAATAGAGTTTTGTTTTATTGAAGCAAAGTTCGGGACATCTTGGAATCAGGGAACTGTGCCCCACTGTGAATAATACTTTTATTTTCACATTAAAAATGATTTAGAATTTCTCAATCACAGAAATAAAGTTTTACCAACTTAGCAAAACGGGATACTCACATTCCCCAATTTCATTTCTTCATATTTTATTTCCTCAATAAATCCAGGCGGAGATTCCGCATATACGACATGAGCCATCGCTGCTCAGCTGTTCGCCCTCACTGCAAGCAGTGCCACATACAAGAGAAAACCTGGACGACCCGCCACCTAAGCTGGTTCGAATGTTTATTTCTCTTTTTTACTAAGTACTTTTTACCTACGCTCCCATGTACGGTGACTGAACATCAGCAAAGAAATAGGATAAAACTCAACACAACCACACAATTTCTCCAACATATTCAAGACAAATATTTTACTTAAGATGTGAAAGGAGTCGCATTTGGTGATCAACGATTATCTTCTGATCCCAAGCGTATGAAATGGAAAATGTAGCAATAACATGAAAATTGAGAATGAAACAAGCTGATAGGATAAAATTTACATATTAATCCCTGGGAAGAGAAATGCCGATAAGACGGCTTAACCATATTGCAAACCACGGCCTCTCGTCCGGTTACTCCAACCAACCTGGTACACATACTTATTTTTTATTTCCGATGTTGCCTACTACATCAGTTCTAAATTAACTTCTTCAAAAATATTGCACGAAATTTTTCATGTTTCAGATTTTGATATGATTGAGAGGATAGGATAGAATTCACATATTTATCCCTGGGGAGAGGAGAGTCGATAAGACGGCTTATCCATATGGCGAACCACGGCCTCTCCATTCGGTCCGGTTACCATTCCAAGTCGGGTATTAGATTAGTTAGTTATTGTTAATGATTATTAGGACTTGGTGGTGGAGGAACGACCAGCGGTTACGTGAACCACCCAACGACGGCGAGGAGTCAAGCAATCCTCTCGCACATAACTATCCCTGCATGGGATTCGAACCTGCGAACCCACGCAAAGTAATTAGAGGTGCGGTGGCGAGCGTATTCCTAACGCTTAGCCTGTTGAGCCACACCGCCGCGTTAGTTTGACGATTGCTAGTGTAGAATGTTGACTCTCGCTGATATGCACCGAAACTACCTTAGAAATAAATTAACCTATATTAATTCAGGCTGTTAAACGCTGTTTTTTTACGGTAAATTGAAACAAAAATCAAAACCATCCTATTCCAGAAGATTCCTTCGATATTAACATATTAGGGTATTACAAGCGACTGCAAGTTACGGCCCCGAAGCTAACCGAACAAAAAGGCCGAGTAGAATCCTTATTAAATCATTTTATAATTTGCTCGATCTCAATATTTCATTTACATATAGCAAATAGATTAATATCGTGCTTTTGGCGGCCCCATCCGGTATTTTATTCGAGGTACCGCAGTTTGGAATCTCAAATTACACGCTCCGGTAGTTGGATATGACGTCATAATTGACATTTTTGGCGGCCGAAGCGTCTGTGAAGCGCGCCATTTCTTTACAATTTTTGGCTGTGGGTGGTCAGAAGAATTGGTGAAACGAGAATCGGTAAACTGGTATATGAAAAATTATTGTTCATATAAAGTCTTTGCAATGCAAGAAATGGAGTGTTAATCAGCTGGATATTAGCGACATAAACTCGGTATAAGAGATTTACTTCAAGAACGTTTTGCATCGTAGACTACATCGCGTGAGTGATTTCTCAGTATTTGATATAGTTTTCATGCGAGTTCCGAAGTTCTGTAGTCTGCTGTTAACTTGGGATTTATCTATTGGGCACTTAGATAGGATACCAGCATATGTTACTGCATCCTCCACCATCAAGTTCATGCACCTTGCACCTTAAAACAAGTGACCGGTCATACTAGGGGGGGGGGGGACAAGGTTTATGGACTGGACCACGTAATCGCAATCTCAACAAATTCTATGAGCTATTTTTTTTTATCTAAAAAATATCAATTTGGTTTTAGTTTGGTTGTGGCAGCATCTGACGTACCAGTTTGAATTATCCAATGGGTCGTGTCATGATTATACTGATCCTATGTGATAAAGCTCGACCAATATCACTTCTTGACGCCGATATCAATATATCGGCCAACCGGTAGCGTATAATCAATATCGCTATGCCGATATTAATATAAATCATATTTTGAGCCTCGCTTTTATGAAGCACCTCGTGAGTCTGTAGTTTGATTTTGATTTTTATTATCATTGCATTGAGACTTTTATTTAAATAATTCCAGTTAATGCTCGAACAAATGTTATTCTGTAACTTGTCCTGCTACTTCAATATCAGTCTAGCTATTTCCAGGAAAAAGAATTGTTAACCCTTTCCGTGCAATTTTTATTTTTTATTAAATATTCGTATTTGCTATGCCGATTTTATGCATTTGTACCCCCACAACTAATCGATCGACTAACAAAAAACTAATGATCCTCTGCTGCCCACTGACGGCTCGTTGGAAAGCTTATTTAAAGAGCTTTCAATTGGCAATTATAAAAAAAAGTTTTTCTAAAATTGGTGGTCTGAGTCACAAACCGGATAGAAAAAAGGCATTTTTTTTCGTAGGAGTTGAAACTTCAAACCGCAATAAAAAATAGAAATATTCGCTCAAAATACTTTGGTAGATGGAAGGGATAATATGTCTTCTATTACCACCCAAAAAACACCGAAATTTGCATAAATTTCAGAAACACTCTCTCGTTCCGCCGCAAATAAAATTCCCGTCGTAAACGAAAGCGAGATTTACCGTCGCTTATGTTAATCTCGAAGAAGACTTCTTATCAATAAACTAAAACCTGGAAAAACTAGACCAACAGTTTGCGACCGATTGCTAACTAAAACAGTGGAGTACATCAATGTACCCACCGCAATCTAGCGACCTTTGTCGTTGGTACGTATACGTGCCCACCGCACGGAAAGGGTTAATCTGACGTTTTTAAATATAACTATGGACACATGTTAATAAGGGTATTAAAAAATTATAAATTGATATATTTCAAAGTGAATCGTGATAATGATAAATTTCTTCAATATTGTGATAGCATATGTTCAGTTACATGTGGAATTTTCAATAACTTTGTTTCCAGAGACTCTCAATACCTTATTTAGTCAATAATAATGAATTGGGTTTTTATTTTGTAATTTTCAGCAAAATGATAAACAACCATCAATATAAACAAAACTGCTACCCCAGAAATTCAAAATTGAATTTGGGAATGTCACAAATTCGGAACTGACATTATTGCTTTGAGATACCTGTGCCATGTTTCTATGATTACTAACTCACCAGCTTCCAATCGATTTTATTTATAGAACCACCGTTTAATGCTGTTACTAAATTTGCCTTTTTCTCATTGTGTACTCTCTCAAAAACGTCACTTTATGAAACGTCATTGTTTGAAACGTCAACGTCATTCAGTTATGACCATGCATGAAATGGCTAATCATAAGACACCGGGAATTAGGAGAGACACCTGTTAGCTTTAGTTAGCGCTGTTTGATTAGGTCATATTATATTGTGGAACTATCAATTAGCGAAAGATTATATATTTCGTGGAGAAAAAATATGTTTTCTAATTTGTCTGTTTTTGGTTGCTATTTTAGTTATTATTTAATTCGACTATTTTCATGTACAACGTAAATAAGCATATAACGTAAATCTGTTGCAGTTCAGAACTTTTAGTAAATTGTTAGAAATGGCATATCGGAGAAGATGCATGAATGTTCTGGGCTCATGGATAAGCATACAAAGTAGTATTCGTGTTATGTTCTGAATTGGAGTAGATATGAAACATTAGGCAAATGGTTAGAGTAAGCATATGAAGTGGGATTCATGGTATGTTATGGGTTGGGATAGATATAGAACTTCATGCAAATGGTTAGAGTAAGCATATGAAGTGGGATTCATGGCATGTTCTGGGTTAGGATAGATATAGAACTTCATGCAAATGGTTAGAGTAAGCATATGAAGTGGGATTCATGGTATGTTATAGGTTGGGATAGATAAAAAACTTGAACCAAATGGTTAGAGTAATTCTGGGTTAGGATAGATATAAAACTTTAGGCAAATGGTTAGAGTAAGCATATGAAGTGGGATTCATGGTATGTTCTGGGTTAGGATAGATATAAAACTTTAGGCAAATGGTTAAAGTAAGCATATGAAGTGGGATTCATGGTATGTTCTGGGTTAGGATAGATATAAAACTTTGGGCAAATGGTTAGAGTAAGCATATGAAGTGGGATTCATGGTATGTTCTGGGTTAGGATAGATATAAAACGTTAAGCAAATGGTTAGAGTAAGCATATGAAGTGGAATTTATGATATGTTCTAGGTTGGGATAGATATAAGAAGTTAAGCAAATGGTTATAGTAAACATACACGGTATGTTCTAGATTTAGGACAGATGTAATACCTTAGGCCAGGGGTCACCAAACTTTTTTGACCGCGGGCCGGGTATGACTCAAACTATGTTGAAACGGGCCGGATGAATATTTTTGTCGATGCAATAAAATTGAGAAATTCATTCAACAATATAAATTCTACATTTCTGAAGACTTAAATATTAAATTCTACCTATATCGCAGAATACAGATCGAGAACATCCCATGAAAACAAATATACAAGATTTCTATATCTAGACAACTATCCTGAGTTTAGCTGTTATTAGAACGTTGCTGTCATGAATTAGGAATGTTACAAAATCCGCTTTTTCGCGCCAAAAAATGTACGCAACACGTCTGACTATTACCGTTACGCCGTGTTGGAATACCGTTCATGAAAACGACTACGGATTGCCTGCTGTATCTTGGAATTCCATGAAATTGACATAATTTAGATAAAATAAATAACTATTATCTGGTATTTGAATTTTTTCATTAGCGCATAAAATATCCCAACATTCGGAGCTTTTGAAAATTACGCTCCAGTTATACGTAGTGCAAATTAATGATAGTGTCTATGGACACCAATAAAATTTATATGGACGTGTGTATTTCGTGCCTAGCTTGATACTTACCAATTTTTATGAAGTTTGTACAATCAGAACATCGTTAATTATTACCCACAATTAACCACTGTCAAACTATCATGCACAACTCCAGCGTTTATTTGCGACGGTGGCGGTGCCAATGACCGTTGCCAGAATAGAATCCTGAAATAGTCTCAATATTCCAATGATGTGACGCACATCGAAAGATTGGTGTTTGATAAGTGTTCTTTTTTCATATTTATTACAGTTCTTATCAAAAAAGTAATACAATCCTCATGGAAATAATTGGCCTGTCGGGCGCTACTAAAACTCCGTTATTTCTTGAATGTTTTTATAAAATAATTTCTTAAACATTTTATAA